TAGACATGCATAGAGATTAGCAGAAGGAAACATCGTTCGTATGGAGGCTCTGCGGCAATGGATGGAGTCTGATCTGGACGTTATCATGGTGGGCACATGGATGCTCTGCGGCAATGGATGGAGTCTGATCTGGACCTTATCAGGGCACATCGATGCTCTGCGGCAATGTGTGTCTGTGAGGAAAGGCATGGCACGCTTCCAGGCGCCTCACAAAACTTGGATTTGAGACGTAACAGAAGAAGCAACACTGCGACCTGAACGTTATTAACCCCCCCCCCCACCCCCCCCCCCCCCCCCTACCCCCCACCTCATCCCCGAACCCCTCATCCCCGAAGCAAGAAAGACTGAGCAAAACCTCCGAAGCAGAAAAACACGAATTTGCTGAAAAGGCCCCGAAAATCTGAAGTGCCCGAAATAACGGAAACGTCGCAAATACCACGTCGAACGGCTGAAAAGTGAAGGAAAACACAGGGGCGCGTACGCGCCAGGCTCCAACTACACACATGCATGGATCATGCATACATTACGTACGTATGCACACACACACACATACACACAAAAGAAATTCAACTTCATGCACTACGTGTATATATATATATATATACTATGTCAGCGTAAGCCCCAAACCGTGAAAGACCAAGCACCATCCACACCCGGCAGATCATTGGACTGCCACACGAGACCAGCCCGACATAGCCCGACTATCCGGACCACCAGGAACACCACACCGACCACGACCACCATGACAACCAGGACAACGTCGACAAGCGGTGGCGAAAAAGACCACCATACATCACCACACCGCCTCCACAGGAGGGAGACACCACCCCAAAACTCGTTCCCCAGGTACCGGTGCGATCACACGAAAAGCATGGCCCTGACCACACTGTCTGGGGTATGTTTTTATGTATATGTACACAGTCATGTTCTGGTAAAGGAGTTTCGTGCAGGTTCTATGAATCGTTTGTGTAAAAATCTATATCGCAGATTGGCCATCGTCTTTTTTTACCTAGAGTAACAGTTCCCTGTAATGCCCGGATCCTTTGTGCGGCACTCCTATATGTATGCATATTAGATAGTGCTTCCTATCCTTCCCGGTCCTAGTCCTTCTATTCCACTGCAAGGAGCTTGCTTACTGCTGGTCGATTATGTCATCCAGTTGCAGAAGTACCTTGCCTGACTGTGATCTCTGAAGGTTGCTGGCCAAGAGAGCGTATTGTTCCTGGCAGCAAAGCCGAATCCAATCATCCCCACCATCATCATCAACAATCGAAACTCCGGCATGTCCGCCATCCTCGTCTTTTGCATGACCTTGATCATCTCCACCACGGTCATCATCACCCTCATAACATCTGATGCAAGTACTGCTGATTCAGCAGTACTTGTTAACTGAACCCCACAGCCGCACACACACACACACACACACACACAAATAACCGCAATCCATGTTTTCATGACAGCAGCCACGCTGGAGAGCCTTGTCCGGCTTCGCAAGCTTTCTGATGGTTGCTGTGCGTCTCAAGAACTTCTGCCGATTTCAGCAGCTGCCTTGTGCCCTTGATGCCTTGATTTGGGCATCCTTGCATCCTCGAATTCGGTCAGGCGCCTTCGGCTACGGGATGGTAGCTGATTGCGCCATGTCGGGGCTTGTCGAAGTAGGGCTTCCATATTGGAAGCGAAAGAGTTATCGCCACGGCTAGGGTCCCAAAGCCTGCAAGACTTACGAGAACTACAATCCACCCACGACCGTCTTCGTCTCGCATGTATGTCAGCAGCAACAAACTGAGTAAGCTGAAGAACACCGCAAGGAAAATGAGCACAAGCAAGAGGTAGAAATTCCAGCCTCTTTCAACTGGGGCGACTATGCCGGCGTCCAGCTTTGCAAGAAACAGCTGATTGCGCAGCTGCCTCCGTCTGTCTGTGCTCCACTCCCCAATGATAGGCAGGTCTTCGTCTTGAAACGCAAAGATTCGTCGCCCTGCACCGTGCCCTGCGCGTGTCTCAACTTCTTGCAGCTCCTGCACGAGATCGTTCATCTCTCGGAAGTTTAAATGATGATGTTGCAGGCGGTTTTTGAGCTTGTTCAACAGCTCGTTGTAATCCTTCACCTGCTGCACTTCCGAGCTGCTGTACTTCCTTTCTTCTCGGGACGATCTGACGTCCGTGTTGCAATCCTGCGGCTGCAGAAAGAATCCCAAGCTGTCAGCCGACTTCGGCCCAAACTCCTTGAGAAAATGGGGCAGTTCCATCTCCATTTCCGCTAGAAGCTGTAGGGCTCCATCTTTCTCCGGCTCGAGCATCAGAGGGTCTTCCGAGGAATCCAGACCATCCAAGCCGGGAGTCCAAGTGACGCTGAACTCAACTGACGGGCCCCGATCCCCTGCACCAGGACCCTGCAGCACCACACTGCCTGTATCACAAGTCACCTGCTTCTTCAAAGCACGGGCAGCAGAGGAATACCCACTATGCTTCTGCAGCAGGTCGACAAGAGAAAGAGTCTGACTGCCGAGACTGTCATTGTGAGTGAAGGTGTCCTTATCCCAGACGGAGATTTGGAGCTGAGGAAAACGGTCCAACGATGCATGGGCCACTCTCATAACAACCTCCTCCCAACGACCAGTCTTTGGATCCTTCCACTCAGGGTTCTTTTCATTGTTCCAAACCACGCTGGTTTGCGCTTGTGCCAGGCCTCCCAGTTCGAACTTCACAAACGGATCGGATTCATCCAGCACGTCCGCGCTGCGCAAGTTGTACGCCCGGATCCGAGTGAAGGTCAACTGACCCGAAACTTCCCCCGGCGGCTGCGGAACGTGTCTGTCTTCACGCCCTTCCGAAACGCACAAGTCGCAGAGTTCAATAGATTCCTGGGAGCCCCTGTGCGGCTTGTCCCGATCGACTCTCTTGACCAGTAGACGGTCGGCACGCCTCTTCCAATCCTCTGCCCCCTTTCGTCCCAATGTGCGCTCTAAGATGTCAGGCCACTGAAGTGCCAGGGCCTCCGCTTGGGGCCAGCGTCTCCTGTCCCTGACTAGCTTCAGGAAGTGCTTTCCACTTGGAAACCGGCTGTGGCTGGGATCGAAGCTTGGGTTCAGCAGGAAGTCCAGGCGTCGGTGCAATAGTTCTTGTACCTTTTCCTTGTCTGCCCAGGGGCTGTGGCCGGCCAAAGCCCTGAGAACCTCCTGGCCTCGCATGGCACCCTCTTCCAAATCCCGGCTACCCAGCATCCTCTTCATCACACCCTCCTGAGTTTTTAGGGAAGTCCGGACATCCTCGAAAGCGGCGGATGCGAGCTCCACGGCCTGCTCCTCCCGCCTGCAGTCACCTCGAAAGTCTCCCGCAAAGCCCGTCTTAGACTTCACAGCACCTTCCCAAGCTGTCAGTGCTGCCTGGAGCTGGTCAAGGCCACGATGCACCGACATCTCAGGGCCTTCCGGAGACAGAAGGGGCGCTTGCAATGGCCTACCTCTACCGCTACCTCTGCTACCTCTGCCGGATTGGCTTCCGAAAGGAAACCATGTCCCACTTCCAGGAGATATCGCAGCGTCCTCTGCTAGCACCGTCACAGGTGACTCCGAGCCGTTGGGAGATTGTGCCCTCCGCACATCGACCACGCCATTCGAACTGGCCGGCGTAGTCTGTGGAGCCTGTCCGGCGAGACCAGAGCTGTCAGGGTGCCGCATCTGGCTTGACGTAGGTGTCTCGGAAGCACCACTCATCAGGTGCCCCACGTTGCCCCACACCCCCCATGACGCCGGTACCTCGCGCTCGTCTTCGAAGGAAACGCTTCGACGGTGCCGAGCCGAGTCTGGCTCCACCGTGCCAAACAAAGCTTCCAGCATGGCGTTACGCGAGCACTCCAGGTCCCCGCAAGTCCCCGCTCGAAGCTTCCCCCCGTAGTCAGCTGCTGCACTTCTGCTCGTGGCTTCCGCTACACTTTGCTTGCAAATCCCCCCCTATCTCGAATCCCAGGCTGGTGCACTGCAGCCACATATGCCACATGTCGCGGCAAAGCAATCGAGGCAGTGGAGGAGTCGTGGCGGTACTTTGCATGCTGCTGCTACTAATACTACTCCTCCTCCTACTTTCTACAACAAAACCACACGCAGTCCCACAGCCTTCAGCAGCGCGCTTTTCATCCTTCGCCAGTCGCGATCTGGAGCGTCTTCATCCTTGGCGGGCGATGACACGTCTTGCCCACCTGGCGTGAGGCGAATGGCACTGAAGAGGTCCCGACTGTGCCAGCTCTACTTCTGCTGATGGTACGACGAGTCGTTTACAAAGGAATTAGTACGGCCCTTTGCTGCCGCAGGCCTAATTAGGTAAGAATCACTGGGCCTTCTTCCTTCAATGCGGCGAGGCAAGGGCACAAAGCTCCGCGCTGCATGCCTGCCAGGGAAAGTCACTGAAGACAAATACCCCTACAGGTCGGGTAGGGGATCACAGGGGCATTTCCCTTATCTGCCCTGTATGTGTGAAATCTGTCCCGCACTGCTCAAACATGTGCAAGACAAGCCGTCCAAGCCCATGTACCCTTTTTTGACACGTGCTTTTCCCTCGTCTCCTCGCGCACAGATCGCAGAGCTGTGCCTGCTGGTCTAGCTTTCTAGCTTGCTGCGCCACAGGCACCCGGCTGACCCGCGAGACCGATTCCTTGTGTGGCACCCCCTTACCCCGATGGTTTGGAGCTCACTCCCAGCTCATGTCAGCCACGGAAGTCAACCCGGCTCACTAGCTGATTCCACGGAAATGTTCCCAGAACCTGCCCTCTGGTTACCTGTCTACACACGAATCGTGCGAGACGGATGAAGCAGGCAAGCCAGTCGCGGCAGCACAGACAGAATTGCGATTTGCCCTTAAATAGCTGTTCTTCACCCGCCTGGAAAAACCGACACGATAGCCTTTGGCTGGAGCTGGATCGGTGCAGCTCTGGCAAAAGAATCTGCAGCTATGCTTGGCACATCTGACAGACCCCAATTCCCGAGTGCATCTGCCATGCCCGACTATGTGAAATGGGGTGCAGACAACACGGCGGGGCCATTGCAAATGCAACAAGTATTCCGCTTTGTCAGCCAATTTGAGATGCACTTGTAGTGGAACCTCGGCTCCGGACACTTCGACATTGCCCCTCTGCGTCGACGGCTCCCTCTCTCTCCGCTCTGCCGTCTCTCCGTACCTTTTCTGCCTATTCTCCTCACGTCCCAGCTCCCTGCGGCCACAGGAACTCGTGCTTGCATGGCAGCCTCAGCGGTGGCAAACACTCTCCGAGTTGCATCTCGCGTTCTGTCTCGCATTCTCTCTGTTGCTCTCTCGGGGACTCAGTGTCGTGTCAGCTGCGCATCAAGGAATACCCAAGGCATGTGCACTCTAATGTCCTCCTTGGCGTCCATAACCTCCTGGCAAACCACGCACACGACGGCCTGATCAGGACGAATTGGACGAAGAACTAGATGCTTCCATGGTAGAAGAGATTAAGCATTAAGCTTCTCCGAAGATGTTTGCACAGACACGAAAAGCTAACCAAGATGTGACGTTCACGAAACTTGCAGAGCAAGTCACCTTCTCTGTGACTTCCTGACCCTCGCCAGGCTCCAAAGGGAGTGCTCTAGGAAGCTTCGTCACCACGTTGGGATCCACGGGCGGTGCTCCGCCCCCGACCAAGACCTCGGCTTCAAGGGACCGAACGACGAGCGCAGTGGGCGTAGTAGTGGCTGTGGCTCCTCGAAGCTGTGGCGCGTGCCCGGTCCCCTCGCCATCTGGGAAGGTAGAGGTAGCACAGAAACCTTGCGGTTGAAGGCGCAGCAGCAAAGCAGCTCCGGGATGCAGGGCATCCGAGGGGCTGATACAGGGCTTCACATTGTTCAACGTATGGGATCACGGTGGTCAGCTCGCGCAGGTACTGTTGAATCCTCCAGGTGGAAGCACTGAGCAGGCGTGCATCATGCCACAGTGCCTGTCCTCCGAGAACGCTCTTGAAGAAAAGCACGGTCATTCCTACAGCTCCGTGCGGGACTGTCAACGTGAAGATGCAAAAACCTGGAACAGGCTCGTCCTGCAGGCAGCTGCGAGCCGCAAACTACAAGTAGCTAGCATTCATGCTGCCCCGTGGCTGTCCGAATACAACAGACCGCACAGTAGCCCGGGGTGGTGGTGGCGGCAGCCCACGAGCAAGATAAGTCTGACCTGTTCTTTTCACCCAAACTTTCAGGCGCAACCGAGAGCTTCCTTCGGGCCAAGTGCCCTCGTCACTAGTGAACGCGCCAGTACGCAAGACCGGAGATCTTTTCAAACACGTTGACATGGACGAAGGCACATCATTTTTCGACAGCGATCTGTGTATGCGGCTCATGTAAGCCAAGCGTCTCAAAGATTGGTGCAGTGACCTGACCTGTCGAAACCTTCGCCTGACTTGCCACACGGCATCGCCGTTGCCTCGACTGGAAGATAAGGAATACTGCCCTCTCTTCATCGCGTCATGATCTGAACAGCGAAGCTCAGCGGCGCATCTGACGCATAACTGAGGCCCGTTGCGAATGGTCAAGTTGAACATGACAGGACCACTTCCTGCAAGAACTGCCATGCCAGCTGAACACTGAGTCACTACGAGATGTGATGCATCTGGGAAAGGCCCCATGCAGTCCGGAGAAGCCATCGACCTGAATCCGGAAAGGGCAGAGATCTGCCTGACAACCAGAGCCTGCAGAGCGGACTTCCGTGTCCCCAGTCCGCATCCCCCTGCAAACTCGCATCGCATGCATGGAGAAACCTCTACTGTCGCCTCTGTCACTGAGCTCCGTCGAAGGTGTGAGGTCTGGTCTCAGGCTGTCGATGCACTGGCGGCAACGGGAGCATGCCATGGCGCAGGCACGATAGCTAGCACAGACTGCTGCACAACAGAACACGAGGGCTGCTGCACATATTTTCTGCAGAGTTTTGACATTGGGGCGTGCTTCGTGTACTGGGTCAAGAAGCATGAATGTGGGTGGCTGGCTTCGCGCGGGGTGAAAGCGAGACAATCAATCCAAGCATGCTGAATCTGATCCAGGAGCTGGCAGTCGACGGCACGAGCAACCATGAGGCATCACACGGCCGCCCCAACAAGCAACATCCCTATACAGTTCTCGTTTGCCGTGCCTGCAAAGACATGGTGATGGCCCCAATGATCGGCAGGTTCGCCAAGAAAACATCTTCATCTGTGTACAAGTCTCTTGCTCTCAAGCAGGTGGTAGTAATGCGGCCACTCCAAGTTCTGGGGGACTTCAGCCAAGCAACTTGGCGTCACTTCAACGCTTCATGACTCATCCATTTCTACAGGGCAGAGCATGCTCGTTCATAGGTGGTGCCACAACTTGAGCTTGTAGAGTTCCTGGACGAGGTTGAGCAAAGGATGCTTGAAGAGAGCAAGCAGCAGTAGGTGTACGAAGCTGCACTTCCAGATCTCGTGCTCTCCGCCGTCGCAGCTGCGACACTGCTCGGCTACAGTCTCAGGCAGCGGACACAAGAAATCAGCATCCTTGCAAGCCAAAGGAAGTCCCATCCAGTTATGCTCCAGATTCTCGCTCGAAGAACATCCTCCGCCGGTGCTGAAAGCAAGGCTTTCACCATACGCATACGCAAGGGCCTTGTTTCGCTATAGTATAGCTACATTGCACACCAGTCTCACCTACTCCGTTTCAACATCCGCCGAGGACTGGGGCGTCTTGATATGGTTCCGTGGGACCATGAAATGGTATTGCTCTCCCTCCTTACCCCGCCCCCAAATCTTGGGTGATTGTTTTCGTTTTTGTTGGTTCATGTGTGAGGGCCCTTCATTTCCTGGGCTGCGAGGTAGATCCGGAGTGATTGCGCGGCAAGGTTTGACACCGCGCTGTGGTTGAAGACTACATTTTATGCACAGAAAACTGTGTCCGATGTGCAGCATGACGGCTTGTGGACTGTTCCTGTCTCCCCTAAAATACCCCCCGTGGCAAGTGGAGAAGACCCACGACAACTTATGTGAATCGTAAGCCCAAACTGAAGTCAAACAGAAGGCCTGCACAAGCTTGGACAAACTGTGCGCCGAGGAGCACGGTAGATTTTCCATCGGGGCTCGTGCTTCCCTGCCCTGCTTGTGGCACAATTCACCGTCCAGGTCTCAAAGGTAATTCCAGATGATCCCAGCATAATCTCTGCGATTGCTGCTGCCCTTGGCATGTGATAGCTCGAAGTCACCAGGAGAACATGCGTAACACCAGCACCTTGAAGGTCCGGTATCATTGTAGAAAAGTTGGTGACGGTGTCAACGGCACGATAAGACAGCACCAACTGTCCAGCTTCTTGCAGTTTTGCTAGACGCTCCTCCGCCCCAGCTGCGGGCGAGCTCGCAAACACCATGAGCGGGGTCTCTCTGCCTTCCTGGTAAGCCAGTGTCACAGCAAATCTGTCGCGCTCTTCTTCTCCTCCAAGCAACAGAACGGCAGACATGGCGCCCACGACAAGCTTCTGCTTCCAAATGGACCGCAGCATGATCGTGGGCCCACCTTACAAAAAGCTTCACCAATCTGGGCACTGGCTGTGGGATCACAATTAAGCAACCTGAGAACCAGTGCTGCAACATGGTGTCATTATGTGCCACTACTTCTCCTTGAGCAACTGCATCATGCCATCTGGAGACTGTCGACCCCCAACTCCAACACGTGCCAATGCGGGCAGGACTCCATCTGACTCCCCATCAAGCCGTCAGAGCTCCCCAAAGAATAGATTCGATATACTGAAATACTCTTCACATCCCTTCACTCCTAGTCCTAATGCACTCATGAAGTTTTTACGTTCCTGGTTGCCGCCTGCATTGTCCCATCAAGTCCCAGGCTTTGCCTGACATGTCGTGGAGTCGCATATCATAAAACTGGAACCCTGAAGAGACGCAACTAATTATGAAGCTTGCTAATGCTTCCTACTTGCTGCTAATCCCTGCGACTCCTATGCACGCAGTCCGCGCAAATTCACGTTCCGTGCAACTGCCTGACCCGTCCGGCAAAGGTCGCTTCATGTCGCTTGCATTTGTACGTTCATCTCGGTTTACTTTTGGACTCCTCGATTGCTCTGACTGCATTCCGAGCCCTTTCAAGTTCGGGCAGCTGCAGTTCTCAGCACCTGCGTGTCTTTCAGCCGGTGAGTGCGAGCTAAACTGCACGGAGGGCAGAGGTTTTTTCACAGGTCCCCCTGATGTAGGGGCCTAGATTATTAGTATAGGGTTTTGGGGCATATTATACTGTAAAGATAATAAGGAACCCCCAAAACAGTATTGGTAATTGTTCAGGCCTTTTTGTAAGCCTTTGAGCCTTTGGATCTCTCTGTCTGAGCTCTTCAACCCTTCAGAGGCTTCCACTGCCCCACGCACTTCTCAATGTCCTGGTGAAACATGGCGTCTCTTGGAAGAACCGGTGGCCCGGGCGAGGGCAAACGCTGCTTTTTCATGTTCAGACGTTATAACTACGGAATGAGATTCGAGATGCGGGTGAAACTATGAACATCTCTCACTGCAGCAACGAGCCGATGTCAAGGAAAGGTGCCTCAGCCAGGGATGCCTGCAACTCTTCCAGGTGTCTCTCGAAATGTGCCCAAGATGCCAGATCGGAGAAGAGCTCCAAGAAGACACGCTCCGTCACGGCAGTGTTTGCTACACTCTCCTGGATGCCCAGGAAGGCAACTTGCTGTGTGAGCACAACTGCTTCGTCTTCATCCCTCGTGGCCCGCACCTCATCCTCGGCGCCGAAGGCCAGAACGACGGTCTGCTTCACTTCACCGTCATCCAACCTAGATCACAGGTCACAGGTGCGAAGCAGGCCGGTAAAGCTGCTCAGCTGGCATGACACAATACCGAACATGAGAAGAGCCCGAAGCATTGGCCTCTGCAGCCAATCGCCAAGGCGAACGGTGCCATTGCTGTTGGGACCCTGTCGCTCACTGCTCTGGCAGTAGCTCTTCTCTGGGTCAACAGGAGACGTGTCTTCCGAGGACAGGCCTGCAGCAGCTTAAATGCCGTCAGCACTCGTCGCTTGTCCTGTCGAAAATTCTGCGCAGTCTCACCAGCCCGTTGACAGGAGCGGTCTTGAGGCCTAACCGTCCAAACACGGTCTGCCTACTCAGAGGCATTCCTGCCCAAAAGAAGCATCACTGATCAAAAACCAAAACTTTTCAGCTAATTAGGGGAGTTCTAGTTCGGATACAACCCCAACACTCACTTGCGAATTCCACAGGGTTTGCTCCCTGCGCCTCTCTGGATGTTCAGGGTCAACCAGAATAAATGTGCTCTTGCCATGTACTGAACTGCACGCCGCAAGCTGCTCAGAACATGATAGCGAAAACAAGATCAAAGCGTGACAGATTCATAGCGTTGTGTATGTGGGGGGTGTGAATTAGTTGTAAAGGCTTTTTTGCACTCCTCTTTGATGCCCGCACCCCGGGTCCACAACATATGCGTATGTATGTAAGCATGTAAGCATGTAGGCATGTAAGCATGTAAGCATGTAAGCATGTAAGCATGTAAGCATGTAAGCATGTAAGCATGTAAGCATGTAGGCATGTAAGCATGTATGTATGTGCGCATGTATGTATGTATGTATGTATGTATGTATGTGTGTATGTATGTATTTTCCCCTCTCGTATGCATGCATGGATGTATGTATGCAAACTGTCGACCAATTTTGGGACGGCAGCCTCAATGCTCAGAACGCACAGCTGTCAGCAGAGAGCTGTTGCACGGCAGAGCGCCGCCACTTTGTTGCGGAACCCGGTCGATCAACGGGAAGGCCCAGCTTGCGAAATGACTCGACCGACTGTGCTTCTCGATCCAGCTGCTCTGCCCTGATCATGCTCACACTTCTGCCTATGATCCCCTCCACCGCCCAGGAACTAACCGGAATCAACACGACTTTCGGCAGCAAGGCTTGTTGCTCCTTCTGCGGAAGCGCAGGGCGCAAGGATGACATAAAGGTGGAGGCTGTGAGCTCATCCTGCCAGACATCACTCCGTCTCAAGCCTGACTATGTGACTATGAAGTCAAGGCAATCCTGAATCTGATAGACGAGTATCTCTGCGTTGCTGTGGTAGCACAGTCACATTGTCGAAAGGGCAAACACAAAATGCGACTCGACTCCTTCTTCATGGTGACAAGCTGCGTCAGCCAGACCTGAACGAAGGCAATCAACTTTTCCCCACTATGCCTACGGCTTACGGCCATAACACAAAACGAGCTGCAAGGACTGCGTGCAGAGTGCAGCGGTCATGCAGCTGAGCCGCATCCAAAGGCTTGCTTGGCACCTCCTCCTCTGTGACACCAAGCTGCTCCCGCAACACCTCAGGAGCAGCTGGCGAGACGAGGAATCATCGTGCCGAGGTTACAGTAGCAGCCCTCTGTCAAGGCTTCAGCTGCTCAAGTTCAACTCAAGCATATGTGAGCAGAGTAGCAGCCACCACGTTGCCCTTGGGAACGAAGCCTCTCCCAACTACATTCAGCAAGGAGGTTCCCCACAGCCAGGAACAATAGTGCCGAGCCGATCCTTCGTGATCGCAGAAGTCGAAGAGCCGCTGGCGCAGCGACACGTAGCCCATGGAGCCCCAGACCTCGTCACAGGAGCCAACATCTGGCGGAAACGCAACTCGCAGCTCTAAAAGCCGCCAGCCTCCTGCACCTTCTGATGGATGGTAGCTTTCAGTGCTGCAAGCGAAGGGATGCCCGCAAAGTGGTTGGGCGCAAGCTCGCCTCCCAGATGCCTCGAGATGCAAGGTTTCCCAGAACCTGCTGTTGAGAGAGGTTCCTGCCTCAAGGGCTGGGTGTCCTTCAGCCCGGCGTACATGGCGTTCAGGGCCTCGTCCTGTGTGTTGCTATGGTGTGTGGAGCACTCAAACAAAGCAGGTGACCTTGTGAACGCCGAGGATGAACTTGTCGCAACCCTGCACGGGGGCTCGAAGGTCAGTCTCGTCCCTGTGAGAGGATGGCGGTAAGGGCAAGCGGCAAGATGCCTTTGTGAATTCCGAGTTGCGGTGGAACGCGCCCACACCTCGGCAGGCTCGGTTCGACCAGACTCAACATGCTACAAGCATGAAGGTAAGAAGCTGCGATCGACTGGCTTATGGTTCGCTAAAAATCTGAGACTGCTGCCCGTTGCGGCTGATGCCTTCACGTTATTCCGAAACTCTGAGTCTGCCATGAACATCCTGGCTTGACATCAAGCAAAAGAGGCGACGGACGCGGAGTGCGTGGAAGGCAGCAGTCCTCTGGTTGGTGATCTGCTCCACACCCGAATAATGTGCGTGGAAGGGCACTTCGAGCCCTGCCAGGTCCAGTTGAGACGTCTCCTTCCTTTAATAATAACCTCTAACTTTCCAGGCCTTCGTTGTCTAAGGCTGGCATCTGATCAGGCTCTGGGCCACACCTTATTTCTTGTGCGTAGCTCTTCCTTGGCTTTTCAGGCAAGCAGTGTCCGGCGACCATGTGCCATGAACAGCGAACTCTGCTGGTGCTGCCAGGAGTCGATGTGTGAGTTGCCTGTCTAGGGCAATTTCAATGCAGCGAACTCGTGCCTAAGAATGCCATGCCCTCCTGAAACCCCCGCTCGGCCTTTTCAGCAACTGTGTAATCCGGCTTCTGATGCGCAACGCCGGTGCTAGTTTCGAAGTACCTGGCCTCAGACAACAGGCCGCCAGAGAATCCGGTGCTGACAAGTGGATTGGCACGTTTAGAAACTCCAACATTAAGTGTCTGGTTCCACAGCGGCCCCATGCCTTCCTTACACACAAGACCTGGACTGAGATCCATGGCATGGTTGACTTCTTCGACGATTGCATCCTGCCAACCGACATTCCCCTCTTTACATCTCATTACTGTCTTCTCGTCACTTGTGTCAGATGTCCGACAGATGCCAGCTGCAAACAAAACGAAGGCACTGCGGCAGATGCATAGCCCTAACAGCCTCGTCGTTTCGGCATCACGAGCATTCACCAGCATGGTCACAGAGCGAAGCCCGCTCCTCTTGCTGGACCTCCGTCTCGGCGCCATCGTGGTGCGCGCTTTTCAATGCCACCGTCAGAGGGCCCTCGCGCATGATCGTGGGGGTGGAGTCGTCCCCCTGCCCCAGGCGAACTATGGGAACGGCTGCAAAAGATCTGCACTGCGGCCGAAAAGTTGGGAGGGGCCTTGCCGATCATGTGAGAAGCAGCTTCCCACTGCAAGCTGCTCTTGGGGCCATAGACTCGGTCGAAGGTATCATCGCCCTTCCTGCAACATCCACACGGCTGTGACAAGAACGGACCCTTTCAGCAGAATTGCCTGGGCACCGTTGGCACTTTGGTCCAGTCTTTGAGGAGCCCAGACCGAGGAACATGGCCTCGGGCGACGGTGCTATGAGACTCTGTTTCGGCCTCCACAGGGCCAATCAACATCTAGAACCAGAAAGAAGGCCCGCGGCGCTGGGGTAGAGTTCGGCCCTCTCCCGAGGAATCGCGGAGAATGCGCTCCTTTCTCAAGAAGGGACTACATTGACGGCTTCGGCTGCAGAGCTCTGCTTTGCCTCAAACCAGTTCCCAATAAGCGTTCCAGCCTGCGAAGCACACAACACGTGGGTGTAGCTTTCTTGTGTACAGAGCTTTCCTGTGTCGACCGTGACTACAGAACTGGGTGTGCTGCCCCTGCTCCTGGCTGCAACCTTAGTTAACAAGCCATGAAGCAAACCTTGAGAATTCGTCTGGCACGCTTTCTGGGGAAGTCCTGCATATCCATCCTTCAAATCATTCAGGGTACCGCAATCTTGACAACCACCCACATCTTTTCCCGTCGTATGCCCCCAGGACTTGACAAGAACAAGGCACTTTGTGTTGTACGCATCGTCGCTGAACTGAGCCATGGCTGCAAGTCAGCCTCAGCACCCAAAGAAAGCAGTGTGACTATAATATAATATAATATAATATAATATAATATACTACTCTAATAATATACAATACCGATATAGCCTACTCGGAGCTTTCAAGAGCCTACGGCTTGCTTCCAGGCCCTGTGCCCAATGCTATGCCCCCATTCATGCGGCCCAGCTTCAGTGGCAAAAGCCCAACTGCTGGTTCTGCTCCGGGTTTCGAAGCTGGAAGGCCGCGGCAGCCGCGGTTCAAGCAAAATCTCAAGGCGAGCTGAAGCAAACGCTCAGGAGGACAGCTGCAGCTGAATTATGGCAGTAGCTTTAGCGGATCATTCTTCCGAGGCCCGGCAGTCTCATCGTCCACTCTCTAACGGAGCACAGGGTGGAGTGTCCGAAGGTCGTGCCATCGACAGACAAGAAACGGATACATCTTCCCGAAATGGTGCTCCACGCTGCGTCTCGTACGTCTGCTCTAGAGCACCCTCAGGCCTTAGGCGTGAACGACAGCCTGCAACTGCAGATGTTGCTTTTGTGCCGAGTGCCTACACCACATGGTGTGCAGATGTCTAGGCCTTGGCCTTGGCTTAGGCCAGTGCGCCAGGCATGGAGTTCTCCTTTTTCCATTTCGCACAGCCTGCAAATGCCTGATCCGAGCCTGGGAACGTTGCATTCCAAACCGTAGCATACAGCCTAAATGTCTGGTGTGCAGACGTGACATCTTTGATCACCGCTTCTGTGCAGCGCTGTACAGGCTGGCACCAGACTGTGTCCAAACTCTCGAGGTCTGGATCCCAAAAGTTTGCAACCGAAGTGGAAATGAATCCGACAGGTCCTTAAGCCTTGCGGGGTCTGCCGGTGGCATCAAAGGTTCCATCGGCAAAGCCCATGTCTTGCACCTTCTGCCCAAGCAGTGCCACGGCGTCCTCTGAGGCAAGTGGTCACGGAGGCTCCCCGCTGAGAGCAAGGCGTCCTTGTAGAGATTGTTCTTTATGCCATGCATGGTCTCCTGAGTTCCGCAAAGCTCTGCCTCCCTGGGGCCTCCCTGGCCTCCTTGGTTGCGACTGTGCCACGCGAGTCTTTGGATCTTTGCCCTTGCTCTTCAGGGACTTGGCCAACTGCAAAGCAACCTCGAAGAACTCCGAGGCTGCCGGAGTCTCTTCCAACACTCCTTGGGTCTTTTGGGTGCTCTCTGCGAAAACGGCCCCAACTGCGATTGAGACCCAGGCCGTTTGCCTTGAGCTCCGCGGACTCGTATCGCTTTCCCATGCAGAGGGTGTCCTTGCCAGCGGCATCTATGGACCAAGTATTGCAATCATTCCGCGCGAAGAAGTTCGCAGTGCTCGCAGCCCAGCATCGTTCCACATGGTCGAAGGCAGCTTGGCTTTCCTCAGCGCTGGTGACTTGACCCGCTCTGGCCTGCGCATCTTGCCAGCAACTTCCTTCTGGCAAGACACATCAACTCGGTCATGCCAGCAGAATACACCAGGCCAATGTCGATGCCGGGCACAAAGAAAAGCCCTGACAGCTCTGTGTCACACTTCGTGGCCAGTACAGTCGGACTTAGCGCCTGGAGAGTCAGCGGGCATGAGGCGCTTGTCGAAAGCCAGTCCGAGCATGGCGCCACCCGCCGTGATGTGCCCATTGATGGCAGCAACTGTCGGCACGCCGAATGTGAGGATTCCTGCATGTTTAGGCCACAGCTCGCGTTGTGCGAGGGCTTGTCCAAGCTATTGACCAATAAGCCCCGGGCGGGACATGAGCTTTTCAGCATCCGCTTGGATCTTCGTGGACTCCGCCACATTTGCAGATATGTACCTTAAGGGATCTTGTCGGAGGACAATCTTCAAAGTCGCTAGCCGCAGACTAGAGATTGCGCCCAATTGCTGCAGGTCCATGCCGTTGCAAAAGAAACGCCCATCTCCTTCAGGACAGGGTCTGACTCATTGCCAGACTCGCACTTTGACCACCGACTATTACCGACTTTCCGTCCCGGCCTATCACTGTAAGAGCATTCACGCCGTTTTTCTCCGCCACATCCAAGGCCGCATTTACCTGCGAAACCCGGAAGTGTGGAGGCCTTTACTGGCCTCCGAGACACGGCCGTGCCTGCTGGATCAGCATGGGGTTGATGCGGTGCTCGAAAATGCGAGTACCCCACGGAAACTGCCCCTCTGGAGCGAGAAGCCGCACCTCTTTTTTCATGCTTTGCGAAACTCCACCACCGAGGGGATCCTTTAAACTTTAAACTGTGGGCCACGCAACGGCCACATCATCGACAATTTCTGTCTTGAGAAGTTCGACATCCTTACCTCACTCGACTTTGCAGCGATTGAACTGCCTCCCGCAAACACATTCTTGACGGCTGTAGTTCAGCCGAGGCTCCGGACGAGCTCCATCTGATTATTGGTCTGAGGCTGCCGCCTGCAACAAGAACCTTTGGCACGACTCGGTCAACCCCGCAGTTGCACCTCTTCCAGCTGAAGGGTGCAATGAACTTGGACGCGTGGTCAGCCTGGCTAGTGCCTCACATGCACACCGAGGCTATGTCCACATTGCAGGCTTTCGCTCAAGATTGTCTCTGCCACCATGCCACTCTCCAGAGAACCATGACCTCTTGCCCCTTGCCTGCGGTTCTCCTGTAGACGTTCGAGGCTGTGCAGAAAGCGGTAGACACCTTTGTCTTCTAACCAGCGGACCTGGGACCTTCGATGGCCGCAGGCCACGACGGAAGCGTTAAGCTGGCTTCTGCTCTACTCGAGCCAAAACGCTCCAAGCCGTTACAGGCATTCCGGGCTTCACCCTTGTCGGCCAAGGCCTACTGCATGCAGGGCGCGGCCTTCGCGGCAGGCATCCTGCCAGGCAAAGCTGTCGCAATGTGTGAGCAATCCTTGCATGTGCCTGGACCTAGAACGTCATGACCGCAACCTTGGCGGCACCCTGTCCTGCCCCTGTCGGGGTTAGCGACGCCTTCGGCTGCGGCTTCGCGATCGCCGCCGCCGGCTGCGGCTTCTCCGGCGGCTGCGGCTTCGACTTTTGCTGCGGCTCCGTCGCCGCCCAGATCGCGGAGGCTCAGAGACCGGGCCAGGCGGGCCGGGGCCCGGTGGGCTCTCATCGCGCTTGCTGGCCGCATGCTTGTTTTTCAACCTTTCCAGCGCTGCCTTGTGCTTGTCGGCGCTGGACGCCTCCCGCTTCGCGGTCTTCGCGGCATTTTTGGCCGCGGCACTCTTTTTCTTGCGGCGCCCAAACTCGTCCACCTCTTCATCTCCGCTGTCCCAGTCGTTTCTATCATTCGGGTCTTGGCGATCGAACAAGCCGCCGCCCCTGCCTTCATCCATAGCTCTCTGAGCCTTCTCTTCTTCAATCGCTCGTTTCATGTCCGGAGAAGGCATTTTGCACTGCATGCAGTACATAGCTCCGCCTTCATTCTTAGTTCCACAGGCGTCGCAGGTCCAAGGGCCTGTGCTTGTCTTCTCCCCATCTCGCCAATCATCCAAGGGCCTGTTAGCCCCATCGGGCTTACGGGCCCCACAAGAAATGCACGTAAGCCTCTTCTTGAAGTTCACGGTCCTGCAGCTTGGCTTGGGGCACTGCCAATCCTTCGGATCGTAAGTGTTCGGCTTAAACAGGCACATCATCTTGCCCGACTGCCCGATTACGTCACCGAAAGCGAAGCCATGCCAGGAGGGTTGTGTTGCTTGAGTTGCTGGCGCAGATGCATGTGCGCTCAAGTGCTCCTGTCTTTACTGTGGCATCCAGAATCCCGAATCAACTTAAGCTGGACTGGTCTTTGCAGCTGCTTGGATGCTCTCCACTTTTGCAGCTGAGGTGTGTCAACGGCCGAACCTTGTTCAGTGTAAGGCTTGCTTTCGCAGATCCTGCGATTTCGGATGTTGTCATGAAAATTGGGGTATGCTAAAATTGGGGTATGCTAGGCTTTGCCCGCAAAGTCAGTTCGCCAAGTCTTGCGATGCGGCGACAGCGGTGTCGATGAACAATTTGCATGAACTTTGCAGATTATCGGTTCACTCATGGTTTTGCCTGGATCGGGGCTGGAGGAGGTTGTGCTGACGTAAGCCAAGCAGGTCTACCTGCAAACTCCCTGATATTGTACAAGATTGAGGAGCTTTTGTGGAAGAGGATCTAGTCCTGAAATTGGGCAGCTGCCCCGAGAATATAATCAACATGTCTTAGCCTAGAGTGGCCAACGCAGCCCACGGCGGTTCGATCAATGCATGCGTTCGCGGGAGTCTAAACTAGACCTGAGCATGAGGCAGTGTGGCAGAAGCACTGATTCGGGCCAAGGTGGAACTCAGTCGTGTTCGGTCCGGCCACTGGCCGTTCGAGGCTATCTTCAACAAGTACTTTTTGCGTGCCCTGAGCAAATCTCGAGGATAGCTAGCATGCTTCTGCACCTTCGCTGTGTGACAGACCGGCTTCCAATTGCCACAGTGCAGCTCTGAACAGGCCAAGGCCGAATTACGAAAAGGACAGGGTCACGGGTTCGGGCAGTTCGGTGCATTTTGGTATAGCCTGCAACGGCAATAGCCATGCAGAACAAGTCCTGTAGCAGTTCACAAGATGGAGTCGTAAGAGACATCGGGCCAACGGGAGGCGGTAAACGCCGGTCAAGAAGTGGCCAGGAGTAGTTACCGACTGAAGTGTCAAATCGTTGAAACCTTCGCGAGTTGACCATCTCCCCTTTACATTCTGGGGCTCCTTATGGAGGAATGGTCTGTCACAAAGCCGGTGCAAGTCAGCGTAATTTCATTTGCATGATCTGCCGGCATGGCCGAGGAAAGCTAAAAAATAATCATGCAGGAACCTATGGCTGCTTGGTCTGCTCAACGACACCATGGCGAAGCAGATCTTCTCTCAACACAACGAATTGGCACTTGTCTTGAATTAAGCAGCTGCCTGTGTGCAATGATCCTGACCTAGCGAATACGGCATGGTTAGCTAGACACGAACAAAGGTCAACCATCCAATCTTGAAGCTGCGTGTGACTTTGGCAGTTTGGCATATGTTCTTGAATTGCCCGAAAACGCTCAAGGAACTCATCCGAGCTCTTCGACGGCATGGTCTTTTTGCTCAGGCTCAGGGCAGCCATAGCCTGGGAGTGTGACTAAAGCAGGCTCTGCGAGACTGACTAGATTTCTTGAACGGCTCGGAAGCGAGCACACTGTGTCTCCTTCTGCCAGCTCTTCGTCGTCATCATCACAAGTGATCTGCGCAGGCTGCGTGCATACACTCCTGCCTCACCTACCTGACCTAACCCTTGTGAGCAAGACTCTTTAACAGTTAAGACTTTATGCTGCCGTTCAACCACAGCACGACGCTGACCAAAGGCTATCAGAGGGCGCACGGATGTGGCGGCCACGGGCAGTCTTCCGAGGTCATCGGTGCTTCCTGCTTGTGCCAAGTAAGCGAAAATGACGAAGCCATGGCTATGCCCACTTGCAGGATCTGGTACGCCTCCGGAAGATGGATTCCGGTGATTTGCCGCGATGATTTCGCGCCTCGGATGAAAAAGGATCCGGGCTCAAGCCCCACAAAGTGTCATGACACCGTCTTGGGCTGCAACAAGCGATGGAGGAGGGCCGCGAAATTGCCCCCTTCAACACCTCGCAAGCCGTCTGAAACCCAACAGTCCTTCACTCTCCGAGTTCGAGTTGGGCTGCGACCGTGGCGGCGCTCGGCGTCTGCAAGCTGCACAGCCTCAAGCATCAAAAGTCACCAAGTACCAGATCGCAGAAGCTTAAGCCATGACTTGTGTGCTGACCTCTTTCAGTGGAAGCATGCTTTGCCTCACTGTGTTTGCAATCCCTCGTTGCCGGCGGCCAACACGGGTACGTGCCGAATCCGCTTCAAGCAACTCAGCAACTTTCATTTTCTGAGGTGCCAGCTCGCTCAATGAGTGCCTGTGGCTTCGGCACGGCCCTCAAGAGTCGATCCAACACTCTGCTGCTGCCAGGTTGCTTTCAAGTGCTGGAAGTCCATGCCTGAGACGTCACGAGGGAGCAAGAGGACAAAGCAAGTCAGATGAGAAGGCAATGCTGGCATGCTTGGCTGGAGGTCACGGAGATGTGGAATCAAGGACTTGGAAGCAGACTGATCCGGTCCAGTGCGCTCTGCTGCAGCATGCAAAGCTGCTCTGCTTCAGCCAGGCCTTGGAAAGCTTTGGCTTTGAAGCAACATGCACATCGCACACTCACGTCAAGGCCACTCACACCCTGAGGGCGTCTGCACCAGGGACGCTGCGCACCTGGTCGTCTTCACGGCTCGAAACTTCTCCTGAAGAGCGCACGGCCCCAGGGCAATTCCCATCCACTTCGAGCATCCGACCGGCCGGCCAGGCCGGCAATTGCGGCGTTTGTTCCAACGTCCTTTGAGTCTGCTGTTCACCGCTCCATGCTTCTTGAAACAAGTTGAGATCTTGTTTAGCCACCCACGCTCGCAAAATGAGAGTATGAAGGTCACACGTCGGCTGTTCTGTTGATCCCCAGCTCTTTAGCATCAGGATCCTGCGGCTTGCAGGCTGCCTGCTGGGCTTGGAACACCATGTGAGACCCCCAACTTCCAGCATCTTCCAGCCTTCGAGCGGCCTTGGGTCTTCCGAGCGGCCAAGGTCATCCAGTGCACATGACTGCACATGGCGTGCTCTGCCCATGTCGAGCTCATGCCGGATCATGTGCGACCCGTGCACCACGCGTTAGCCTCCGAACCTGAACTGGACTCCCACGAGTCATGTCATGAGCCCACTGGCACGGCTCCAGCACGACTTTTATCCACTTTCCGACCACACACACACACACACACACTTTTTCACATGATTGCAAATGCTTGCAATTGCTTGCGCCTCGTCTTGGCGGCCGTGTCGCCACGACAGATCCTCCTCGCTTACCATTGCAAAGCTGCCACTACAGCGAGCTTGTGCAAAGAACCGTGTCGGCGCTGGGCACCGCACGGCGCTGGCTTGTTGCCAGCCCTGGCAATCTGGAACACTCATACGCTGAACATGTCCTGCCGCCGCAAGCTCCGAGGCAGCGGCGTGATCCTCGACGAGCTTTGCTAGTGGTGTACGACCTCTCTCTCTCTCTCTCTCGCCCGACGGAGAGAAGATGGCAAAAGAAGCGGCAAAGACTAGATTTCTGAGCTGACGACTCGCCACCTACCACCGACCTCCAGCTTTGAGGCCGGTGTGCAAGAGGAGGTGGCCGTGAACGCACGCGAGGCGAAGCATTTTCTCCAGGTTGAAGCTTCCGAGCTTCCGAGCTTCGGCTCGTGAGACGACGCTTGACGTGATCTCACGTCCTACCCTCCTACTCGGCTCCCCTCCGCTCCTGGATCTGGGAGTCCCTGATACTAGTGAGACATGCTTATAAGCCTGAGTATCAATGCACATCGCCGAGAGAGGCCAGCGGAAAACTATATTTTTTACACTTTCCGTGGTGCCCTTCGTGTGGCGCCGAGCTGCCTCGCTTTACCTCAGCCATGTGCTTTGCCGATTTGTGCCTGCGAGACGCGGCAAGGCTCTCAGAGTACCAGGCCACAGGCGGCCCTGGAGCTCATCTTTTCACCTGCACTTTTGGGCAGAGCTCTGGGCCATGGCCCTGGGGCTGAGAGCCAGACCCAGACTTCGCCATCGCTCCAGAGAAGCCGGCCATGCTTAGTGTCAAATCTCGCCTACAGCTCTGCAGGAGGACGTTACGACGAGGCCCTGGGATGTCTTCCCTGCCTTGTGAATCGTCCCGCTCAGAGACATCTCAAAGTCGCCGTCGGCGTTCACCCTGGACTGGAGCAGCATGCCCAAGTTCCCTGCTGGACTCTTTCCCGTGATGCCCCATGAACAAGAACGGCAATCCTCAGTGATGACTGGTCGAGGTTGAAGACCTTGTCCCAAACGATGGCCGTGCCGACAATCGTGCCTCGGCAATGGTTGTGGTGTTGGTGCCTTCCCCTGCGCGCTGCAACATCCTCGGTCCGGTACCCATCGTTTGTAAGTCTGCTTCTGTGCACCATGACCCCTGCAGAACCTGGAAAGGCTCCGGAACCTGCCCGGGCATGACAACTTTGATTCTCCAGACAATGTAACCTGGCAATGCCACACGACGACTATGAGCCTTGGCAGGGTAGATGCTGACTGCGTCCGTATTTCGAGGAGTAAGCTTGACAGCCTCCTGATGGTAACCACGCACGACATCGTCACAGTGCCGCGCTACAAACCACGTCCTCCGAACTTGCGCTGGTCCCGCATTGGCAATTTGCCCCCATGGCTGACGACGGCTCCTCCTGTGCTGAAATAAGTCGCGAGGACAAGACTGTGGAGAAGGAGCGCGGCCGCGGGTGCTTTCGTTCCCTAACTCCGCATGTCGCGTGAAATGCAGAAGCACTGTCCTGATTCGGGAGGGGCCCGGCTTCGGCCAGGAATCACACATGCTTGAGCAAATGCTGATCAAGATCGCCCGCCGAGTTCTGACTTCTTCCGGCACTGTCGGCAGCAAGCCAGCATGACTATGTTGCTGCGGATGATTATCGAACGATTGTGCCTAGAATCATCGCACCCCATGAGATATTGTCATCTGTATGTGCTATGGTCATGGAAAGGTCTTGCCATGAAAACTAAACTCTTTGCTCCTCCTGTTTCTCCTGCTACGGCTACTGCTGCTGCTGCTAACTGCTACTACTAGCTTGAACTATCTGCGCCCATCTACTGATAGCATCTTTCGTACGATCTATTGCTACCTAGTACTACCGACTGCCTCCACGACGATGACTACGACTACGCTGGTACTGCTACGGCCACTGCTGCTCTGTTGCTACTGCTCCTACTCACTGCTACTTCTTACCGTACTAACAGAATAGCGCCCGAAATTCCACTATTGTCCGTGTTTCTGCTGCCTCTGTTCTGGCTTCTGGTCGTTGTTTGGCATTGTCGCTGGGGCCCGAGCGCCAAGGCCTCGAAAAGGCTGTCACTCTCCTTGTTCACTTCCAGCTGAACGATTCGCTGCCGCGCCTGACATGCTTTGATTTTGATGGGTCCGCAATAAACATCGAGTGCCCAGTAGGGGTTTATTTGTTTGTTGGGCTTCAGGGTTCACGATCCCTCCATTCACCACTCGGCCCTTCCAGCAGAGGTCCCATCGAGGCTGATACGATGGAGGAATTTGCCCCCTGAAATCCTTTCGACTCTCACACTCACAACTAGGAACAGGCAGGCGAGGTCTCCAACACTGTCGGTTCACGAGCCGGGCAACCGTTGCAAACCAAACCACGCTCAGGACTTAGGCCTCTTGGGGCTTAAGCTAGCTTCGCCGATTTCCCACCTGGAAGGAAGTCGAAGTCGAACTATGCTTGGCTGGATCAGCAGAAGAAGTACCACTGGGGATCTTTAGATTAGCAGAGTCAGTGACATCACTGACAACATGAACCCCAGCACAAAGTTCAAGCAGTGTTCAAGTTCTGTCCTTCTTGAGATCACCGTGCAAGCGGTTGATTTCTTCCTTCAGCTTCATCGTGTAGCCTGCCCAGAATGGCACAGAAGGTGGACGACGGGCTTGATAGCCTTTGGGCCGCCACGGATTTTTTGACGGTGGTTCACGTGGCCCACCAACTGCGCATGCTGGTCCGACACCTTGCAGCGAGCAAGGACTTGGCGACAAGAGGGAAAGGTGTCACGCAAGGAAGGAAGGGCGGGGGAGGGACAGAGAGAGAGAGAGAGAGAGAGAGAGAGAAGAGAGAGAGAGAGAGAGAAGAGAGAAGAGAGAAGAGAGAAGAGAGAAGAGAGAAGAGAGAACAGAGAAGAGAGAAGAGAGAAGAGAGAAGAGAGAGAGAGAGGGGGGGCGGAGGCAGGGGCAGAGTGACAAAAAGATTTCTGTCGCTGCTTCACCTATCAACTGGGCAAGTTTTCATCCTGAAGATTGAACGGGTGAACAGTGGTCTCCTTCCGTTAGTTGGTCTAGACAAACGCAATCTCCTGTGAGATCTGGAAGCGTGTGTCGAGTATGCGCGAAACCTTGCATGGCAAGATTCCAGGCACTGGTTCGACAAATTAAGCTCTGATTCGATTGCCCCCTTAGGTGCCATTCGAATCTAAGCGGGCTTTTGCTTGGTAGCTGCCGACTCCTTGACCCTCCAGCCCGATAGCCTGGAAAGATTCCTAGCCGCCCTAGCTGTCTTCTAGCAAGTCCATAGCTGCACTGATCTTCCAGAAACAAGGGCCGGCACCCTGTGCAGGTCATCCTCCATGCAAGCCAGTGCCTGCCATTTTCGATTCTCTTGACTGTAGCATGAACAACTGGCAAACAAGAAGCTGGAATCCGGTGCAATTACGAGCTGCGCAAGCACATCCGTTCATCGAAATAGGGGTTGCCTTGTAGCATACAAACATTCCGAACTCACCTCTTTGGCTAATACTGGGTCGGTCGGTCGAGTCATACGCCAAGCGGCGCGTGGATAAGCACCATACGACGGGGTCATATACAAGTCTGGCTACGTATTTCACGGTGACCGGCAATTTGAATGCTCCAATCACGCCTCGGTCTCCCAAATCTGTTGGTTGCAGGCTGCAGTGTTCCATTGATGAGGGCAGGTTGATGCATCACATGGTCGTCTAGGGTATCGCACATCTGTGGCTGCATGATTATTGGCACGGCGAAGGACCTCCGCATTGGATACATGGGTGGCATACGAAGACTTTGATACAGGCAGGAGTTTGAAAGCCGTTGTCGTCGGCGTCCGCTGCAGAAAGACATAGATAACTTAGAGGGACAAACAAATTGGATTCGATGAGATGCCAGAACATCAGCTGTTGCCATACCGATACGACGAGCAAGCTCGTGCCCAGGTAGACCGTCGTGAGTAAGAACCGATCCGAGATAATGCTAGCGACTCCTGCGAGCGCTCACGTGCTCTCCATGCAGGGGTCCGATTCGCCGAGACTATGCGAGGAGACAAAGAATCGCCTCCTTCAGGCTGAGGTTTTCGGCCTCCAGCGACTCGCAATCCTGAAGTTCAGCAGGGCTTCGGAGACGCTCAGAGCTCAGAAGGGATGTTTGCTCGAGTAATTTCTCGTGCCTGCTTGAACTGGCGCAGCGAGAGGCAGAGCTCCCGGTTCTGAAGACGAAGTTCAGTGCCTTCGGGCCTCGGGCGCACCCTTAGCGACTCCCCGACCTTCGGCTTTCGGCTCTGCTGAGGCTGCAGCAAGTCCTGCAGCTCCTGAGGCCTGATAACAAGTATCGCTCTTGGCCCAATTATGATCTGGACTCCATGTGTTGCAGCGGCATGACAAGCTGGGCGGCGGACCCTTGTCCCTGCTCCATCAACCAGTCCCATGCCTTCGGAGCTTCAGGTGAAAACTCTGCATGCTGTCAAACAGTCTCTTCACATGTATACTGTATACTGTATGCAGTTACGTCTTTACAGATTTTCACCCTCAGCAGCCGTCAATCGGGACTGCAGGAGTTGCTCAGGCTTGGGCGGCATCGGCACCATGCCAGCGCGATGCCACCGCCATGGCCGCCTTGCGTCTGCCTGAGCAAAGACCCTTCTTGGAGGTTCATGGGTAGGTATAAGTGGGGTTATAAGTCCCCAGTATGTGCTACAACTATATATATATATATATATATATATAGTTATTGCAAGTGCGCAAGGCGCAAGCTATCCCTGCAGTGCTCTGCACATGGCACTATCCTCTCGGATGGAGACATGCTGAGACTCGTGCCCAAAAGAAGCTCTGCCCTCTGCTTCCACAGCCTTGGAACAGGTTCAGTTGAATTACGCAGCACGTCTTCTGGGTCAGAACTGTGACATGTCCCGGGTTCCGAGCAGGGTCTCTTGCTGCGTAGCCTGTGGGGATTCAGGCGATTAAAGATGCTCAGATGCTCAGACGACCGGTCGGTCTACATCCACCGATTTTCTCTTAGCCTTGCAGCACATGGTTTCAAAAAAAGACGAAAGTCAGATTCGGGACTGCGATCTGGCCCTGGCCACCCTCCGGCCTCCAGCGTAGAAGATGCTTCCGCGATCTCAAGCTTGAGGGCCGCAAGGGAAGCCTCCTGGGCCTGAAAGGAGCTCTTCTTTTCTACAAGTAGAGCTTCGCTCAGAGACCGAAGTTCGAAACTGCAGGGTGCACCCCTCTCGCGGCATTTTCGACTCGAGGAGTCTCAACAGCTGCAGGAGAGCACCGCGCTCTGCATGGTTCGACCGGTCGTGCACCTGGCGGAGAGCAATCCAGCAGCCAACTTAGGACAGGCCCTTAATAGCCAAAAGCTATGTGGGTATCTCCACTGGAAGGCGCCATGAAGATGGGACGCAGGGCTGCTGCGGCTGCAGGGGCTGCAGCAGTGGCAACCTGAATCTCGGAAGCACAGCAGTCTTTCCACGTCACTCTGTCCACATGCTGACCTCATTGACTCGCGTGCATGGTGAGCGAAACAAGACATGCATGAGTATCACGACTGGCAGTCTGCACTTTGGGGATTTGACCAAACTACGGCGGCCTTCGGCAGCTTCCGTGCAAACAGATTGTCTCATCGACAGACTCCCAGCACCCTTCAAGACTCAAGCATACTCAGTTCCAGAATGTGGGCCGCTGTCACAAAACATTGTCTGTCCATGCGACAGTGGTTTGGCAAGTTTCCCTCAGGCTTAGGCAGGGCTTTGTTCAAGGAAAAGGCTCATCATGAGCTGTCTTCCAACCCGAACCCACCTCGAAGGACTCGGCACCGACGACGCGCCCGGCACCCTGCGGCGCCTTAGTCCGAGGGTCGCCGGCCCCCGTCGGTCCCACACACCGTGCCTTGCCGCTAAAAAGAAAAACAGTGGTCAACGAGAGATGATGACGACGTAAATATATATATATATATATATATATATATATATATGGACGCATGACATGCAGACGATGTCGGCATAAGGCAGACCCGTGGCCGGCCTTGCTCTGCCAGTTGGGCTCCAGCGAAGACGCGCACCATGCGTCAATGGCAGAGGATATGAGCTCCCCAGAGGCAGCCTTCGTCACATCGTCCTGCAGCGTGGCGCTTTTGCAATAATTGTCAGCTTCCGCAGCGGTCCCAGCGGGTACTGACAGCACAACCAGGGGCTTGACACTCAGGAAACTACTAGTGTAGCCAATACGACACTCAGTCTAAGGACGAACTGCTGCTACAGTGATCGGATCTGCTGCTGCGCTTGTCTCGGGAGCACCTCTGGCCCGAGTTCCGGCTGCAGACGAAGGGTACGACGAAAATGCAATGCTCACAGATCCTCGCCGGCGGCTGCGGCGATGCAAGAAAGGCTCCTCCTGAGAAATTCATAGAAAGTCGGTCACTTCCCGGAACGCTATCGCAGTGTCGCATTTCTATCTTGCATCTGCTCCTCAAAATTCTGACACCTGAGTGACATGCACGTGAGGTTTATTTGGTGCGCATGGAAGATGTCAGTCTGTGGTTTGGCTCAGCTGCTCGCGCCTCCGAGCGAGCGGCAGCCAGTCAGGGCTGCTCTGAAAGTCCAGCTGCTGCAGCACTGCGGCGGCGAGCGCGTCGCCCAAACTGCTTTGCCGCCTACATGGATCCGCCGATGTAGAAAGGGGGTGTCAGGGCGTGTCGCGGGAACGGAAACATACGGGTAAACCGCGAGGGGTGTGGGGGGCCGGGGCCCCCACTCCAGGACCGGCTCGCGGAGCAAAGGGTCCGACTGGCCCTTGGTCGGCTGCGCGCAAAGCTCCCGGAGCCTCGCGTAGACCAGAGAACTCGTGGACCAGAAAACTACACTATTCTGGGGGGCTCCTTATTATAATCATGATGATAGAATATACCCCAAAACCCTGTTCTAAGTATCATTCCCAAACCCTCTGGGCTTCAAGTGAAAGACACCCCCAGCCGTAGAGCAAACAGGTGGCTTGATCCAATTATTGAAATGATCGGCATCAGTTGGGGGAGCTTGTACGCAAACGTCAAGGGAGGGATGGAGAGAGTTCTATGCTCAACAGCATGCGGATCCATGCATGGAGCCTCACTTTGCTATTTGCTACTTTAGCTTGCCAGGTGCTCTTTCGAAGAAAGTCTACACCGTTGGGTAATTGCATGAAAAGATCTGCAGCCTGCCGCTCCCTTGACCCAGGCTCGCCCTGGACACATCACAGGAACCCGGTTGCATGGGGTGCCTCTTTTCATGCCTTCGCCTTCGCTCCGTAACACCTCTGCCGTGCCAACAACACATGCTGAGGTGGCTCGGAGGGTGCATTCTGCTCTGTTCGACGTCCCGTTCCTGTCGGTCCCGGCAATCTATTCGATGGAATTGGAGCTGTAGTTTTTCGAGGGCATCTGAGATCACTCGATAGCCCATCACCACAAAGGCTCCGCGCTTAGAGGTGTCGCACACCATCGGTCTGCATTCTCCGGGAAGTTCGCCGCAATGCGCAAGGCCACATCATCGCCGACAGCTGGAGTTGTTGGTCATCTGGTCATGCTGGAAGGACTTCTTCCACTTGCGTTGCTTGTGGAGGTTGGCGGACTTAAAAGCGGATAACCTGGCAACAGTTTACGTCACAGTGGCCAACCTCCAACCATCTTCCCTGCAAGCAATACTAGTTACTAGTAATTACCGCAAAATGCTGCATCGTGACTCCTCAATTCGTCGCCTTGGCATGTTGATCCTATTGACATCCAAGTTTCCACCTGCTGCTTGGCCGGCACTTGGCACAGGCAAGATCCGAGTAAGGTCATGCAGCTCTCGTCGCAATGTGTCACATTCCTGAGAGACTCTCCCCTCTCTTGCTCTTCACCGCTTCGACAACAAGGGGAAACAATGCTTAGACTGGCCAGGTATCATGCATAGCAACGCTGTAGCATTTGGACTCTGAGGTGCAAAGACTCCGCAACTCGTGAACAATGGCCGTCTCCTCGGAGCAGAGCAGCAGAGCAGGACAAAACAAAGCAGCTTCTTTTAGGCATCGCCAGGGCATCTTTCCATCTTCATACCAGGTAGCACTTGTCAGGGCTGCCTCCATCTCGGAGTTCTCTTCAGTCAGCTCACTCTGCCTCTCTTCGTCTGCATCATGCTCTTCCAAAGCTGCCTGTGCGATGTCAGTGATCTCAATACTAAGGCGAATCATCGTCCATGCAGGAATCAGATGAACATTTTTTGCCACCCGCTCAGATGAACATGGATTGCTTGCTTGCATGAGTACCCGAAAGCCGCACAGACAAGAGAGTACAAGCAGCCCCTCGCCCTCCGCGCTCAACTCTCTCTCTCTCTCTCTCTCTCGCACCCCTTTTTGGAGCTCTCTCTTCCTCCGCACGGCCAAAAGAGCAGTGGTCGCTAACTCTCTGCATGCTCAAGCGCCCACTGATTTAGTAGGATCTCTCTCTTTCTCCCTCGCTCTTTCGCAATGTCGAATGTTACCACTGTCGTGCTTCTGCGTTTTGAGCAAGCATGGATGAGAGGGCCTGGAACAGCGACAAGTGCCTCGTCTCTCTCCTTTCCTCTTCTTTCTTTGGTTATCGGGCGAAGTCGTAAGCAGCTGGCAGTGGCCGTCCGTGTTCGTGCGTCGGCCTGCCTGTCTGTCCGTTGGTATGCCTGTCCCTGTCGGTTTCTTCTCCGTCAATCTCTATCACTATATCAGATTCTATCATCTCTCTTGCTTCGAACCCCGGCGGAGTGTCAGCTCTCGCTCTCTTTCTGTCTCTCTACTGGAGATGTCCGGGTGTCAGCTCTCGCTCTCTCTCTCTCTCTCTCTCTCTCTCGCTCAGGTACCTTGCACTCGCTCAGGACAAGGGCTGCCTCTGAGGACTCGGACCTGAGGGAGGCGTCTCGAAGTAGGTCGACAGGTCTCGAGCACAAGCAAAACCCCTAGCGGCCCTGGCTGCATAGCAAAGAGGCTTCAAGTGCTGCGCTTCCTGCGCTGCCTTGAAAGCCTCGATTCGGAGCTGTCGAGCCGATTCCAGCTGCATCCCTCAGGCACAGCAAGCTGCAAACTGGCGCCTCCAGACTGAAAGACAGTGCGTAGCATAGCATGCAGAATGCACACCAAGGCTCTGGTCTCGGCTTCTGCACGCTGGATGGCCATCTGCTGGGCTGTGGCCTTTGCTTCCCACAGTTGCCCTTGGCACCCGAACTTCCATGACATGCCTCACTCTCCACTCTGTTCTCCCGCCGCCGCTCTGCAACAAGCTGTGCCTGCGAGCAGGAAGAAAAGCCATCTGTGCCAGAGCCCTTGCAGTCACAGGCTGAACACAAAGCCCAGCACCTCCAGGGAAGCCGCAGCGATGGATTCCCGCTGGCTCAAGGCACGCTCTGCTTGGAGCTCTGCCTGGCCTCGCGGCGGAAAGGGTAGCTGCGTAGCTGTCCAAAGAAACATAGCAAGACCACTCGCGGCTGGCAAGTTTGCACCCCACTGTGCTTAGTTCCAAACACGACTTTAGCTCGTCTTCCACCTTGGTGCCCGAGCTGGCTCCAGCATGGTGCAGTGCTACTTCTGCAAGGTACCAGAAAACACTGGAGCTGCGTCTAGGCTACATTCAGAAGATGCTGGCGAAGTTCGTCGGCAGCAGCCTGGTCCTGGTCTCACGCACTCAAGCGAGACAGAACGCGCGTCCACATGACTGCTCTGCGATATCCCAAGCTCCCGGTGCAGTACTTCACCTCAAAAGCCATGCTTAGCAGGATGTGCTGTTCCAAGCCACATGGCCCGAAGCCGCTCCAGCTGTGCCATCCATAGCGAGCTAGCTCATCAACGTAGACATTGTGAGTCTTGGCGTGTCTGAAACGCACATACATGCATGATGTATATTACCTTTCAGTCATAAAATCCTGGCATAAGCGACCCGGCCCCTCACCACACAGAGTCTTTCGCGGGGTATATCGGGGAGGCTTATGCCTGTGTGCTTTTCGGGCCCGCCTGCCCCTAAGGCTGGCGACAAGCTGTGACAAGGCTCGGACTTGAACATGGATCAGGGGCAGTGGAACCATTCCAAGCTGTGCCACACAGGTGCCTACCGCTTGCAGCTGCTTTCTGTGGAGTCTTCATGAACAGCTTTTGTCGCTCGTCCCTGCTTCGGACTGCGCTGTCCCAGATGTTCGCAAATGTCCTACGGTTCCTGCAGTTGCTCTCGCAGGCCTCGTCGTCGATCCCTGTGAATACTGCACAATGGGTATGCAGATGATATGCCTCAGTGGCCTGCCACAGGTCGCAAGTATGCTGTGGCGGACGAAGTTCTTATCTCGAAAATCCAGGCCAACGCGAAGTTCAGGTGAATGCCGCATGCCACTCTTGACCACCGCCTGTTCGCCCATCTCCAATCAGAACTCCTGCTCCTCCCGTGGTTAACCAGGAGACTCCCGTGGTCAACTAGGACTCCAAACCTGTGAAGGGCTCCGGCATGAAGTGGAACCTGCAGAAGGCGCAGGTCCTTGGCCCTGCCCCTCGCTCGGGCGCGATTCGGGAAGAGGGCGCGCAGCGAGCTGAGACTTGTGCAAAGTGGAGGGCGGATGCTTGGTAATGAGCCGTGGCGTGGGGCTTGAAGGTCTGAAGGGTTTGCGTCCCTTGCGAGGAGAAGTGGCCTTTGCTTCCACCTCACCAGACAGCAGGACAAAGCAACCCTGTAAGCTCCAATCCATCACATTGACATGTCTGCATTTCGAGACCCCACTTTCTGGCCAAGACACCTGTGCACGGGGTTGCTCAAATCTGGGAGACGCTGCTTTGCGTAGTTGCAAATTTCCCAGTCTGTCTTTGTCAGGTGCGAAATCTCCAGCACGACGAGGAGAAGCATCCTTCGCCGGGCTTGCGGCAGTTGAGTCTTGGCTCGCCTCAAGGGTCGGCCAAAGCAGTGGCCAAATTTCAGGTCGATGCCAAGAAGACAAAACTAAAACCCAAACAGAGGTTCATGCTTCGCTGCTTCCCAATTGCCGTCATCGGGCTTCGCAGCGGCGAAGTTGCTTTTTCATGCCTACCAGTCACGGTCCTACAGCTCCTGGCCGGGGAAGTCGCCCTGCGGCCCAGTGAGACTTCTCCGATGTCAGAGCTGCGCACGCTTCGTGCGGGCACCGTCGCAGTAGATGGGGCCTGCAAAGCGCTTGTCGAAAAGTCATTCACCCGATGCTGTGGTTCTCACTGAGGCCTTCACAGCCTTCTCGGGTTGGGCTTCCGGCTCGGTTTGCACTTCGGCATCTCTGCTTGTGGGCACAGCCTCCGAAGAAGCTGCACTCCTTTCAGCTCCCCCTTCCCTGCTTGGGTTTCGTGCCTGCTGGGTGGGCCGTCGAATGCACTGCACCTCTCCCTCCAGTCCATCGCTCCTGGCTGGAGATGCATCCTTGGTGGAAGCCTTGCACAGCACATGGGGGGCTTCAAGTGCCGGCGCAAGTGCTATGCAGAAAATGAAACCCAGCCTCAAAATCTTAGAACATGCCTGTTCGTCAAGGGATAGTTTCCCTGTGGCAGACAAAGGGGCATCTGCGTCCGGAGCAGCCTCGAAGGTAGTAGACATACTGAGGTGACCATCATCCTGTGGGTCAGCATCAGCTTCCACGTCGAAGTCCAGCACCTCTGCATCCTGCGCTAGCTCGACTGGAATTGACAGATCATTCGAGCGTTATAAGAGAGAAGACTGAGCGGCCTTCTCGTCTAGGACACTCCGGCGGATCAAACCTCCATCTTCGACCATTTCCGTCCCAGCATGCGGGCTCAGGTTGCAAGCCTCATCGATGAAAGTCTGCACTGGACTGCACAGTTGCAGAAAAGTGAAGCGCAGGCACCTCCCCAGTCGGGCTCTCTGCATCCATCAGACAGGATGAGCCACTGCCCCTCTGAGAGATCTCACCGGGCGGAACCTGCGACAAACAAAGGAACACCTCTGCTTGCAAAGGAGGTTCCCTTCACACCGAGAAGCATCCGCATCCACTTCGTCCGACAAATGGCCGTGGGAGAGCGTAGCTTGAGACTGGTCAAGCACCGACTCCTGCGAGATCTGCGACACACGAGCCAAGGGCGATACCTCGCGACCAGGCGGGGTGCAGCTTCACTGTCAGAGTCCCGGCGCTGGTCAGACTTGAAGCAAATGAGCACGCCAAGCCGCGTCCGCGCAGGCTAGCGTCAAGTCAGTAGCGGTCAGGGACGGGCTCTGCGGGCTAGCATCAGGGTCTGACTGAATGCTGCTCCCATAGAATGATGCCTGGTGCGAATTCGAGGCAACGTGCACGGCAGCAGCAAAGACACTAGAAGCCCCAGCACCGCCTGCATCGCATCTCTGGTCGAGGGCTGGCCGTCCAGCAAGTGAAGCGAGTTTCTCAGAGTTTCTAGGTCTACAGCTGCGCCCAGGCAAGCACCATCCTGGGATTTCTGGCCAAGAGCTCGGATGAGATGGTAGAGGCGGTTGGGGGTGGTTAGGGCAGAGGGCAATGCAAGTCAGAAAGAAATCTTCATGGAGAGTAGCTTCGAGTCTGCGGCAGCAACCCGTTCAAGCGACTTGCGTAGTGTCTAGATGCTAGAGATTACATTAATACTGCTAGATGGCTCCGAAGGCAAGGCTCGAGCGGAGTTGGGGCGGAGAGAGAGTTGGAGGTTGCCCAACCACGCAAAGCTAGAGCGGAGCCGCGCAGAGCATCCTCGCGGCGCCCACGCAGGCGGGCGTACTCCACCAAGACGGCCTCTCAAATCAGACTCAGACTGCGAATCGGAAAGGTCGCTTTGCCCAGTGTCCTTGACAGACTTGGCTTCCTCCCGCAGCTGCTGCCGAAATTCCATCGCCAGGGCATTCTCAAAGTGCAATGAGTTGCGAAGAGCTTCGGACTCTTCGGCAAGTTCCCTCGTTTTGCGGGCCTCACAGTTTGACACAAAGCAAACTCGACTCTTTCTCGAGGTCAGCTTTTGAGAAACTAAACCTATCCGAAGAGATGAACGATGCGTTGACAAGCTTCGGTCTCCAGTGAAGCATCATAGTCAGCCAGGATGGCGTGAGATTCCAACAGAATTTGTGCCAAGGTGACGGACTCTTCTTGCATGTACCGGGCATCCTCTGCAGAACACCTCGCCTCTGAACAAAGCGAGCAAGCTGCTTCCAAGTCCTGGCGAGAGGGTGTTGATCGGAGCGGCTTGCAGACATGGCCGGAAAAGGGGTGCCCCTCCTCGATTACCGTCGCCGATATGCTGGAACCTCGCGACCGTAAGCTACCAGCAGTGCATGAACAAGCCAATCTGCCTCCTGAGTCTAAGTCTCTTGTGCCTCATGACTCACACTTTCCTGAGATTCGAAGAAAAGCACTCCAGAGCTTCCCTTTCTGACGGGCCTTCGACCTCCAGCCACTCGCTGTGCTCTCGAGCTCGCTGCACTTCAACCTCACCTCTTTGCAGAGCCATCGCGTGCTTCTGCGCCGACTGCCGCTCCTGGGACCGTCAAAAGCACGCACGCAGCATCTCTGCTCCTTCTACTCCGACTGCCGCTTGGGGACATAATAAATCTCTGAGCGGCAGCTGCTGAGAGCTCGTTCGGAAGCAAGGAGCTCCTGGAGGAAGCAGTCTCTCTTTGGCGACGCCTACATCAGCCGACATCCGCATTCCTGTCCTGCTGCAGCCGCATCGAGTCACTCTGCATGGTCTCCGCGCCGCCAACCATCGCGCATGCTGGGCTTGGGGGGCCCTGCTGCGGGACGGCGGGAATGCTACGAGAAGCTCATCCTCGAAAGCTGGGCCTGAACTGGCTGGGAGCCGATAGCAACAGAGACTTCGCGGTGCGGAGTTCAGCGGAGCAGAGCAGCAGAGTGCCTCCTGGCTGATGCTCTGCAGAGCCTCCGCTGCAGCGAAGCCTTCAAGCGCTCGTCCAACAGCCCATGCCACTCCAAGGAATCCGCGGCGACCTCGCGGCCCGTGGTATCCGTGGGCAGTGAGGGCGAGAGCTGAGGCTTAGCTCAGGGCAATCGCAAGACCCGAGTGTTCCCCATGCCGGTCCTCCTCCTGAGCAGAGGACGAGCAAGAGCTTCAGCAATCTAAACCAGCTTGCACAAAGGCTCTGCGTTGTCCTCGAAAGTGTCTTCAGTAGCTTCGCATGCTGCAGCGCCAGCGAGGCGTGTCTGGGCCACCAAACCAGGCGCCAGGGAGTGGAAGGCTGATGCCTGGCACTGCCCAACCCTCAAACCCCTCAGGATCTTGAATATGTCCCGTGAGGTGTGGCCCGCATTTGTGAAAGCGAGTGCACCCTGGTGAAGATTTCTGCAGGCAGCCTCAGCCGCTTGAGTTGCGATATCCAAGCCAAGAGCATTGGGCTGGATCTTCTGCTCGACCATCTCCATCAAGAGCTCAGGGCACATGAGCTTTCGAAGTTCATCAACCCCTTGAATCCCCTGTTGGAACTGCAAGCTGTGCGCAAACAGGCAGACGAGAATGAATAGACTCTAGACTCTGAGTAGTCTGAATCGACCTTGGCATGTGGCGCAGGCTCCATGCGACGCCTCCAACACCAGGCTGCTCTTCGACCGGGTCATTTCGGGGCCACTGAAGGCGCCCAAGGCGCTTGTGAAGCTCACCCGTGTAGGCGCCTCAGTGCAAGTGGCCACATGAGGAAGCCAAAGCGGCGAAAGCCCCATGCGCTTCGATGCGGATTGAGGCTGCTACAAGTCTTTCGCTCGGCATTTCACGAAGAAGTGCCAGGCATGTGTGCCACTTCTTGCTTTTCCTGAGTCGTCTGGTGAGTCTGAGGGAATTATCAAGCGTCAAGACTGTGACGGAAAAAAGGCTCACCAATGCACGCCCGAGCACGCGGACGCACTGATTGCCGAGTTCATGGTGGGTATGCCCACACGGAGTCCAGAAAAGACGGCTTCGCAAAGCAGCTGCAGGCCCCATTGCCACTGCCAGCCATGATCCTTGGTCCACATGGTCCCAAATGGTCCCATCCCCTCGTCCCTAGCCCTATCCGTCCCTGCTTTCCCCTTGGGCAAGTCTCGCATGCGCTGACTGCACATCCATAAGTCCTTGCTTTGTCAAAGTCTGCACAGGTCTCCGATGTCTCCGAGGCATTCAGAAGTCAAGTAAAGCAGGCTTAAACTTCGTGCAAACCATAGAAACCATGGAGGGCCGATTGCAGCGAGTAAGTCGCCCACACGTCATCTGCCGATTTGTCCTGCGACTTCTAGGATTCTAGGCCGACCACCCAGTTCCGCTGATATTACGCACTTTCGTTTCTGGGCTAAGTGGGCCTCCCTGAGGTGCGGAGCGTCGATTTCCAGATGTCTCCGCACACCCTTCCAAAGGTGCAGGCCCCACTGCCACTGTGACACCTGGCTGGACCATCACTCGTGACAAGCATCACTGACCCACACACACACAGACACAGAGAGACACAGACACAGACGAAGCGAGCATCTATCCTCGCGGAAATTTGAAAGCGCGCTCCGCGAATGCGACATCAGCCACTCTAAACACAGCATCGGCCAAAGACAGGAATGGCTTCGACGCCCGCGCTAGTGATCACAACAGTAGCATGCAGACAGCGCGCATACATGTCAACTGCAGGGACTAGTCTTCTAAGCTGCGAGCAGCGAAAAAGAAACGGTCAGAGGGACTGAGATGGACTGAGCACAGATGCCGCCGGTGCTTGCCACATGATGCCGCATGCGGCAGAGAGGCTTGACAAACTTGCGGCGTTTTGGACCAGCAGGTCTAACTCTGCACCGGTGCGAGTGCACAGTAGTGCACAGCACACTTCAGTCTTCCCGTCGCTGTTGAGATCTCCCTGCAGAGGCACATTTGCCCCCGCCGTGCTCTTTAGCTTTTGACAGTGCGCGCGAGCCGGGGTGCAGGAGGGTTGCAAACTGGAAACATGAGGGCTTGAGTACGAACAGAACTCGCGCCTCACGACATCGTTCAGCCCATCCCACCCCATCTGAACAGTGAGTTGGACAAAAACAGGCACATGAACCATCAAGACCTTACAGTATCTTGCGAATCCTTCCTACTGCCGTATTTTCGGAATCAAAGAAGCAGATTGCCCAAACACCTTGCGGCAGCAAGCGAGCGCAGCATTGAAGCTGACCACGTTCGCGGCTATGCGCTTGCCAGGGCGGTGCGCGAAGAGCTCCTACCGAAGTCTCCGCACGAGCTGTCTGCGGGCATCTCAGGTTTACTAATTAGATGGTCAGCTGTGACTATCCCTTGCCGTCCTGCAAAAACTCGAGACCTCTTTGCCAATGCTGGCGATACCTGAAGATGACACTTCGCTCCGATGCTGTCCCAAAGAGGGCGCTGACAGCTGGGAGACTCGAAGGCACTGATGGCAGAGTTGTAGGTCATGCTGATTGGCGCCAGACCCTGCACCTAACCAGAGCCATGGAAGCACGAAACGAGGTCCACGACATGGGAGTTTCCGACAATAGGGGATCCTAATATAGTACCCCAAATAGTAGGATCCTTATCATAAGGATCCCAAAATATGTAAGGTACCCCTATTTTCGGAGAAACCTGTGGCTGCCGAGCCAAGGCGAACGAGGTGCCCTCAGGATGTCGTAGACATGAACCGCCTGTGCCCAGCTACCGCTGCGGCCACCACAGGCAGTGATCGCCTTACTTTGTTCGCCACCGGCGACGACTCTTTTAAAGTGTCTCGCAGCTTGCGGTTGTAAGGCATCGTGCAACACATCAAACATCAGAGTTGCCGAGTCGAAAGCGATGGTGTTGGCCTCGATGCTGCGGTCTTTTCTCATGTGGGCCAGGATGGCGCAAGCCCGGAACCACTTCAGAGCTTTGGCGCAGGCTGCCACCTGTCTCAGACAAGAGAGGACGCAAGAAAAGTGTTGTCATCCGGACGGCATCTTGGTAGTGCTGGGTCCTGCGTTAAGAGTAAATGGGATTTTGGTCGCTCGCAACTTGGGCCCGTTTACTGCAGCGAACCGCTAACCGAACCTGCTACTGGGTTCCTTGCAGGCTATCGACCTTCATCCAGACTCCGAGCCCGTTCTCTTCGTTTTGGCTCGTTTCCTCATGATCGATGCACAGACGACAGAGGCAAGCCTGTTGCGCGGCGAGTTCCGAATGTAAGCATGGATTGTGGCAGTACGGTTGGTGACCTCTGAAACCCAAGCGCACACGTGAAGCACATGCATCCGTTTACATTCAAGACTCGGCCGGTCCACTGGGCAAACAGTAGCAATCCCGACTAACCAAGTTCTGGGGCTTCGGCTGTTGCACTGCAGGTGATGAGATTGGGCTGCAAGCTCTCACAAACAGTCATGGACTCGAGGGTGGTCAGCGCAAAGTGCCATTGCCTCTCCTGGAGATCATCCAACACTCATAGCATCATTGCAGAGGCTTCGTACACTCTACCCTCGCAGGATGGCAGCTTGCCACACAAGTCCTTGCCGAGCCTGAGGCATGAGGCGTTTCACTCCGACCGTCGCGCGCGCGCTCTCTATCACCGCACACAAGAAGGGGCTGTGGATGCCATCAAGCTACCGGCCCAGAGCCGCTCCGAAGAACACCTGAGTCGGAAGGGTTTGGCAGGATAAGGGGGGGACTCCTTGTGGCGTGTCAGGGAGCCTCGCCTCATCTGGCCGAAGTCGAAGGGACGGCAACATAGACAACAACGCCAAGACGTCTTCCCAGTTTCGCACGGATCCATCCTGAGAAATATCCTGGATAGAGGAATTGGATGGATGCCGGTGGAGGGCCCTCTGAACCCCAAACTACAAAAACCCGAAGCGCTCTCAACTCCTTCGTGAACTGCACCAGGGTGTCTCGTTGACGCAGAGGCTTTCGCCATGTCGGTATCCGCCGAGAGTGATAATCCTAGGGGAGTTGACTTAACTTCAACACAGGACAACACAAAGGTAAAGCAAGCCAGACAGTGGAGTTCTGCTACTGTCATAAACGCAGACCTTCAGTAACCTCCTAGACATTGCCCACACCGATGAAAAGAGGAAAATATATGGGTATAGGGTGTGGAAGGCAGAACTTCGGCACAAGACGAAGCTCGAAGCTGGCTTGGCGAGGCCGAGGCGACCATGCCAGAGACATGCGGCAAGGGCAGCTCTCGTCGTGTCTCCTTGCGGGGGCCGAGCCAGGCGGCCAGCTCGCGAGACTTATCTGAGAGCACAGTAGACTACTGCCTCCCGAGCCTCCATGCACGCAGAAGCCGCACCTCTCACGCCTCGTCGCCGTGTCGCCCGTCGACAGTCGAAGTGCTTCATGGCTGGAGTTCCTACACTCTGACTCTGGAACTTGCGACCCTCATGCAGTCAGGGATGTCCGTATAAACTAAGACGTACATTACTCCCCGAAACCCGAGATAACGTCGGCCTGAAGCATGAGAACTCCGCCAGCACATCGTGTTCTCAGGCCGGCCGTGCTATCTTTGCATGGAGCTTGGGCCGTTCATGGGCACGGCACAGCACAGCTCCATTCTGCATGGGTGGCTATCTGCGAAGTCTCAGTCTTCCCGGCCACCTCATGCGACTCCGCCTCAGTTAGGCGTTCGCCTTCCATCTCCTCTTGGCGAGCCAGGCCTTGTGAGACTTACCTTTGGTTAGTAGGGAATGGAAGAATGGTAGTAAAAGTAGAACTTATCATTGTACCCCATTCCTCCATTCCCTACCAACCAAAGGCCTTGGGAGAGCTGCACGCCGTACATCGGAGCCGTCCGAACTTGAGTTGAGGCCGGGGCTCTGAGAGTGGGCCTCGGATTCGCCAGACAACCCAAAACCCTACGCTTTCTGGATCCCCTACAAGAACCCCGAACATACCCGCAATTCGTAACTTTGCAGTCAACTTGGAGTTTGGCGACATGAGAACCAGGCCTTCTGAAGTTTGAGCAGCTGTTCTTCGGTATCCTTCTGCTCCTGCGCGCGGACAGCCAGCTGCTGGCAGTGACCTGAGGGCTTCTGCCATACTCAACATAAAACCATATCCGTGATACAGGTTTATTCGTTCAACTTTTGCTTGCGCGCAATGCTACGTAGTTGTTTTTGCGTTCGTATTTATACGCATACTTAAACTTGTACAGTGTGCTTTTTGCACAATTCAAGTATCCTCATAATGGCTGGGACGGTATTTGCCACCTGTGCTGGGTGCGACAAGGGAAAAGCTGTCAAAGATCTTTTTCCTGCGCTGGCTTTGAGCGAAGCACCACTGATGAGTTGCACTGAGGCAAGAAAAGAATGGTCAGTCGGCACAGACCCAGGACTGATTCTTGGCTTGTCGTGGTGAGCTTGTGCTCAAGCCTTCTGAACCATGAAATAGTATCTCTCCTGAGTCAGCAAATGCGTGTCAGCGTGTGTAGCGGAAGCTGCGTTCTGTGCCGCCATGCGCAAAACTCGCAAACAGATCGGCTCACCCAGTTCAGTCGGAGTATCCAGATGCTGCCCTTTGGCCCACAAGCGGTCGAAATATGAGGTCCTTTGTCACGGCTCTCTTGCTCTTGTAAGGTGGGCCACTAGTGGCTCAGGCTGAATAGTTAAATCATGCAAAATCATTCTCAATATTCCAAGCCAAGGAGGGTTAGCCACTACAGTAAAGATTTTCAAAGTCAACCGGGGTGCGTCTGCTTGGTGTGCCCCACATGCTCATCCGGCATGCCGCAGAACACATCGATGTCGAACCTGTTCGAGGCATTCTACTGATGGGTTTGAGATTCTTGGGGTAGGGATTCCTTAATATTAACCCTATTATGGGAACCCTAATCCCTACTAAACCCCAATAGGCTAAAACCCCTTTTGGCCTCCTATGATCTACAGCCCTTGCAATCGATGTAGGTGCAGCAGACAGCAGGCGAGCGGCAGGTTTTCGCAGAGCTCTTCTGACTTCGCATTGCAGGGCCCGGCTGACCTGAAGCATTCGATTCTTGTTCACACCCGTAGTTCGCAAAAACTGATGTCAAGCTTTGAAGGAGGGGGCAGGAAGAGCTGCTGGTCGTTCTCGTCCAATAATTGCGAAAGCGTGCGCAGAAGACGTCGCACGTACCTGCCAAGTTAAAATCTGCTGCTGCCTAATGAGAGCCGCAAGGTCTGACGCGGCATGGAATTGTGCCGCTATAGCCTAGTGCTCGGCTAGAATGTCTACCTGCTTCTGCACACTAGAAGCATGAGAAGCCAGCTCGGATGTCAAATCATAGACAAAGCCCTTTTTGTTTCTCCCGCCCGAATCTGACCTCAAGCGCTGAAGAAGCGCTGAATTGAAGCGTCATGTCTTGGACATGCGCTCCTACGAACTCTTCGCAACAAGAACACGGATTTTTCAGTTGAACCACTCCTCACTCGGCAGAGGGCAATCAGCATTCTAGGGTTTGCATTTTAGGCAGCTCGACAGCCTTCACTTTCTGTGGAGGCCTACTCCGTGGATCCGCTTGTATGATCACTGTGTGAGCCGTCGACACCAGACAGGGCCACACTGGAGGCCTGCGACGGCAGAGAGCTGCCGCTGACCTTGGACATGGGCCTGTCTCGATCGTGGGTGCCTGCCGTCGTCTTCTTCGCCAGATGCAAGATCTGACGTTCCAAGACCTCGTAGGGATCCTCCTGGAAGTCCGATCCGGACTCGGGCCAAGGCATGGATGCCGAGGCGGAACCACCAAATCGCACGATGCTTTCCGTCGACGTGGGGTGGTCGGAGGCTGGCTCATGCACCTGAATCCCTCCTGCAAAGCCAATGTCCCCCTCAGAGAACTCCAGCGGCTCTTCGAGCTGCAGTGTCTCAAGAAAGTCTGCCCAGCGCTTTGCAGACAAACTCCGGACCGTCGTCACTACGACGCTACACCGCTTCAGCCGAGCATAACCCACCATGTCCTCATACCTGGTCAGGAACACGCCCAAGAACTGTGCCACCAGCAGGCTCAGCAAAAAGACAATGGCGAGCGTCACGAATACCGCAAGCATGAGGAGCAACACTGGATCCCTGTTGACACCTTCCAGCCTGTTCAGACTGAACATGCCGACTGAAATTTCCCAAAGGGAAATGCTGGCCTTTGGCAAGCCCGTGAAAGCAGCGCTGCTGTGGTCCAGCGTGCTCATGGAACTCGCGAACATGAGAATAAGGAAGACAAGCGCCCCCAAGAACAGACCCAGCTCCTCCAACACCTGGGCACAGCCAAGAGCGAAAGCCGCGAGCCTCATCGACAAAATTGACAAACCACTGAGGATGAGCCAGTAGATAAGCATTGTCATCATGGACAGCGTCGAGTACGCGTCCTGAAGACGTAAGCCAGCTGAACAATTTTGCGTGAAGAGCTCGCTGTCTCCGTTTGCCAAGCACCAAATCATCGGGTCGACGGCACATGTTAGCACGAGGAACAGCAACAGCAGAAACTTAAAAATGTTCTGGATATTGAGGAAGTAGGACGGCACCGGAACCATGCAGCACCAAGTGATGCTGTTTTCTTTACCCTGCCGTATGTCCCGAATCTCTGAACGAAGCCGCCGAGCATGTAGATACAGTAGCTGCGCCATGCTGCCCACATAGACGACGATGCGGCAAGAGAAGGTGGCAATTCTAACGGGCAAATCTGGACTCCCACCATTCAGATGTTGCAGGAAGGACTGGCTGAGAATGAAGACCGCCAAAAAGAACATGTATGCAAAGCGATCTAGGATGAAGAACCGGCTCGCCAGCCCATCCCAGATGGTGTCAGAGACTAGCAGGAGAACTGGATGGCACGCCAGTTCGGTGTCTTGACTTTCTGCTACCCATTCTAGCGCTTGGCTGAAGTTCCCGTCTGCGTCTTGAATCAAGTGCTTGACATAATAGTTGACGCGCCTCTGACCTTCGATAGCCGTCCTTGACCGCCAGATCAAACCATCTAGGAACGGTCGGATGAGAGACCGAGCATGGACGATGAGATAATGCAAAACGTCTGGATGGCGCTGGAATAAGGCATCACATCCGTAGAAGTACAGGGTCCGATCAGCCCGAATGGTGAGCAGATCCTCCCGTCGCACATCCAGGAATTCATGCTGAAACTAAGCAGATCTCTTTAGTCTTTAGACACTCTCAAGCGACATGTTACATCTTCGAACACGTGCCTGAAACATCGCACTGGCTACCTTCAAGCTCCCGTTGTCTATCGCCCAGTACAAGGGTGAGATACTCTGCGTGCCAACTGTGATGTTCAAGATCTGCGAAGCGCGCTTCCCACGTGGAGCAATTGCGATTGCCTTCTTGAACTCGAGGTCGTCGTCAGTCGTGACTGCCTTCATGACAAGCGTAGAGCCTCGCATGGGCCAGGCTATGCCAGGGTTCTTGCACGGCGGTGACCCCTAGCCCCTAGCCTGAACGCTAATATGCCCCTAATTTCTGGACCCCGCCTTCAATGACGGTTCTTGCCAGGACTTTACCGATGAGGGCAATGGACCAGCGGAAAGCTTCCGTGATGGCCTCTGACGTCGAGACCTTCGAGAAGGCCATAGTGACAGCCGTCACGAAAGGTGGGAAGAACTCGGTGGGGATGGACAAACCCACGTGCTTCAGGCCAAGCTCTGAGATCTGTCGGATGCTTTCTTCGGGCTCCTCGTAAAGCCGAAGACTCAGATCGATGACCATCTGGGAGATGAAGTAAAGCCGCGTGTTCGACTGCTTGAAATAGTCCTGGCCCGCAGGAGCCAGCTCGAAGAAGCTTTGGTGAACACTTTCACGGACTTGCTGGGCATCTTCCTCCGACAGGTTCTCCAAGAACTTGCCGAGCCGCCTCGTATGTGTCGATGGCTTGCCACGCAACTCCGTCAGCATTCTGTCCAAATGGCCCCATAGCCAATCCCAGGCGACCTCATGATCGTCACCCCAATCCGGCACGCAGGCCTTGAGCGAAGACATGGCCACCGATTTGAATTCCCTGAACTCCACTTGCGCGGAGAACTTGTCCACTCTGAGTGCTAGCGTGCTGCACTCTTCCTGCACACGGGCGGTGTTGGCAATGTTCTTCACCTGCAGAATTGCATGCAAGGCGGCTGAACAACTCATACTGCCGCATCGGGGCATGATAGGTCTACCCGAGAGCTAGAGATACTTTGCAGCTTGGTGGCAATGTTGTCAAGCTGCTCAAGTATCAAGTCCATCCAATGCTGACTTGAGTTGTACCCCATTACAGCCGCATTGAACATAAACATTTCCTGTAGTGGTGGCGGTCCGAGTCAAAGCGACATGGTGATCTACGGTTTGAACATCCTGATGTCACATTTACCAACTTATGATAATGCTGGAAAATCTGAGAGTCAAAGAAGCCTGTCGGAACACTTGCAGCATTGCCAGCACCCTCTGCACCTTGGGCTTGAGCCTGGGAATTTTCCGGATTCTCTTCGTCGTCAGCAGGAGATTGAGACCCTTCCGGCTTCTTCTCCGGCTCCTCTTCGGGCTCCTCCGACTTCGTAGCCGTTGCCCAAGAGGAATGAATGAGCCGCACACGAACCGCATACTCTCGTCGAATATACATGCATGCACCACCAACGTAGTTGATCAGGGCCGCTATTCCGTACTTTCCAGCTGCTGTTACTGTGCCCCCCAGGTCCATTTCAAGAAGATCCACGATAGCATCGCGAAAGTGTTGGATCTTCTGTCGGTTTATATCATAATCCATGTGCTGAAAGCCCAGCGTCTCCACCAGAGGCTTCAAAGAGGCCGGATCACCAGCGTTCGACACGACGGAGGAGAAGCCATTCACAAACTTCGTGGACAATACGGAAGTAGGAGTTTTGAAGAAGACTTGCAAACTGGGGTTTACATCGAAAACCGAAGCAAAGATGGCCTCGCCCGCAGCCTGCCGAGATGGATAGTGTTCCAGGAAGGCTTCCCAAGCTGCCTGAGCATCCTCGCAGACATCTGCTGCCAAGTCCAGATCATCAAGTGTCTCGTCGTTAACTTCCTCTGGAAGATCCTCGAGTCCATCGCCTTCGTCGTCTTGTGCCTCACCTTCTGGGCTGAAAATTTGCGCCCTCATCCATCACGCTGTGGGTGGAGCGACTGCTAGGAGGCGATGCGAATTTTGGGGCTTTGCCCTGTCCATGTCGTGCAGTGAACACCTGCTTGCAAGTGAGACTTGAGCCACAAAAAGATGGAACCTGGTTTCGCCTTAACGAAGCTGCAGCATGCTCGCACCCTCTGTCTGTCTCTTCTTCCTCGGGGCGTGAGGGGCGTGCGAGACCCCTCGGCCTTAAAGGCTCTGTCTGTCTCTGTCTCTCTCTCTCTCTCTGGCTAAGCCGTCGACATGACACGAAGGAGCTTCTGCACTCGACTCCGCTCCGGGCCTCCAGTTGTCGGACAGGATCGTGAGCTTGCCGTGCTGCTGCAACACGCGGTGGAGCCTGAGATATTTCTGGAGTTGAGAGACTGCACAAAAGGCAAGTCCCAGACTGCGGCTGGAAGCTGAGAAAAGAAGCCGCTCGTCAACAGCTCACTCTTGCTCTCTGCAGCCTCGTCTCCTTTCAACGTGCTCTCTGCAATACCACAACTTCGAAGCAAAGCAAGCCCTCGACCCGTCACCGTCCAAGCATTCCGTGTCCTGAAAAGTGAGGTGGCTCGGGGAAGTTGATGAAGATGTGCGATCTCAGCGGGGCAGCCCCAAATGCATGATTTCCATGATACGTACAGTCTCCGGGGCAGGCCATCGCTAAAGGATGCACAAATGCCGAAGATGTCAAGTGCTAGCCAGTTCCGTCGATTTGGGACTGCCGAGCTGCACCGATGCTGGCTTCATGTGCACTGGAACAATTCGTCCAGCATCACCACGGAGAAGACAAAGATTCTGTGCCTAAAAACTTGGTAGCACCGAGAACTGCGCAGACATGCACGAGGAAGCAAGCGAATGACCAAAAGACACTGCCGGCAGGCAGCCGGGCCTTGCGGAAAACCATTCCTTGGTGGCATCATTCTGCTCGCACTGCGAAGCTTTACAGGGTCTGCCTGCGTGCGTACTGGAAGTGCAGTAAACACGGTCTAACACAGTCTGCAAACCTCTGGCACCTGCAGCTGCTGTTTGTAAGATGCTTAATCACACTTCACAGCCATGTATTGAGCTTTCTGATGCGACCTGCGGCGAGCCGAGCTCAAATCGCTGTGTGCTGCAGCATCCGCACGAGCACCGTGTAATTCCTCTCGAGAGGTGGGATCAAGGCTTCTGCTTTCTCCCGCTCCCACCATACGGCTGTACCATTTTGCGCATACTCCCCTGCAATGACCCAGAGTGGAGCACGCATTCGGTATCTCCACATGTCAACTTTCACGAACTTGGGCAATTTTCGGTCGTTGAGGGGTCCGTCCGGGAAATATGCTTTGCTTATAGCCGTCTCCGGCGTCAACAGGCTAAGCACCGTCGCATCCCCCTCCAAGACCTTGGCCAAAAACGACCACATCCAAGTTTCACGTCGTTCCAGGTATACTTGGTGAGGCTTGAACCCTAGAAACCAAATGTTCCAGTCGAGCCTGTAGTGGTAAGGAGCACACAGACATGGACGACGAGTGAGGCTACCAGGCTTGCACGGGAACTCCAGCTCATGCCAGCTCCTCTTGTCGTGCGAAACCGACACAATAGCCTCATAGCGCTCCTGTCCAACGTTCCCAAAGGCGCCATATGTGTTCACAAGCCGAAAGGCTCCAAACGAAGCATTCATCATCTGGCGCCTCCCTTCTGACTGCAGCAAATTTTGGACCACAGGTACGGAGAGATATGCAATTATCGAAACGAGAGCTAGGTCAATCGTCCACCGGACGAGGCCACCGATGCGCAGCCGGCTCGCAGCAGGGCCAGGGCGGGCTTGGACCGCCCGATGCGTAGAGAAGAACACCGAGAGGCAATCATCGTCCAAACATGCAAGTGCTGGCACTATGGTCAAGTGGTTCAGGAACGAGAAGTTTCCGGACATGGCAATATTGAGCATGAAGAAGACCTGGATGAGCCCACCAAGGCGCCTCACATATCGAAGAGGACCCCAGCCAGGAACTAGGACCAACCACGCTGCATACAGCTGGACACATATGTCCAAATCCACTCCGGCTGACAAGATGCCTCGAGGCAAGAAGTGCCACAGAAAGGACAAAGGTGATGGGTTTGTCTGCGTCTCAAAATGATACCACAAGCAAGTACGGTCTGTCCAGCAGCTGGAGCCTCGCACTTTGATCAGACCAGCGCCAGTAGAGATTCGGAAGCAAAGCCAGCGGAAGAGCCAGAGAACTGGCAGCGATGGGCTCGCCGACAAATCCAGAGGGGAGGATAAGAAAACGGCGAGAAAGCCTGTTTCAAGCAGCTGGCTCTCCCAGCCGTACCTGTACCAAGCGGTTTCCTCAGCCGAGGTGACAATAGAGAAATAAGACAGCCAGAGAGCTGCAGCAAGAATGGAGGAGTGAAGCCCCATCATCATCGCAAAGCTGCATGCAAGCCCGAAGTAGCTAAGCAACTGCATGCTTTGATCACTCAGCTCTACGAACCAGAAGATGCTTGGAGCCTCCTGAAAACCTTGGAAAGCTGTCATTGTTTTCTTCTGCTCTTCCCAGCGATGTGCAACGGGGGTCAATCCTTGCGAACCCATCAATGCCAGGTTCTGATCTGCAGCCACCTTGAAGGCCACAAGATACATCAGGCCCAAGAGCCGAAGAATGATGGACTTCGTCAGCATGAAGCTCTGTCCCAAGAGCTCACCGTGAACCTTCGTCTCTGGTTCCTCGGCATCCGTGCTTGGCGCAGTTGCAGTAGCCGTAGCCTCCTGCTCATGCACACGCCGCCGCATGGCGTTTATTGGATGTAACTTGGGGAAGTCTCCCTGAGCCGGACATCGGATCGATGGGCAACCCATGGCAACCCCTCTTCACGCTGAAACTCAGCGAGCTGATTTGCTGTCTTTGCTTGGCAGGAAACAAGTCTTTCAAGAGAGGTTTACAGAACAGCTGCTGCCCAGAGGCGGCTGAAAATCTGATGCACACGATCGTGCCGCAGCTCCAGCGCCATCCAATTGGCGAGCCCTTGCTCAGCCTTTCAAAACCAAGCCCGCAGACTTCCGAGATCAAATGCACATAAACAGAAGTGTGTGTATATATACATTATACATACACATATGCATATACGCATACATATACATAGGCATACACATATTTAGATATATATATATATATGTATGTATGTATGTATGTATGAGGAAGTGTGCGGATGTGTGTGCGCGTGTGTATATGTATATATGTATAAATGCATATATATATATATATATATATATATATATATATATATGTGTGTGTGTGTGTGTATATATGCATATATATATATATATAGACACACATATACATACATATACATACATATAGAAATGTATGTACACATAGCGACACCATTTCATGTATGTGTATATGTACATGAACATGGGAAGTTCCGATCTAGGTCCCCAAAACCAATAGTATAGCACTCTCGTGAAAAAAAGGAAAATGTAGCCTACTTTAGAGAGCTACCCATATCTGCCATACATGTATGTATGCATAAATACACACACATACGTATTATCTCATATACTTACACATACACAGACACACATATGCAAATAGATATGCAGGTGGGTGGGTGTGTGTGTGTAGATGTTCAATACATGTACAAAGACAGACAGATAGATGGACAGATCGATCGACCGATCCTCAGAATGAGAAGCTTTACAACAGCACTCCGCAGCCTTGGCCTGAGCCACGACCTCGGGTGCAATGGCTATCAGATATCAGAATCTTCCTCTGTTCGACAACAGCTTAGACCAAGACCCAATCACCGTTCCCAGAGCAGATCTCCATCTTCAAGGGCAGGGACGGATCGCTGTGATCAGTCTTCCTGACGGAAGGATTGGGATTCTGTGACGACAGCAGATTTTTGACACTTACACTCGGACAAGCCTGGCAAGGTCTGCAGTTGTAGGTACGACAAGTTCGTCAGCAGATTGAGTTCATGGGACGACGTGGGACTCCCGAGAGGTGTCGGTGGGGAAGCCGACAACCAGAGGATAAGAGTCAGTGAGTGAGTGAGTGAGTGAGTGAGAGACAGAGAGAGACAGAAAGAGACAGAGCGCGACAGAGAGCGACAGAGACAGACTGAGAGACACAGGGAGAGACAGAGAGAGAGAGAGAGAGAGACAGAGAGAGACAGAAAGAGAGGCAGAGAGAGAGAGAGAGGCAGAGAGAGGCAAAGAGAGACACAGAGAGCCAGACAGAGACAGCGAGATACAGCGAGACACAGCGAGACACAGCGAGACACAGCGAGACACAGCGAGACACAGAGAGAGAGAGAGAGACAGAGAGAGAGGGTGAGAGTGAGACTGAGACTCAGACTGGGAGGAAGACTAGGACTGAGACTGTGAAAGAGAGAGAGGGAGAGGGAGAGGCAGAAGTAGCCGTTCAGCTGCCTGATTCGGCAGCTATTTAAATGGAGCTCTGCATATCAAACCATTCTCTGCCCCCTGGCCAACTTATCTTTCTTTCTGCCGGGCTTAGGGGTCGACTGGCGATCCGCAGGCAGCTGCTCTCTGTATATACATGTGAGATCGATCCTCCCGTTCCTTGGGAGCTCTTTCTTCCGTGCGATCTGCGCGCTGACACGCAGAGTGGAAACGGGCCCAGGAAGACCCCATGTAGACTCTGTTTTTTGGTCGCCGTTCAAGAGCAGCACACTCGCACCAGCCCCGCACACACACACACGGGCCCTTGTCTTAAGTCTCGAAGTGAGATTGCATGCCAAGAGAGGGGTGGTTGGAAAGCTATGGGGTCCCGCCTCGCGCGTCCTCTCGCCCCCTCTGGGGGCTAACTGTGTTGAAATGGTTGGCTCCAGTTCAGCTCTCTGTTGCTTGCTTGCGCTCTTGCTTGCTTGGGGTCTGGGGTTTGGGTACGCCCTGGCCCGAAGGCCTACCCCACAACGGTCCGCAGCGACACAGCGACAATGACGGGTGTGAGGGCCGAGGCCCCCTGGCCCGAAGGCCTACGCGCTCGAGGTTCGCGTCCGACAGGTCTGTGCGGCCCCTTTCGGGGGTGGGAGTGATCCTTCTGAGCCTGCAACCCCTTCCCTAACCTCCCTCTCTCTCTGTCTTCGAGTCTCTCACCGTTTTTCGCCATCATCTCTGGACTCTAGCTGTCCCGTCTTCAAGACCACTCGCGGACACGAACGACGTCCTCTTCCCACAGAGGCCCTTCGCAAAAATCTGGCAACTGCGCAGACGCGACTTCTTTGAAAAGCAGCTGCCGAAGGATGCAAGCGCATCCTCCTCTGAAAGGCCCGCCCGGAGGAGCACCTCTCCTTTGCAGGGGCAGTACCGGCGCATCAAGCCATGCAGCCAAGAACTTTTTGTCGCTTGTGCTTAATGGGAGCCTTCGTATGCGACACCAGCATGGGCATTCGCTGCTGCAACTGCTGAAACAGCTGTTGATGCCAGATTACGTCATCATGCACTATCTTACACGTGCTTGTCTTGCAGCACAGCATACGCTTAATGTCGCCATGCTTCCCAATCCGAATGATCGGACAAGCTCGTCGACACACAATTGCACCAGCTCAGCCTTCTCTGAACACGACGAGCTGCCTCGGGTGGCCACGCACTCTTTGATGAAAGCATGCCTGCATGCTTTCTTGGGCTTTCATAGAGACATACACATAAGCATCCCTACATAGGTGCGTGGGTTGTTGCAACACTGCCTCTATCTGTATCTAGATATCTAGATATCTAGATATCTAGATCTCTATCTAAATACATATATGTACATATATGTATGTCTATGTCTATGTCTAGATATCTATAATACATATATATATATATGTATATAGAACATGTATATACATACATATATATATATATATAGTGTGTGTGTGTGCAAGTGTGTACGTATGTAGATACATGTATGTATAGATATATATGTTTATATGTATACATACATGAATACGCATGGCGCCCTTCTTTCGGCTTTGCCCGGAAATCGGCCCCTTAACCGAGTGACGAAAGCATTCATGGAAGACGCATCAAGTCTTTGACACAACACTCGGTCGACTCTCCGAAACCACCCAGAAGCTCTCCAATTTAGGAGTATGATTGTACAGTGCGAGAGACAACAGCTACTAGTACCGGCGCAAGCAGGAGTCCAAGTCTGAGACAAGCCGCGATCTTCTGGGACGAAATTGCTCAGCAGGTGAACAACACAAATCCCTACCAATGTATGGCAACCGTGTGCTCGATGTTGAGGCGAAGTGCACAAGGTCAGACACAAAACAAGTACAAAGGCATGCAAGGTCGGAAACAGCATGGGTGCAGGTATGCAACACCACAAGCAGGAAAGACAATGACGAAGATCAGTGTGCACAAGAAGTGCTCATGTCAAGACATATCGTCAAAGGCAAAGGGAAAAGTTCCCAGAAGACATTGGAGCACAAATCAGTCATAATCATTAATTAATTCTTCGAGCAAGTCGCCGAAAAGAAACGTGCGACAGAGGAATGCATACGGCTCAGGATGCTGTTCTTGCTGGAGGAAACGGGATATCCGTCGAATCTCTCTGCAAGCTTCTTCACGACTCAGCTCTTGAAACAGGCCATGGCTTCCGCTGCCATCATCTGACGAATAAAACTCCTGGCAATTCTATGCAGATCAATGAGGCGGACCTCGGGAAATGCCATCCTTACTCGGGCTGCAGCGGTCCTCTGCCCGGTTGAGTGCGCGCCGGCATAAGACCCATCGGCCAAGCATCGCTGCGGCATGGGCCAGCGATAGGTTCATTGCAGCCATTGCACCTGCCTTTTCTCGGTGCAGCCTCTCCTGCCCAAGAGGCCAGGCCGTCCTAAAGGCATCATCAGAACACTGACGCTCAGGCCTGGATCTCAGGCGATGCTTCCAGATCGTGGCTGAACTTGCAGTTGACCCCCTGCCGAGTTGATTCCAACACGCTTTTTCTGTCGAACATATGGTGGACACGCCGGCAATGGCCTTTGTACAGGTTCCAGATGCCCAGAATTTACAAGCTTGCTGGCCCATCTTCTTCGCGCCACTGTCTTGCATGCTCGGGGTGGCCTTCTGCAGCTTCCTTACAAGCCAAAAGGGGCAGGCAGTGTGGTGCAAGAACGCAGCTCTTCTGGCACCTGTCAAACCGTTACGTGTGCAAACGTTGCGGCAAGTGTCTGCATCAGATCCTGCATGTTGTGCGGGGAGTGTGTACATAAAGGAGAAACAAACCAAGAATGCAAACCCGACATCTGCGGTGGATCGGGGGTGACAAATGATGCCACTACATGCTAGCGCCTCGGTCCTTCATCGTGTTAACCCGGAGTCCCTGGCCAAAGAGCTGCACGACATAGCGGAGACTTGTAAAATCTGGGATGAGCTGCCAGCTGCTCTCCTTACGGCTGCACTTCATTGATTGGCAGGGTGTTTTAACGGCTGTCATCAGAATCAAAAGGCTCAGCTGCAGACCATTTCACTGAACACTTCGCTTGCCATCGGCACGTCACCATGGTAAACGCAGCCTCTCGCGAAGGAGGACGGCAAATCAAGACCGCTGGAAGGTAAGGTTTGGATGGCTCGGTCCTCGAAAGAAGGCATTAACGGCCCGAGCATCGGGTGCGACGCCCTGCTGTACCATTTCGTCCAAAAGCTCCCGCGCTGCACGCAGATCACCTGCTTGGCTGTAACCTTTCAGCAGGATCGTGAAGATACCTCGGTTACTCAAAACAGTCAGCGAAGGTCGGGGGCATGCGAAGCTTCTGACAGAGCCGTGCGGCCGAGCTTCTCACATTAGGTTTGATGCCGCGCTTCTTCATGGCTGACATGACCTCCAAAGCTCCCGCAAGATCTGCGGTGCGCACATACGCGTTGATGAGGCTGGAGAAGGTGTAAACGCTGGGCTGCAGCCCCTCATTCCTGAGATGCACCGAAGACGGGATCCAAGAGAGACTCCACGTCGCCATACATCGCTATTGCTCTGCCATCAAATGGCTCGAACTTCTCAAAGACGCTGATGGCTCGTTTCAGTTGCTTGCTTTTCGCGAACTCCGCAATAGTCTTCGTCAGAGCCTCAATCAAAGTCTCCAAGCAGCAGAGAAGCCTTGTGGCCCTTGGGGTGTCTGCTTGGCCATGGACAGACTTCGCAACTGACAAGATGCTTGCGCACGCAAACTCTTCTCCGGTGTCGTGCATCGGGGGCCTGCGCACAGCATGCGCTTCGGTTTGGAGGCCGTGCCAAGAGACGTGTAGCATGAATGTGCAACCCCCCACTGCCACCCAGAACGCCTGAATCTCCGCCTCGACCCCTGCCGCGCGGGCGTGGTCGGGAGCGCCACTTCTGCGGCATCGCATCGCGTGGAGCCGCGACGACCGCACGACATGACAGCGCATCAGAAGGCCACAATGCACATGAAAGGCTCTGATTGCCGAACACGCTTTGCCACCTACCAGTAGCTGGCCAACGCTGGCCGGTGAAATCAAGTGAGAGACCAAGCAGCCATACAGCTTACGGTAGGCTGCCCCTACATGGCTTCGGTACGATGCATCATTTCACAGATCCTCAACAGGACAGTGGGGCCATCAAGCTCCCAGCCATCAAGTGCTGCCTGCAAGGTGGACTCCACGGACAGGAGGCCTTAGCAGGGGCAGAGACTGGCAGACTAGCAGCGACCAGCAAGCTGGAAAGAACAGCGTAACAGCATGCTTCAGCTGTTCCATGCGACGGGCGCAGCTTTTCTCAGCAACTTCCAGCCCGCGCATGTTTTAAACATGAGCGGCACAGCTTGCGGCTGGCCGTCATCAATCATCAAGGAAACTTGACATCACGTCCTCTGACTCGGCGGCGTCCTCAAAGCTCTCGGAATCTTCTGGCGGTGGGCTGTCAGAGGAAGGGCAAACCACTAGGAGCGTGAAGATACTGGCCCACTCTTCGAAGTTCATCCAGAAGCTTCCATCGTTTCCTCGGCCCAGTGATCCACAAGCCACCGGAAAGATCACAAGGCATTCAGTCCACAGCAGTGCAACTGAGGCGAAGGCGAACTTGCGTGTCGAGCTTGGCCATGAGCTTCGGATTCTGTTCCCAATTCTCGCTACTGTCACTCCAATCTCCGGACCACTCATAACTACCCCAGGGATTCCGAAGCAAGATGAGATGGACCTCCGTACCATCGTCCTGTGTCTCAGACACAACTTTGAGGACAGCATAGTAATGCCTCAAGTACAGGCCTTTGCTTTTGCCCGTTTCGGCCCCCTCCGAGCTCGACCCGATCATGCAGGATAGCATATGATCCTGGCGTCGGTGGCTCTGGAGCAACTCAAAGAGTTGGTTCGTGTCGTGCGTGTCATTGTTTTGCCATTTCCACCAGCTGCCTCGGGGATTCCGCGCCCCACGCTCCAACTGCTTTTGCTGATGCATGAAACGCCTTCTCCACTCATTCTCCGACAGCTTTTCAAACGACAGGACATGAATTGCACCGGTGAGAACTTGGAACGCCCAAGCCACACCTCCTCCGGAGAGAGCCCCATAGCTTCCGCAGAATTTGGCCATGGCTTTTTCGATAAGTTGCACCCAAATCTCTTCACCCATGGGTGTGGCGAAGGTTGGCACCGCAACTCCGTGCTTTATGTTGCACGGAATGAACTCATCAACCGTAGTCTCCGTCCAAGCTTCCGTGCCGATGTCAAAAAGCCACACCACGTACTTGCCTTCTTCGTTCAGCTGCTTGGAAGGAAACAAGGCCTTGATGCGGTTTGGGTAGTCGGCCAGAGAGGAAAGGCAGGACAACAACCAGCAATCACCCAGTTTGCCTTGAACGATGTCCTGATTTGGGAGTTTCCGAACATTATAGGCAAATTATAGGGGTACCTTGTTTTGGGGGTAGGGTCCTTACGGTAAGGATCCTACTATATATAGTGTGCTATGTATTCGTGTCCTGCGGCCGGATTTGATCGAAGAGAACCGCCTCAGCCGGATCTCCCAAAGCCTGGGTTCTTGTTTTAAGGGCTTTATGTCAAGATGCCATAATAAGGAACCCATGTATTATTTACTATAGATCCCTATTGTGGTACTTGTAACTTAAAATAGACCCTTTGAACAAGAACCCAGAAGCACGAGCTCGAACCCAGACTTCGGGACTGCCAACGCTGAAGCTTGTCGAACTCTTCCCGATGCTCGAGTCGTCATGAGGGAAGTCACCATCTTTGAAGGCGTTGGGGTCATCCTCCACTCCTGCAAACTCCGATCGCGCTGACCACCGGTAACTCCACTTCCACGCTTTGTCTCTCTCTGCGCACTCGAGGACCACCTTGGAGAAGTCTTCGCCGGGGCGTAAGAGAACCTCCATAGGACTCCCGAGTGGGAAAGTCATGTTTTTGCAGCCGTAGAAGGTGACCGTGAAGCGCCTGCTGACACGATCCGAGTTGTTGATGATGTGCAGGGTGACATTTTTCTGCTTGGAGTCTTGGACACTCTTCACAGATGTCTTCTGTGCTGTAAGCCACGAGATGAACTCGTGCACCTCAAACGTCTGGAAAGAATCCGCACACGGAACAGACTAAAAAAATATAAGGAGAAAAATCTCCCCTCTCCCCTGCTCTGCGTGATCCACGGCACCTGGATGACCCCATCCTCAGGCTCAGGATTCTTTTAAGTCAAGTTTTGCTCTGACGTTTCCCCACAGTCCAACAAAGGCCTGGCCTTGTTGCTGTCTGCAGCTTTGAAGACGCTCTCTGCATCCTTCGTGGATATGCCAACCTTGCCGAAGACGTTCTTCATTTCGGTCTCTGACAGCACACCATCTCCGGACAGGTCGTACCTGGGCTGCTCACATCGATCGTGCAATACATCGACGACCTTCCTGGGTCCCTCATGTTGTGGAATTCTGCTCCAGCAACGGAGTTTCTGTCAAGAGGCTTGGCAAAAAGCTCTTGCAGGCGTCGTCTGCCGGCCATGTGGTCCAGCTAATTAGCGCAGCGAAGTAACGCGATCAGCCGGTGCTACAGCTTGTTCTGAACATGAATTCACACACTCTTCTGTACTGCCACACAATCCAGCAAACTGCATCACAACACTAATAGAACTGCGAGGCATCAACTTCCTTGTCTTGAGGGAGCTGCGCTGAACCTCGATGGATTGGCTCTGGAGCTCTTGCACCTCCAGAAAGTTGGGGCACGATGTTTGAACTCTCCAGGCATGTCCTAATGGCAGCAAGACTTGCATCTTGGGTGCCCAGCTGCATCATACCTCTGCCGCTCCGCCGAAACTGTCACCTCCGACGGCGCACCATGAAACGGACAAACTTGCATGCACCTGCTGTCTCATACATCTGCCTGTTTATGTCTGAACCATTTGTATGACTGCTTGTCAATATCTGTGTGCGTGGGTCGAGACACAAACAAAGACGCATGCACGCACAGATAGATGGATAACTGGACGGGATGGACGGATGGGCGGATGGGCGGATGGGCAGATGGACGGACGGACAGGTGGAAGTGGCAAGGTGCAAGGGTGGAAGGGTGGATGGGTGGATGATGGTGGATGGGTGGACGGGTGGATGGGTGGATGGGTGGGTGGGTGTGTGGGCGGATGGGCGGATGGGCGGATGGGCGGATGGGCGGATGGGCGGATGGGCGGATGGGCGGATGGGCGGATGGGCGGATGGGCGGATGGGTGGATGGGTGGATGGGTGGGTGGGTGGGTGGATCGGAAAGGCAAGTAAGTCTTAAATAAGTAGGACGACGGACACGGGTGCATGGACGTCAGTGCGTGTGCAAGCTTGAACACGTGCACATACCTAGACAAACTCAAACACAGCCGAACGCAGGTACAGGCACACATAATGACGTGCCTACATACATACGGACGTACAAACAGACAGACAGACAGACAGACAGACGGACGGACGGACCTGCTCGCTTGCACACCTGCATACGCCCTGCCATACATGTTTACGTCTCTTTCCATGTGACTGCCTCGTGCAGCTGGGCCCTCAAGCTTCCGACTTCAGCTTCATGCTGGGTCTTCAGCCTTGGGCCGTGCCGAGCACCAGCGACTTCGGACTCAAGGCCCCAAACCCTGCTTGAGAAGTCTGGGCAGGGTGCTCTGAGCACGACTGCTCCGCTTCGGCGGCAGCTTCCTGGAGCTCCTGAGCCCAGCGCAGCGCTTTTGGCGGCGCTGGCCCCCGGTCCCCCGTCCATCGCTTTCGAGTGCGGAGATTCTGTCCTTCAGCTGCCACTGCTGCATGGAGGCCTGCTCACCAGCGCGCATCGCGGCTCCATGCCAACATGGAGCTGGGGCGGGGCCACCGGGCCACCCTCCAAGAGGCTTTTTCCGCACCCTGCACAAGACCTACATCACCTGCATCTTCATTGGCAGGCAGAGGCCACAGATGGCTCGGTCATGAGTCCCACGGATCGGAACCAGGCTCTGCCGGCCGTCCGGCTATACTCGGAACACCGGCACTCCTACATCTGTGCTCTTCGCACTGCAACAAGCCTCCGACAAGAAGTTCGATAGGACTGCTGGTCATGACATGCCCAAACGTTTGAGTGCTTGACCTGATGCAGCATTGCATTATCTTCACAGCCAGCTGGTTGTTCCAGCAGCTTGTTTCAGAGTTCGGTCCTGGCAAAAATGTACATTCAGGGACGGGAGCAGCTGGAAATCTATTGTAGTGGAGTTTTGCAAATCACGTTGCTCTCTGGGAATTACCCGCGGCGTGTCCTGCTGCACGGTACGAAGCTTGTGGCTAAGCAAACTGCTGAAGAAGGAAGTCATACCTCGGCTAACATTTCAATATTTCCCAACATTGACCAGCAGACTGCTAAAGCTGCAAGTAGACGGGGCTTCTCGACGGCACCACTCTCGCCAAGCTGCAGGGGATCCAGTTGGTTCTTCTTCACTGAAATTCTGCATGTTTGTATAGGGCATGGAGCATGCTCCTCCCAGGGCGGACGGGGCAGGCCAAGTGCGGCTCACGAAACGGGTGTATGCTTTCTTCCACCAGTCCAGAAGCTTGAACTTTTCGCCATCTACACCCAGGTAGCCTCAGTTTGTCGGAGTTTCGGAAAGGGGAAGGAGCCTCTGATCAAGTCCGTATCCTTCGAGTGCCCCACTGTCTGCCTGATCTTGCCCCTCCAGAGTCGCTGCACGCGACACCCGCATCTGTTCAATCTCCCGTTCGATTTCCTCCACCTTTAACTGACCAACAGCGGACCCAGGCAGAATGCATCTTGTCCCGAAATCGTCAACAGAAGCCCAGTCAAAGGCCCTGACGATGAACTTCTCGGTGCGCGCAGATGTCAAGTCACTCTTGTTGCAGGCCACCAGCATGGGAGTGTGAAGCTCTAGCACATCCTGCTCCAAGGCACTACACGGTCATGGGCAATGTACTGCTTCGGTGGCAGACGCAGTAAGATCCCGACGGGGTGAGTGAAGAGCTCGTAGAAATGCTCTGCCACGTCCTGGCGGCCCCACATCATGTTTTCAGCAGTAAGAGAATTGATCCGACTCGAGGCAACGCAGCTCTGGCAAGAAGAGCTTTGCTGCCAGGCGTACTTACAACCACTGGGTCAGGTAGCTTTGGGGTTTGGGATGGTGGCACTTGGCAATCACTCCGTCAAGGCAAACCGATTGCGGCGTCTCACCCATCCTTCAACTTGGGCTTGTCTTCCGCATCGACCAAGTAGATTATACATCGAGCCTGCATCTGACAACGTCCAGCGCATGCTGCAGCTTCTTAAACCTCTGACCGACAGGCTGGCTCGCCTCCTTCACCATGTCATTCGCCTTACCTCTCATTCGCAGATGGCCGGGGAAGTCCACCACCTGCCGGAGAATTGTCGGAAGCGGGTGCTGCAACGCCGGGCCTTGCAGCCTCCAAGGGCCCAAGCTTCTGATCCGCTGCCTGCAAAGTGCAAAGATGAAGAAAAAAAAACGCAAAAGCAAGGACTCATTCGGAAGACCCCCCTTTTTGGCTCCGACAAGGCGGCGCCTCGCCGGCCTTGATCTCAAAGCTGTCGCGTGCGGGCGCCAAGGAGGAGACCGTCTGAACCTAATCAGCACGAGTTCTGCTCTCGCACAGAAAGGGTGCACAGCACAGGCGAGAGACCCTTCGCTGCCTCCTCCCCGTCCCGGAGTCGGAAGAACACCGAGGTCTTGCCCGAGCCGCACGGGCCTCGCGGATGTTGCATGTTACATGCTGGGCCCTGAATTCTCCGCAAGCTCCCCAAGCCCGTCGCCTAAAATGAGAGCCGCATTTCCCCGTGAGCGCCGCGACCGAGTCCCCGAGCCGCTCACAACCTGACTGGCACGTGCTCCACACGAGGCCGTGCAATCCAAACAAGCTGCAGCGAGCTGCTTGAAAAATCTGCAGCGTCACATAGATGCTGATGAGAATCAGCAAGAAGGTCAAGACCTGGTGGAACGCAGGGACCGGGAGGCTCCCAGGCTCTCATTGAAGTCTCAACAGTCTGGGCCCAGGACCGACGCCGTGCTGGACCCCACGCCGAGGGAGGCTTCGAGGGCCCCCGAAGCCTTTCGAACGTAGTCCATCATCCTGCGTCCTGCGGCAGCAGTGGAGGCACAGGCTCGCGGCTCATTTCACAACTTGGCTTCACAGCATGTCTCAGCAAGGCCTCGGCTATAATTCGAAAACTTGCCCACACGGGCGCTGCTTGAGCTCAAGCTGCGGAACAGGCGTGTGCCGCTATCGTTGCTATCTAGATCCCCGTCCCCACATCTGCTGCATACCAGCGGCAGTTTCTGCACATGGGAACATGCATACCGACGCATCTGTACTTCGATCAAGGCATCAAGGCGATCTCTCCTTCTTTCCTGGAGCTACTGGCTGTCTCTCAACTCTGACTTGCCCTCTCTTCGTGACCTCCCCGCGCAAATTCAGCAGCTCGTCCTTTTGCGTCTGTGACCTATGATTGCAGATATTGCAGCCAGGAGTCCTCCGAAACTGAGACCGGATGTAGCGTCGGAAGCCGGGGCCCGTGCAGATTTTGCCTCGGCAGATGGGCTGACATGGCTGACCACTGTCGCTCCTCCCTTCCCTTCCGACTTGTGGCCCTGGCTCGCGCGCCAGAGCCCCACCTGGGAAGGCAGGCAATTCTACCTTCCCCTCGGCTGACTTTTCTGCATGCCATGCCTACCATGCATTGCAGACGTCGCAAAGATGCAGCACCTTTTTGTCCACAGCGCCACATCACCACCATGTCTGGGTCCCGAGCCCTTCATATCCGTCTGGCATGCTACAGCACAGAGTCTATCAAAGTCTGTCAGTATCTATCAGTAATAGGCAGGGGTCTTTGGCTTCAGAAGATCTGCTTTGTTGGAACTCTTCCTCACTGCTCCGAGGCAACCGAAGAGGCAAGCAAACTTTGAACTTTCTGCAGATGAAAACAGTATGAGCCAATACCTAAACGTGCCAAGCTTCCGGGCCAACCACATGACGTTCAAAAAGTCAGAGGAGCGGCCCAGAGCGGCGAGGCCCAGGTTTCCACCCTGTGGCCTCCGTGCAGCTTCGCAAAAGGACAGGCCGGTGCTGCTAGGACGGGACATTAGTGCAGCTCTGGCACGGAGGAGCGAAACGTCGCAATTTTCCGCCCCACTTTCCACGAAAGCTTCGCCCAGACACAAACTTGTAGACGGCTTTGGCATAGTGTTTGCGGAGGCCGGCGCCTGTTGCTACGCACATCTCTCGAGTGACGCAACAATCTGCAACCTAGCAACTAGTAGCTTGTCGTAGCCATGGCGCTGGGGGGAAGAACCAAGGTGCGCTGGAACTGCTTCACGTCGCGCGCGTAGACCTCGTCCTTGCAGTCTGCGGTGAAGAGCAGCTTGGCCAGCGAGTTTCGATCCTCCAAGTTGTGGGGATTCTGCACCCAAGACAGGGCACCAGCACCAAGCGCCTCCGTTACGATACGATTCTTCTTCTCTGTCTCCAGGACGATGTAGAAGTTGCATCCCGTGCGTGCATCCTTGGCGAGGTGGAGCTGCGATTCCTGCTCCATGGCCTCGACGTAGACCTTGCACTTCACGAGCCTGTCACGTAGAACGTCCTCAGAGTCCACGGCTTTGCCCTCCCAGGAGGCGGTGCCACTTGAGAAAACCACTGCGATGGCCTCCGGCTCATCCGCTTCTTGCATGGTTCTGACCTGCAAGAGGCATGGGGCAACACAGAACTCTTAGCAGCGCTTGTCACCCCCCAGCTCCCCTCCCTGCCCACCTCCAGGCTTCCGATCTTGTAGATGCGGAAGACGATGCCGTCCTCTGTGACCTGGTTAAACTCGGGGGCGGCAGCTGGCAGGACGTTCTCCAGAAGCCCGCGCTTGAACGCCTCGTCCACCTCCAGCTTCTTGAGGCCAAACTTTGTGGGTGCCGTCTGCGAGACGCGGCCCTCCAACTCGACCTGGAAGCGCGGAGTCCAGGAGCGCGGGAAGTCCAAACCCGGATTGGCCACGGCGAAGGACTTGTCGCTGAAGCGCTGCTTGCGCCTTTCCCGCAGAGTCTTCTCCTCCCCCACGAGGCTGCGGACCTTGGTGAGGTACTCGAGATTAGGGTCCGGTGGAATGAAAGCATCGCCCTCCTCAACGCGATCGCACTGGGGCACTTTGAAGATGTTCAGCAGGAGGCTCTGATCTTCTGGCTTTACGGCAAAGGACTTCTGCTGCAAAGCTTGCAGGAAAGCCCTGCCCAGCACAGTCTTTGCCTCCAGTGAGCCCACACCTCCACTGCATGGAGGAAGGCGGCCAGCAAAGCGCTCCTCTGTCGACAAGGAGAACTTGTCCAAGTTCAGGTCAACACCCTGGGGCATCTCCGGGCGCTGCCCCAGCTGGAAGCGCTGGGGCATGAACATGGGTCGGCCCGACTGCGCCAGCTGCACACCCGGCACGCTCGGCTTTTGCCCCTGGAGCGCATGGCGCTGGGCGAGCTCGAAGCGGTCGAGACCAAACTCAACGCCGCCATAGATGGCCTGCAGATTGCTCTGGCCACCTGTGACCATGTCCACAAGCCGGCCCTCCTTGAGCTTGATGCGCGAGTTGCCACGCATGTTCCAAAGCTGCGGGATCTGAGGGTAAGCCTCCGGCTCGGTGGACTTCACGATCTCGTCAGCCAGGACATACCATGTCGGGTCCAGGCGCGCCTTGGAGTCGATGAGGTACTTGGCCATGGCCGAAGCCTTCGCAAGCTCTCGAAGGTGGAAGACCACGCTCTTGCGCTCGGCGATCAGGTCGAAGTTGCGCGTGAAGGCATCGGCGAACTTCTTCAGCGGATGGTGCGGCAGGGTCACCGGGGCATCTTCCAGGCCCTTCTTCGTCACCACCTGCTCCCGAGCCTCGACTCCCATCTTCACGTGTGGGATCAACGTGTTGTCCTCGGCCATGCGGATCTCCGCCTTCTTCACCACGTACCACTCACGTCCTGCCCAGCTCTTGTCCTTGTCCTTCATCTCGGACCAGTCAAAGACGCTCAGCATGCCAACCACCTCAGCAGGGCAAGCAGCCAAGCTTCAGCCAAGCAGCCTAGGGCCTAGCGGTCAAGCAGTGCATACGACCCGAGCGGCGCCGGCTGCTGAGGCTGCCACCGGCATGTCGTACTCTCCAAGCGCAAGCTCCTTCAGGAAGTAATCGGCTTGGAACATGACATCACCCACGCTGGTTCCTGCAAGCCAACTCGGCTCGTAAACCTTCTTCTGCGGCGTTTTTTCCAAATTCTGCGGGTCCACTGGGTCCAAGGAGAATAGGGGCTCGCGAGAAGCGGTCTTGCGGACCTTGAGTGCCAGAAGCAAATACTCCAAGTTCACAGCAGCAGACGGCTCCGCGGTGGCTGCGACCTTGACCGTGCGGGAGGCTTCATCCAGCACGAGGCAGCAGAGCCCCTGCGGTGCGGGTTTGCAACCCATCCGCTCGGCCCACTGGGCACTCTTCGGCACGCTGTCCATGCGCCAGCCGATGTCATACTCGCGGCGGTTCTTCTCCTTCTTCACATTCTCCCGCTTGACCCGAGCGTCCTCCTCGCGCTGCGCCTCCTGTGACATGACCTGGGCCATGCACTCCGTGTGCACGCAAGTCTGCTTGCCCTCACGCCCCTGGTAAGCGAACTCGCCCACCGGCAGCGAGCAGCGCGGGCACAGAGGCACCTCCTCGCCCTGACGGAAAGCTGAACATGTCTTCGGTTTGGCTGAGGATGGGTTGTTCGTATCGCTCCCTGGTCCCCGACCCTGTTGACAACAGATGAAACATGCCGAAGCTGTGGGGCCCAGTGCCAGTTTAGTGTTTGTGATGAAAGGCATCCCTAAACATTGTGCCTTGTTTAATGCGTACTCGTGTTCAGGGCCAACGGGATCTCCACGGCTGAGAGTGTAACCGAACAGTGTGTGCAGTGATGCCCCATAGCCTCTCTCTCCCTCAAGAACACGAGGGTGAGGGCCTGAAGGCTACGACTCTTGCTTGCTTGCTCCAAAAATATTGCAAGGATATCGCCCCCATTATTTCACCCTCTTGCTCTCTCTCTCTGAGTCTTTTTGTCAAGAGAGCAGGAGGAGCAGCCCTCTCCTCTCGCCCCTTTATGGGGTGCAGGAGATCATTCGCAACCGAGCCTGCCTCCGAGTCCACCTCCCAAAGCTTCGGGGAAGTCCGCGGCTTTGGCTTGAATTCCATCGCTGCTTCGAGAACCTGAGTTCGTGAAGATTCAGGCAGGCTACCGGCTGCCGCAGGCTCCGAGTAAAACAAAGATCGCACACGCGCAAACCCGCCCCAAGACTTGTCAGACCTCGCCTCAGCCGAGACGGTCGGCGCTTTTGCCGGTTCTTTGGGTGTAAACCAAGGAAATGCCTTGCGGTTGAAGCCTGCGTACGTGCAAAACAACATTCCTCCTGGCAGTGCTCACATCACTTCATCTCCTGCCTGCGCTCGTGCCATCACGGTTCTCGCCAATTTTATCCATGTACTGCCGGAAAGCCTCCTCTTCATCCTCTGCCATCGGCTTCCTGTGCACATGTCAACCCACAATTCCAACCTTCTACCGCATCTCCCCGACAACGACCCCAGGCAGAGTTGCTCTCCGAAAAGTGTCTTGGTGCATGCGAGCATCAAAGCCAAGGGTTCCTTTTGCATAGGCTCGTCTGATGGATAGAGAGCTGGTGGTGTTGAGGGGCTAATCGATGGAACCTTCCACTATGAGCATTGACTGCCACGCTTGGAGATTTGTCCCTTTTGCTGGTGCCTGCTCGTCGACAACTTGCTTTGAAACCCACTGGGAGAACTTGCCCCCACGTGCTTTTGTCGGCACCTGCACAGGAGCTTGCGGCGCGTGTGGCAGCAAGCTCACGAGTAGCAATGCGTCTACACCTCGCAGGTGGAGGCCATGTCGCGACCGAGGCTTGGAAGGGGCCCGTGGGGCAGATGCCTTCTGAGCACAAAATTGCCTGCAGCCGTTGCCTGTGAGCGGTGCGGTGCCGTGCTTAAGGCGAGGCGGCGGCTTTCCCAGGTAGCAATTGGTCGGACTGTTTTTGACAAGCAATGGACGGGAAGAGCCGAGTCTGCCAATGATCGAATCTGTAGTTGCCGCGAACACATCTAACATCTAGTAAAGCGCGGTCAACGCATCTAGCCCTTTGGCTGGCACGCAGCTATTGGAGGCAGATGGGTCGGTGCTAAGCCTCGAAGTGTTCCAATCATGCTGCTGTGCCTCTGCCATCCATTCATCACCAGTGTCACTAGTGCATCCGAATGCACCCTTTTACTACGTCTGCCTCAGGCTGTCAGAAGTGCGCCGGGATCTTGGGCTTGAGAAGGTCGCCTTTCCTGGTGGAGCTCCTTAAAAGCACGGAATAACGCATCAACTTGACCCCAGTGACTACGAGCCGCCATCTTGTGGCAAGGCACCGCGCAAGCCACATGACGTTCAGGAAATCTGAGGAACGGCCCATGGCAGCCAGACCCAAGTTGCCTGTGTTGGGTGGAGTCCTGAACATTAAAAGCGAGTGGGCAGCTGCTGAATTCGGAGCATTTTCGAGGTAGACGGCTCGTATGGGCTATCAACGGAGCCAGGGCACGGTGGTGCATACCGTCTCAAGTTGCCCCCCCACTTTCCACGGAAGGTGCGCCCTGACACAAACTTGTAGACGGCTTTGGCATAATGCTTGCGGAGGTTGTTCAAACCTTGGCAGGCAGCGGCACTTTGCCCATGTTTGCCACTGCTGCACCGACGCGAGACAAGTCGGGCACGATAAAGATCAGCCGGCACACTAGGAGGCAGGATCAGGGTGCGCTGGAACTGCTTCACGTCGCGCGCGTAGACCTCGTCCTTGCAGTCGACGGTGAAGAGCAGCTTGGCCAGCGAGTTTCGATCCTCCAAGTTGTGGGGATTCTGCACCCAAGACAGGGCACCAGCACCAAGCGCCTCCGTTACGATACGGTTCTTCTTCTCTGTCTCCAGGACGATGTAGAAGTTGCATCCCGTGCGTGCATCCTTGGCGAGGTGGAGCTGCGATTCCTGCTCCATGGCCTCGACGTAGACCTTGCACTTCACGAGCCTGTCACGTAGAACGTCCTCAGAGTCCACGGCTTTGCCCTCCCAGGAGGCGGTGCCACTTGAGAAGACCACTGCGATGGCCTCCGGCTCATCCGCCTCCTGCATGGTTCTGACCTGCAAGAGGCATGGGGCAACAAAGAACTCTTAGCAGCGCTTGTCACCCCCCAGCTCCCCTCCCTGCCCACCTCCAGGCTTCCGATCTTGTAGATGCGGAAGACGATGCCGTCCTCGGTGACCTGGTTAAACTCGGGGGCGGCAGCTGGCAGGACGTTCTCCAGAAGCCCGCGCTTGAACGCCTCGTCCACCTCCAGCTTCTTGAGGCCAAACTTTGTGGGTGCCGTCTGCGAGACGCGGCCCTCCAACTCGACCTGGAAGCGCGGAGTCCAGGAGCGCGGGAAGTCCAAACCCGGATTGGCCACGGCGAAGGACTTGTCGCTGAAGCGCTGCTTGCGCCTTTCCCGCAGAGTCTTCTCCTCCCCCACGAGGCTGCGGACCTTGGTGAGGTACTCGAGATTAGGGTCCGGTGGAATGAAAGCATCGCCCTCCTCAACGCGATCGCACTGGGGCACTTTGAAGATGTTCAGCAGGAGGCTCTGATCTTCTGGCTTTACGGCAAAGGACTTCTGCTGCAAAGCTTGCAGGAAAGCCCTGCCCAGCACAGTCTTTGCCTCCAGTGAGCCCACACCTCCACTGCATGGAGGAAGGCGGCCCGCAAAGCGCTCCTCTGTCGACAAGGAGAACTTGTCCAAGTTCAGGTCAACACCCTGGGGCATCTCCGGGCGCTGCCCCAGCTGGAAGCGCTGGGGCATGAACATGGGTCGGCCCGACTGCGCCAGCTGCACACCCGGCACGCTCGGCTTTTGCCCCTGGAGCGCATGGCGCTGGGCGAGCTCGAAGCGGTCGAGACCAAACTCAACGCCGCCATAGATGGCCTGCAGATTGCTCTGGCCACCTGTGACCATGTCCACAAGCCGGCCCTCCTTGAGCTTGATGCGCGAGTTGCCACGCATGTTCCAAAGCTGCGGGATCTGAGGGTAAGCCTCCGGCTCGGTGGACTTCACGATCTCGTCAGCCAGGGCATACCATGTCGGGTCCAGGCGTGCCTTGGAGTCGATGAGGTACTTGGCCATGGCCGAAGCCTTCGCAAGCTCTCGAAGGTGGAAGACCACGCTCTTGCGCTCGGCGATCAGGTCGAAGTTGCGCGTGAAGGCATCGGCGAACTTCTTCAGCGGATGGTGCGGCAGGGTCACCGGGGCATCTTCCAGGCCCTTCTTCGTCACCACCTGCTCCCGAGCCTCGACTCCCATCTTCACGTGTGGGATCAACGTGTTGTCCTCGGCCATGCGGATCTCCGCCTTCTTCACCACGTACCACTCACGTCCTGCCCAGCTCTTGTCCTTGTCCTTCATCTCGGACCAGTCAAAGACGCTCAGCATGCCAACCACCTCAGCAGGGCAAGCAGCCAAGCTTCAGCCAAGCTTCAGCCAAGCACAAGCAGTGCATACGACCCGAGCGGCGCCGGTTGCTGAGGCTGCCACCGGCATGTCGTACTCTCCAAGCGCAAGCTCCTTCAGGAAGTAATCGGCTTGGAACATGACATCACCCACGCTGGTTCCTGAAAGCCAGCTCGGCTCGTAAACCTTCTTCTGCGGCGTTTTTTCCAAATTCTGCGGGTCCACTGGGTCCAAGGAGAATAGGGGCTCGCGAGAGGCGGTCTTGCGGACCTTGAGCGCCAGAAGCAGATACTCCAAGTTCACAGCAGCAGACGGCTCCGCGGTGGCTGCGACCTTGACCGTGCGGGAGGCTTCATCCAGCACGAGGCAGCAGAGCCCCTGCGGTGCGGGTTTGCAACCCATCCGCTCGGCCCACTGGGCACTCTTCGGCACGCTGTCCATGCGCCAGCCGATGTCATACTCGCGGCGGTTCTTCTCCTTCTTCACATTCTCCCGTTTGACCCGTGCGTCCTCCTCACGCTGCGCCTCCTGTGACATGACCTGGGCCATGCACTCCGTGTGCACGCACGCCTGCTTGCCCTCGCGGCCCTGGTAAGCGAACTCGCCCACCGGCAGCGAGCAGCGCGGGCACAGAGGCACCTCCTCGCCCTGAGACGCAAGGAGCACCACTGGAAACATGCCACCGGAACGCATATCATCATCGTCATCCCGCGTGCCTCCGAGTCAACCTCCCAGAGCTTGTCTTTGGCAAGCTTCCTTTCTCTGGGCTTGCATGCAAGTGCTGCCTCCAGTGCCTGGTGGCATGCAGCAAAGAAGCATGCTCAGGGTAGCTGCTGCTCTGTCTCGTGGGCCTCCGTAGACAACTTCTTCTCTTCCGGTGCTGGCTTTGGGTTGAACCATGGAAAAGCTTTGCGACTGTAGCCTGCGCCGGGCATTCCCAATAGCACTGGTAGTGCTGCTTCTTCTACTCCTCCACCAACTACTCCTACTCCTACTCCTACTCCTACTCCTACTCCTACTCCTACTCCTACTCCTACTTACTCCGACTCCTACTCCTGCTCCTGCTCCTGCTCCTGCTCCTGCTCCTACTCCTACTCCTACTCCTACCCCCACTCCTACTCCAACTCCTATACTCCTCCTCCTCCTAGAACTACTGCTACTGCTGCTGCTGCTACTACTATTACTACAACTTCAGCTAAAACTACTACCGCTACCACTACCGCTACCACTGCCACTGCCACTGCCACCGCCACCACCACCACCGCCACGACTACTACTACTGCTGCCCACCACTACTACTACTACTACTACTACTACTACTACTACTACTACTACTACTACTACTACTACTACTACTAAAAAAACTACGACTACGACGACAACAAACAACGGTCGGGAGCTAGACGCGAGGCAACGACTGCCAGATGTAAGTCAGGTGACACAAGATAAAATTGCAAGTGTCAAGCACAGGGGGGCAACAACGGAGACGACTGGCTTGCAGCCAAGAAGTCTCCCCGTGGTTTCTTCTGCTTACGGGCGGACGAGCTGCCCAGATGTTGATTGCGTGAGTATATATGCCATTTTTGCACTCATTCTCGGACAGTCAGACACGATATGCTGCCGCATAACAGCCACCTGGATTTGAGCCATCCCGACACTCGCCAAACTTCTCGGTGTACCGCCGAAATGCGACTTCGTCATCGTCGGACAGCTTTTTCTCCGGCACCTGCATCGGCCATGGTTGCTACTGTTTCAGGTTGAAGTAGACTTGGATAACCTGAAGTAGACTTGGACAACCTACCGAGCCCGGCACGACGGCGATCTCCTCAACCTGTGCCACTGGACTTTCAGCAGCAGTGGACACGGAACTCCTCAGTTGTCATGCTTCCGAAAACCAGCCCGACGGAACATCTTGATCGGACACAATCCGAGACTCTCAGACGCCATCTCTGCAGGGACCAACTCGGGCATGGTGCTGTCTGAACTCACCTCTGGTCTGTCAAAAGGGTCTGACATCGACATGCGTGAAAGCGCATGTGCACGGGCCTCTTCGTTCTGGCGAGAGGCCCACTGCGAGAACCCACGGCGCCTTGACTGAACCTTCCGGAGTTCACACTCTGAGGTGAATCAGCCGAAAGGTCAAAGCGAGACACCTTGTCTTCTTGGGTTCCGCCAGTCTTTATAAGCAGCTCCTTGCAAATTCGCACGGCGCCAATCACTCTCACTCTACTCTTTCAATGTTTCCCGAGTTTCCTTGCCACGGAGAGTAGGGCTGACCCACCCCGAGGCAGGCCCTTCGCCCCTAAGAAGCTCATAGCAAATTCGTCCATCACGGGCGTCGGTCTCCTCAAGCACAAGCTGACTGCACGGCGTTTTCTCCAAGGTGCGACTCCGCGTTTGCACAAACACCGAAGCACCAGCAAACCGTCCTTCACTAAAGATCCGGTGACAAGTCGACTGTCAGCCAAATCCGAGCTCAGATCATAGCCGGTACGAACGATGATTCCCCCGCGTTCTGCACCACCAACGACCTGCGGCATTTTCAACCCATTCACACTCCTTCCCACTCCTTCGGCACGTACTGTCTTGGGGGAGTGGCGAGGTTGCATGGTGCATGTAGCGACTTACAGAAAGACCCACGAATACCCAAACTCAAAGCATGCATTGTCTCTCAAGGACGAGAGGATGTGGTGATGTGATCCGGAGGCTTGCAAGTACAAGGCATGCACCGAACCCCTCCTCCCACACGGCGGCCATATCGGAAGTTGGCTAACAACACCTAAAGACAGCACTAGCTCGGGCCGAAGTGGCCACACCGTGTTTCAGAATAGGAGCTGAAGGCATAAGCAGCACAGCCGCCAAACATCCTCACGCATCTTGCGAGTCTGTTTCTCCTCTGACACAAAGCGCCTTTGAAGCATTCCTGCTCCTGCCGAGCCGTGGTAGCAACGGCGCCCTACAAACAACGCCTGCTGTGGTTGCGGCAGCTGCGGAACACAGCAACTTCCGCTGCTTCTCCTCCCAGGACGAGTTGTTTCATTTTGTCACCAGCACCCATGGCCAGCCCCAGTGGCAGTAAGTCTAAAGTTTGTGCGACCGGACAGATCTTCATCGCATTCATCTCCTTCCCACGTTGCAACCACTAATTTCTCTTGCCGGCAATCCTGTCAGTGTCTTCGCAGGCTTGCGACAGTCCGGACACATCCTTACGAAGCAGTTTCCTTTCTCATTACAAGTTGTCCACTCTCCCGGGCGAGTCAAGATGAGTCAATCGCCGAGTCCGATCAAAACACCTGTCGGCCGGTCGGCGCGGCGGGCCAACAGTGTCGGCCATGCTTCACAAAGCCGCAGTTCCGTTGTGCTTCTGCTTCACATGGCGACTCCTGGGCCTTGATCTCCGCTGCGTAGCGGCGCAGCGTCCGACCACCGAGGCTTCCACAGGAGATGCTTTTCGACGGCGAACTCACAGCAAGTGCCCAACATCACCCGGAATGCATCTGATGGAAGCCTTCACCCAGCCGTGGGACGGGCTCGACAAGTCCTGCCATCTCAAAGCTTTACACTCTACAGACATGATGGAATGCAGCATGCGACGGCTAGTTTCAACACACAAGCTCCAAGGAGTACACCGAGCTGGCTGCGTGGAGCTGCGAGGTCGCGTACAACACCCCGGCATGTACGGCGATGCGACTGAAATTCCACCCTGTCTCAACAGCCGAAGAATGTTCCAACATGTGCAAGCGCATCCTGCTGTCTCAGCTTCTATGCGAGATGAGGCCTTCCAGCAACAGCTCCCAGTCGGTGTAGATCGACATGGCATTCACATCCTGCTGATAAATGTTGCCATCTAAGCCTGCAGCAAGCATGACCTCAGATGACACCTCAACGCGGTGCAGCGAGGCAGCCAGAGCAATCAATACCAAGCTTCCACGGATCTTTGGATAGACGAGCAACACCATCGTGCATGGCAAGAGCCTGGACGCGCCCGCGAGACACGGCGGTCCAGTCAGAATCCGTGCTCACGGAGCGAAGCGGTCCTCGTCATGACTCACTTAGCTGGGCTATGAGCACACATGAGGACAGACACAGAAAATCACAGACACAGACTAAACTCAGTAGACTGCGGATGCCGTGTGCCCCTACAGTATTCCTACACCCTGAACCCCAAAATCCTTAATCCAGAAGGCACTGATGGCAGTGACTCCCTTTTCCTATGAACTGTGGGAGGCGCACACACACACACACTTGGAATGACCCTCGATATTCATAACATGGGTTGGTGAGCTGGCTTCCTCTCTCCATATCCGCCTCTCTTCACTCTGCTGCCAGGTTTTTGGCTTGGCCTGGTCGCCGTTCTCTGTGCGCGCGCACACACACACACACGCACACACAGTCCCCCTTAAACTGGATGCAAAACCGCTTGGCTCAGCATTCGGCCCTAAAGAACGACACAGAACACAAAAAATACCCGGACACTGAACGCCAAAATTGGCCCAAAACCCGGCAGACTGCTGATGAAGCGAACTGTTCCGGCATGAAGGCGACCAAGTGATTGAGTTGTGAATGGAAGGGGCCTGTGCCCTGTGTTGCGCCCCTGCAAATCCTACATCCCTTGTCGACAAAACGCTAAACCCAACCGGCAGAGAGGTGCACCACAGACACTCACAGAGGCGCATGAGCAGGCACAGGTTCAAGGAACAAGGACACCACTCAGGCGCCGACCTAAGTGCTTGTAGACTCGTTGGCCGGAGACTGCAAAGACCGCCTCACCGCTTGCTGCCAAGTACTCCTCGGCGCAACAAAGGGGGGAAGGGGCAAGCGGATGAGCCTCTAAGGTTTGTGGAAGGAAATAACAGCCCCCTATCTTAAAAATTAAGGAGATAGACTCGTGATGTAGATTACGGGAGACGCTGCCACGCTGAGGGCAGACGGATGAGTCGTACTCGAGACCACCGAAAAACCAGAAGGACAAACAAGCAAAGAGACACAGTTTCGCTAGAGCCATCCACAAGAAGCACAGACAGAAGCACCAAGAGCTCAGCTCTTGTGCACTAAAATTCACTGGAACCTCATGCCAGCTTAGTGGAGAGGGATACGCCCAAACGTACGGAGCAGCAGCCGATCTGAGAACCCCAAGATTTATGATGCTGCCTGCTGTCAAACGGTCCAGCAGCCACTGTCATCCAAAGATGTTGCAAGGTCCTCGCCCTGGATGCCACTGCTCGAAACAAGGCTCCAGTCTCAAAAAGTGCATAAAGGTGATTCTGCTCCTGGGCACTGTCGGTCGCACCGGGAAGACAGGAGGCCTAGGCGAAAAAAGTATACACCCAATTCTTGCCTGGGGTCTTGGTCCAAAAGAGTCTGGGTCAGCACAACGCTCAGGCTGTCATCCTCTGCTCTGTTCGGTGTCTCCAGCGCCTCCAGGGCAGCTGCAGCCTGCACTTCCCAAGTCTGCAAAAATCGCGCGCACACCTTTCGTGCATTCCTCGGATCGCGATTTCGCGCTTCTTTGAGGCCTCAATGCAGTGGGGCCCCAGTCTACTCCGACTTTATGCACGCCGAGAGACTCACGCAAAATGTGAACTTCCGCCGTGTTCAGGAGCACGTCACGCAAGCGAGGCAGCAGGTTTGAGGGATCTGAATCCTCGACCAAGACACCATAGGAGCTGAAGCGGATGAATCCATCAAAGGGTGGAACCCAACTAGCATCTGCCATTGCGACTGGAATTCCGCCTGAGCAGACCACCTCGTTAAAACGAGAATTGTGATGATTGGCTGTGGCAAAGACGAGGTTAAACACAGAGTTCCACAACAAGAACTCTGCGTCATAGTCCGCATTCGCGTCGTCAACTATCACAACGTCGTGGTCGTCATGCAACGCTGCGACTTGCTTTTCCCAGGGTCGTTCCAACCTACCCTTGAAGCTCATCAAAAACCGCTTGTGCTCAAGAGGCTCCAGGAAGGACTTCGATGCAGCCTCTCCCGAACAACGAGGGGTTGGTTCAGCTGGCATTGAGACGTCGACTCCATATTGAAACGTGCTGCGCCTGGCACCCAGCAAAAGCCAGCTGAAAGTATTGTCCTGTGAAATGCCCTTATCACCCATGTCCGACAGGACCAGCAGCTTTCCGTCCAGGTGTGCATGTAGCTGCAACTGCCGATATCCTGTTCGCATGCTTCTTAATGAACAGGCCGAACCGCAGAAGAACTAGAATATCGGCGAAAGCGAAACGCTCTACGACATTAAGAGCATCACTTCAAACACAGCCCTGAACCACAGTAAGCTTGCTCTCCACGGCACAACCCGCAGCGAGCTATCCGGAACGCATTACAAAAGAAACCCGAAGAAAATCCAGGACCTGCTGGTCCGGAAGCAGGCTTTGCGAGCTCAAGGCAAACTCTCTGTCCTTCGTAGATCTGACTTCGTGCACACGATCGGCCTGGAAAGGATAGCGGCCTTGTTACGTCAGGAAGCACCGAGTAGCCAGGCACCAAAACGATGTGGGCATGCTCCAATTGCATGGCCATGCAAGTGGAAGACCTCCTCCGAAGAGAAAGGAAGGCATGATGCAGCGAGCCTGCAAGATTACTCAAAAGGCAACCTTGTAGCTTGGGTGCAAACGCTTCGGTCTCTGTGACGCTCATGATGTAGAACAGAGTCGGGGAGGACCATGCTGCTGCCACGCACCTGCCCACCTTCAGCGGATGTGCCCAGTTTTTGGAAGCAAGAAATGCGCATAACCCTTGGAGAGAGACCACACTTGCACGGTGCTGGTCACGTCTTACCATGCAGCCCATGCACTCCCAGGCTGTCAGCAGCAGATGCAGGATGTTTTGACGGTGCTGCCGGGCGAAAGCTTGGCAAAGAGAGTTGCTGTGCCACCGACTCCACTTGGACCTCCAGAGTCCTCTCCGAGCGTGACAGCAGGCGCACACGAAGACGAACACAGAACATGTCACATGAGAGAACTGTCGGCCTGAAGCGTGACATGCAAGCATCCATTGCTCGCTGTCGAAGTTCTAGTCTGGATAAGCCGTCCAGAGCACGCAGCTTCACTATCAGGCTGTGGATTTCATCGTCGCGGAACCGCAGCCCGTAGGATTCAAAGGGCACTAGTTCTTGCAATGGAGGGACCCACTTGCTTGAAATCAACACTGGAATGCCTCCTGAGCAAACAGCCTCTGCAAAGTGGAAGGTTTGGAGCATGTCTCCCTCAAGAATCAAGCTAAAGATGGAGGAATACAAAAGCTGATCATAATCGTAGCTGTCATCTAGCCGATCCACGATGATGACGTCCAGGTCATTGTGGTGCAGATGTGCTACAGTTGTACGCACCGGGTTGTGCCGCAGCTTGCCCTTGAACGTGGCCAAGTAGCGCTTTTCGTCCAGTGATTCCCGCATGGCATGCATGGCTGCTTGACCTGCACATCGCGACAGCGGCCCTGGAGGGAGAGAGATGTCAATGCCTGGCCTGTGAAACCAGACTGGGGCTCCAAGACGCAGGATAAGGACCCTGGGGTTATTGTAGAAACTCAGATCAGGAAGCCAGCCACTCTGCACACGACCAGAGCCATCGATGATGGCTAGGGATTTCTGAGCAAAATCTTGTGCATCAAGAAACCGTCTGTAGGCTCTCATAGTCTGCTCATCGTAGCATTCCCTGCCGGGTCGGGAGATGGTCCCTTCTGATTCGCAGTTGCCTCCGTAGTGTGGCCAATGGCAGTTGTGAAAAGTGTAACCCGGAAGCACAAGCACAGATGCTTCTGTCAGGTCGGAAGCACATGGGCTCGAGGCTAAGCCTCTCCGTAGAACCTCCGCATACTCTAGCAATCTGCACTCTGCCAGCTCGGGAGACTGAGCCTCTGCGACCTCGGGGCTGAGGACATGAAAGGTGCGCTCACACCGCCAAGCCAGCACCACGTGGGCCGCACAGAATAGCAACCTATGCGCTGGAGCCATGTGGCTGGCAGTGACGTCATCGTATATACCACGCTACCTCTGAGTCGCATGCACTTGCACTGCAGGTCACACTGCCTTGTCACAAGAAGAATCGCGAGAAGGAGAAGCTCCAGTCCTTTACAAAGGCAGCTACTTGTGTGCTGTGAATTCGCTGTGATATCAGACAGCTGCCAGACACTGCTAGCCAGACTGTCCCATGCTCCGATCCGATTCTCGGAGTCATGCATGCGGCAATGCTGAAATATATGTAATGAAGATCAGGCAGGATACCCTGGAAGAGGATCGAGAGTATCGTGAACTCAGAACTTGCGGTCCAGACTGGAGTTTCGTGCATCAGCCGCGTAACGCATGTGACTGAGGGGTTCGGCGCGCAGCTGTCGCGCGCCATCCTCTGAAAGTCCCGGCACTGGGCCGCCGCTGCACTCACCCTGCTACGCAGTCGAAGGATGCAACAGCCACGACAGTCATCGAGACGCTTGATTTTCCTGAAACTCTCTCGCAGGAGGTCTGTAATATCGTGCCACTTGCTGACATGCTGTCAAGCTGCATTGGAGCCACTCTTGTCCGGGCTCTCCCGGTTGATGCCGAAGGGGTTGAAAAGTCGCTCTTTCCTGAGAACACCGCATCCGACATTCAGTTGCCAAGACATGCTGTCACAGTGGGACAAAAAAATTCTGATTTCAGACCCGTCTAGTCCTTTTCTAAAACACAAGAGTTCTCCGTAGCTTCTCAATACTCAGTACTGCACCCGAACCCTAAGCCCTTTACAGCATGGCACAATATCGCACAGCTCCGGAGCTGTCAAGGCACAGCTCACGGAGTCCTGGGCCAACTTTGGAAGCAGCGCCTGCCATGTGGGTGACCTCGATAAAACCACGGAAAGATCTGCAAGGAATCATGCAACGAATTTGGCATCTTGAGGGCAGGGTGCAAACCCACCGTCCTGCACACAGAGGGCGGAGGATCGGTCTAATCGTGAATCGTGCACTTCATTTTTCTTCGGTCTGGGGACTTCGGACCTGGAAGCAAAGCCTTTCAACATGCACGCCGGCGCCATGTAGCCCATGCTGGTTCCCGCAAAGCTACCGCAGCTTCAGAATGAAAACCCTGCACCTCCAGTCCAAACAAAGTTATGCGTGGTGGTTGCTGCTATTGGCTGTTGGTGTTCATCCCTTGCAATAGTTGGCAACATCGTGACACGCTGTGCTCTACCACGCCCTTCTGATGCCTTCAAGCCTAGAAAAGCCTGACAGACCCGGCAAACGGACTCAGGGCAAAACCCAAGAGGGGAGCTGTCCAACTCCGAGAAGTTGGCACAGCTCATCGCTGAAGTGACAGCAGTTCTTGTTCAGCACATTGTATTCCTTGGGTGCTGCAAAGAAGGTGGCTGCAACCTCACATGATTTAGGCTGGGCGTATGTCATGCTCCACCGAAACCCTCCGCCAAGCATCGCGACCCGGCCAGCGCTTGGCCATCTCGGAAATAAGACTCTGCACTTCGAAAGGGGAAAAGTCTGTGTAGCCCATGTGAATCGCCTCTCAAAGTGGCAGAGAGCCCTACACACACACGCACAGCCTGAGCTTTGCATCTTCACGGCGTGGCGCCTCCCGGTATGAGTGCTCTTGGCACTCTCCCGGCTGGTTTTCAAATATTCCATGACCCCTCACCGTCTGCCCGTAGCTCCACTCCCTGCACTGTAGGCACACAAGCACAAGCCTCTGGGGCATCACTTGCAAGTTCAAGAACACCCGGCCTTCCATGAACTTCCACGGCAGCGTGGAAGGCACCCGTGCCAAAAGGGCGCAAGACCTGCTCGAAGGCGACTGCGGGAGCACATCATGTTTCAAGGCGATGTCTTCGGACGAAAGATGCAAGTGCCTCATTAACAACCTTCAGGGGCGCTGTGCCAGTAACATCCTCAGCCATGGCCAATGATCGAACACACAGTGCTGCACAGCCGGGGAGCCCAGCACGACATTGCTCTCAGCCCACCACATAAATGTGCACGATGACTGGCGACGGCGCAGCAGCAGGGCAGCAAAGATTGCCCATCTTCAAAGAGAATGAACGGAAAAGCGAAACTTGACCGCTGCGGCCGATGGCTTTGGGCACGAACGGCTTTCAAATTTCAAGACATGCCATGCCGGCATAGGCCCCTGCCACGCAGCAGGAGACAGCCCAGGAGGGCATGCTTATTCTCGCACATGGAACCGGACGTCCACAACTTGGCACCATGCGGAGGTCTGCGACTTCAGTCTCCAAGGCGACCTTCTGCACTTGGACCGCCTTGCCACTGCAAGCAAAACGCGAAAAATCCGCCAGGATCCTATGGGCTTCGGTGCTTCCATGCCTCGTAGAGCTGACGCTGCTTCCGCCTCTCGTTTTCGAGCTCCGTTTCCATGGAAAGGGCCTCGGGGAAGGAGCTGAAACTCGAAGTCTTCGCGGGCAGCAGCAGCCGGAGATCTCCACAGATGATCATCAATGGGCCCTTTTCGCTCGCATATCGGGCCGCCCGGAGCATCTAAGATGTACAGGACTAAAGCAGCTCAACAGGCAGCCACAAACCTAAACTCCTAATCATCCTACGCCAGCGAACCGAGGAAACTGACGGGGTTGTACCCCAGAGTTCGCAGGACCTTCTATGGTGTCAGATTTCGACGACAGCCGGTGAAGGACCCCAGGGCAAGAAGGAAACGGAAGAGTGCCCGGTGATCCTGCAGCTGGTTTTAAGCTCAACTTTGAAGAGCGGTGATATTGAGATTGACCCACCTTGTCGAATAATTTCCACGAGGGTCTTCAGGAGAGTAATGTAGGAACCTGTCGAATCACGGCTTTGCTCTGTTGCGGAGTGCTAGCACGGTCTGCTGTGCCGGGGGACGCATCGGTAAGCCACCCCGCACACATCTTCTGGCTCACAAGACATGCCAGTGTGGGGTCAAGCAGCCGCAGGCTCACCAACAACAACGCTGCTGCCAGCAGGAGATCGCATGAATTCTGCCAGCCTCATTGCCAACTCATTCCTACAGGAGCTAGCCCAGAGACAAACCCAGCATTCTGCGTTCGCACCATGCATCCTGCCGCCCGGCTACAGAGCACCAGCATTTCGAGGGTCCAAGGAAGATGAGCTTGCCCGAGGGGGCTGCCCGGAAGCTTGCCCAGCGCCTCTAAAAAAGAAGGCTTTCCATACCCCTGCACCGATGGAGGACAATGGTAAGTCGTGCAGGTGCTTCTGCGAAACTGACACGGAAGCAGCTATGCTCTTCATCGCAGGCGTCCTCGGTGCCCTCCGATCTTGGAACGCGCTGGACATTGGTCTTCAGGAACTGCTCAAGTGCAGTCCTCAATGTGGAGATCAGGAGAAACCTCTGCCCCCAGCTTGAATTTGAAAGGTCAAGCAGGCTCCCTTGCTGACATGCTCGCGTCACTTCACAACTGCTGTCAGAGAGAACAGTGGCTGTTGTCGGAAGAGTTGGAAGTGGTGCTTTCTAAAGCGCTGGCTTCTGAGCTCTTTGCAAGACATTCCTTGTTCAGTCCAGCTGCAGAGTCTGCTCTCTCGCGATACCTGCAAACGGCTTGCTTGCAAACATCTATGCTGCGACAGGATAGTCATATTCATCACAAAGAGAGACTAACATGATGCCTTTCAAGTCGATCTGGATTCCACCACGGTAGAGGGCTACCTGCCGCACAACCAGGATGCAGGTGAAGTGCTGTCCAAATGCTCACCGAAGTATTGAGAAGCTGGTGGCCATGGACGACATTGGCAGAGTCTCAGGTCGAGGCCATCGGGTATGTAGTCACATGCTCTTCGTTGCAGAGAACCTTGTCCACCGCGCAGTCAACCTGGCAAGACCAGGAGCGGCTTGCTGAGCATATTGTCGAATAAACCTGCTCCGTGGTCTTCACTGCTCGGAAAAGGCCTGCGCAAATCGCAACCGTAGCATTGAAGGGTCCGTGTTCAGCCTTAGTTGAGTCAGCCCAGCCTCGTGCAGTTTCGAAAGATACAGCAATGGCAAGGATGGATAAATCAAAAGCAGCGCTAAGCAGCACCAGAGGGAGATAGATTGCAGATCACCATATCGTCAAGAGCCAAGATGCTCGCTTTGCCAATTTCTTGCCGCTTCTAAGAAGGTCTGCTCCAGCTGTTGGCACGGTTGCCACCATCTTGGGCAGAAGGACACCACCCACTGCCTTATACAGATACGCTGGACCTGAAGTCTGTCTAAGTACTTCGACCACAAAGCAGAGCCAAGCTGCTCCACGCCACCTCCCAGGGGCTTCCTCGCGAGTGCAGAGTTTGAGTCTCCGCGCTCAAGTCGGGCTGCATGGGAGAACCCCGTGTCAGCTGGGCGTGCTGCAGCACATTCCCCGCGAAGATGTGCCGGTTCAGGTAGGCGACGTCTTCCTTCGATGCTGTCCTGGGAGAGAAGGGAGGCCAGGCTTCTGCATCCTGCCGCACTAGCCCTCACAAGTCACAAGTCCTGGCCGCTCGAGCTTCTTGCGGCATCGAAGTCAGGACCTGTGGCATCTCTGCGGCAGCCACCTGTCCTAGCCTCAGCTGCCAGGAAGCTCCCACTGTGCGAGCAACAGGTCCGTTCAGCCAAAGATGCTTAATCGCTGAGGTCAGGAGCAGCAAGCCGCGCACCACCATCATACGACGGCCGCTACGGACTTGGACAAGGTCCAGACTGGAGCTGCGTCATTGGCTGCATCAGTCTCGGGCCCAACATGTCGACCAGAATCGGTTCCACAGACCATTGCGCAGGATTCACCGCCTGTCAAGTTGCCTTTGCTACTGGGCGAGCTTGGAACCAAACCCAGTGTCAGCATCCCTGCACCCAGGGTTTTCTCACCGCTAGCATCATGACCGTCTCAGCTTCTGGTCGGCGTAGTTGGCAGTCTCGCGCATCAACCCCAAGCAATGTGGCTCCTCTCCAGCAACAGCGACATGCTAAAGATGCAAGAGAAAGCATCTGTAAAGCTTGAACTAATTTGATCGCATCTGGAACATCAAGACCAGATCCAACATGAGTTTCTACACACAACAACTATAGTAACTATCGCTGTGTGCTTTCAAGTTCCCTATTTGCGGTGTGGAACGGTGTCACTGTCAGATTCATCGTCATCATCGTCGTCAGTTGTCGTTGTTCTGCTCACTCTTATTCTTCTCGTCGTTGTTGTGCTCGCATTTATCCTCGTCGCAGGTCGTCCTAGTCGTGTCGGTCGTGGTCGTCTTGGTAGGTTTGGTCGAGTCGCGGTGGCTGTGATGGTCGTGGTGGTCGGGGTCCTATTCCTCCTCCTCCTCCTCCTCCTCCTCCTCCTCCTCCTCCTCCTCCTCCTCCTCCGCAACGTCGTTGCGCCCACTACTCGTTGCTGCTGAGTGCTGTGGCGTACGGCCTAGCTGCCTAGCAGGGCCGAGCACGCACCAGGGACACTGCTCCAACAACGTGCCGCCCAGGTCCTGCCATGGGCAGCCAGCAAAGTGCCGCACGAAATCGCCTTCCCTCCACTCGTGCGCTGACCAATCCGTGGAGGCCGGAGGAACGTAGGCATTTAAGTGGGCCTGGTGCAGAGATTTCTGAAGGCAGCTCCTACAGCACTCTGTCTACTGTGGTACTCCTTCTTTGCCAACGGCCTGGTGGACCAGTGCGACTTCTGGAGGCCACGCGTAGTCCGCTTGCAGCAGGGACGGCTCCAGTTGCTCAGCCAGCAGCCCAGCTTTCAAGATCTCCCAGAAGAACATCGACTGATCCCAGGCGACTGCAAACTGACTGCTCGCGACTTGCTCCAGGAATGAGAGTGACCACTCGCTCCTTCGGAAAAGAAGTGTCCTGCATGCAAGCGGCTTCAAAGCGCACCGTGGCCGTCTCGGGTGCTTTCTCGGTGCTTCCTAGTTTAGTGCTGAGCAGCAGTGTCCACAGGCGACAACATTCCTGTAACTTCCCCCCTTTCCCGGTCCCTGTGTTGATGCCACCCGGATCTTCTGCTACCAGGAAATGCGGGCCGGCAGCGCCGCCGGCGCCGTAGGTCTCCAGAACATCCTGCAAGCTCGTTCCTGCGTCTGTGAAGAAGGCATCGCAGTCGATGAAAAACACCCAATCCGGCGGATCTGGCGCAAGAAACGCCTCAATTCAAGACGGAACCGGTGCGCTTCTCCTCAGAAGCATGACAATATTGATGTTACCATGCTTCCCGGGCGCTTGGTGGATCACCAACATTTTGCTGTAATGAGCTTCTCGGTCTGGCAGAGGCAGCTCTTCGTGAAGAACGTACTTGTACTCGTGGCGTTCCTTGGCCCAGGGCCCGCTCTAAGACTCAAAGATTTGCCGTTCGCATCCGCGCGTCCGCCTTCCCCTCTGTGGTTTAGGACGGGGCTCGGAGTAGGCCCTGTGGTTCGGGACGGAAAGCTCGGGCAGAGGGCAGTCGGCGCCTGTCTGCGACGTCGGATCCGGGCCTCGGGAAAGAGAAAGCTTCCCACGATGTTCACTTCGTCGAAACTCGGCACTGCCGAGCGGCGATAATTGCAGATCGAGTGGACTTCGAAGCGAGGCTTCCGGACGTGTGCTGGAAATCTGACCTCAAGTGCCGCCATGCGAACTCTCCACTCTCCAGCCCCCAAGACATTCAACTATGCCATCTATGCATCGCGCTGCTGTCGTGTGCCGCCAGGTGTCGATGGCACGCTGCGGAGTCTTCAGTCCTGCATGGAGCTGCGTCACGGCAATGGTGTACTCCACCTCTTGCTGCAAATCTGAACCATGCTTCACCGATCCAGCAATTACGTTGCAAGTAAGGAGCTTGAAGTCGAGGCTCGAACCGCTTGCCACGGCCAGCATCCTCATAGTCGTCAAAAGCTTGCACAGGAACTGCAGATGATCAAGGGTGCAATATGTGTGCTTGAAACATGCTTTCTTGATAAAGCAGTTTTCCGGCAAGATCATAACACAAGACGCCTCTCTTAAGTTGTCAGGCAAGCGATGGCACGTCTATCCACATCAATGACCTGAATTTGATGCCTCGGGTCTGGGGCAATCCTCACCGGTGTCCCGGCCACTGGTGTGCTTGCTTTTACCGCGACCCACCCACCCAAGTCAAGTTGTCCACACGGACCGGAAGGGAAGGGGTCAAGCCCGATCTTGGGCGGAAACATGAGAGCACGTTTGCGTGCTGGACTGGATCGGCCAACGAAACCGCGGTCTTTCTGGATAGTGTGGTCGCTTTTGCCTCCCATCTCACGCATCGCTCGCTTCACACATTTGGCAGGTTGAGCTATGCAGATATTTCGATGCCCTGCCTTCAGCCATTAAGGTGCACGTACGACTGTTTGCTTCCCATCGCGTGGCGCTACACGGTCTCACAATGGTGTCTAGTTCTCCTATCTCCTATCAGGTCTCACTTGCCGAGCATCTAGTCAGCTGCATGCACGCAAACACGGAGATACAAGGTTGCATGAACGAACAGCAGCTACAGAAAACACTGCAACGAGTCTGCAACGAATAGGAATTTGCATATGCATGCGGAGCAGCATTCGTCTCTGCTTCTCTCCTCTGCTCTCAGCCGAGGGTCCCCGGCGTCCGGAAGGGTGTTGTACCAGCGAGCCATGGCCTCGATAGGGGGGCCACACAACTGGGATGCAAACACACGGCCGCCACTTGAGAACATGTTCTGTGCCTTTGCATGCCAGGTTGGCAGACAGCTATGTAAACATTGTGCCCCCCATGTATGTCTGCATGCCTGGAAGAGGCACACACAGATATAGCACAGAAATATGTGTATATATATATATATATATGCCAAATAGACCCTAAAGGCTCCTCTCATTCATATATATATATATATGCATGTATAAATAAACACATATATATATAGAGAGAAAGAGAGAGAGAGAGAGAGAGAGAGAGAGAGAGAGAGAGAGAGAGAGAGAGAGAGACGGACCTGTTTTCATCTACATGATGTGCCAAGGAAAAACCCAACACAAGCAAACGCGTCTCCAATGGTTTCCAGGCCCACCTGGATCTTGAAGATGTTCCCCAGCTGCATCAGACAACGTGCACGGCTAAGATGCCCGTTGGCCAAAGCCTGGGATGCTAGGATGGAAGAGCTTGACGACCTGGGACTACCGAAAAACTGACGGCTCTGAAATGCTGGTGCAGGAGCTAGTTCAGCCACCAGTTTGAAATGCTTTGCCGCTTGCACGGGGCAGGTGTATGTGCTGTCCAGGTTCTTCATGAGCATGCCCAACCCCTCCAAGCCAGCCATGAGAGCAATGAGCTTGCTCCCGGCGCCAGGGTTATAGTTGGCCGACCTCAAACCAACCAAGACTTGACATCTGTTCTCCCGTGTTCAACCCACACGTGTCCAACAATCATTTCAAGCTTGCACAGAGTCTCGAATCTTGGGCACCGTCTAACCTAACATGATCGGCTATAACAACCGGAAGGTGGTGAGCAGCTTTAACCACCCCGTACGGCACTTGACACTTGACTGAATTCTCATGATCTTTCCTTGTAGGGTCCTGCTGCTCTCGATTTCTTGTGAATTGGCGATGCCTGCTCTTCTTAGTCCCTTCCGTTACTTTGCCCTATGCGACCTGCATGTGCCATACAATCGGACCAGAGGGTCAGTATGCCGGCTCTTGTTAGTCCTGTCCATGACTTTGCTCTGCTACTTGACCTGCATGTGTGCTACCATCGCACTTGGGAGTCAGTATTCTTGAACCTCGACTTCTCCTTTTGCCATAGCCCTTGCTACCGGCCCAATCATAAGATTGTCGTTCACTCCACTCTACAGGTGGGCCTCTTCTGACATTTTGCCTTGCTTTCCGCTGACCCCCAGTTTTGCCGTGGTCGCTGCAGATTATGGTTGAAGTGCACGGCTGAGTTTGGAGGGATTGAGACCTGTGGCCCTACGCAAACCTCTGACATCTTGTGTCTACATACCAACACTGGGCCAAACCCAAGGAAGCATCCTATGACATGATAGCACTTGACATGTGGCATGACATGGTCTGTAGTGCGAGGTCATCGGGTGTGAGTGCCGGAACTGTGGCAACAGACACCTGCCCATTATTTGGGCATTGGTACAGGCACTGCTGGTCAAGTGTGAAATTAAAGTACAAGGCACAGAAATTAAAACATCAGCTGCACAATGCTGAGCCACAAAACCATTGTGCTGACGTCACTGGTGAAGCAGCTTCTCGCTGATAATCGTTCTTATTGCAGGCTATAATGGTGTCCGTTTAGTCCATCGTGTTGTTCAGAGCTCCTATTGCTGCCCATACAACCTCTCTTGCCTCTGCATTGCAACGGTACGTGTGTCATAGCTACTTCCTCTGTCCGGCTGCCATCTGCACTTTGAGGCGCGGGCTGTGCCTCGAAGAAGTGCGTCTGAAGTTGCGTCCAAAAGCTCCTTTGATCATGGTGCCATGGTGCTTAGTTCTGAGCGACATAAGGAGAAGCCCAGGTTGGCTCTGGCCGCCCTGGAGCCAGCTAGTGCGGCAGAAGAGCGGTCTTCGTGGTCGCAAGTGCTGTGTACAACCAGCTTTGGAAACACAGGAGGACGGCATCAAAATAGCGAGTCAGAAGTTTTATGCGCCGAACATTCCCTCAGCGTCGGCATCTACAGAATCTACAACGCTATACGGTATACGCGGTGTGCGCACACGCTCGATTAGAGGTTCGCTGCAATTCGATGCCTGTTCCAAAAGTTTGAAGTCTACCATTTTCTCCGTCGGCGGGCATCTCCATTTTGGTTCCCTCGCAGCAAGCCGAAGCTAACTCCGCACGCCTGACTGGTGCATTGGGCGACTGAGCGTGTTGTAGGTAATGGAAGACGTTGACGGTCGTTGTGCAACAGTAGGCGCACAATCCGCAGTACGTCTCAGCCGTGTCAACCAGAAAAAACATGAAAAAGCCCAGAGAGAAAAATCTGTACTTGCACTGGTACAACCTCGCAAGAATTCGAAGTTCTGCAACACCGTGGCTCTCCCCGCGTCTGCCGACCGAGGCGGTCATCCTACTAGTAGAACGGTGAAACATGGCGAACAAGTATTGCCTGTTTACGCCGAGCAGCAGCGATGCAGGTGCCAGTCCCGGACATTCTTCCTGCACGATCTGCTGCGCCACAACATGGAACGGACCTCAGGAATACCAAGCCAGCAACCTTCTGACTTCACTACCCGTGTCTTCTGCCCAGACACTTTGAACGTCATCGGTGCTGCTTTGGCCTCGCCGAGTCTGAATCCTAGACTGAATCCCCTGCATGCAACGGCATCTCTCATCGGCCACCTGCTATGCAAGGCAACCAGACTGCGAAGCACAAAGGCTGCCATGGCCGGAAGCGCATTGCCGCAAAGCATGCCGTTCTACAGCCTGACCAGGAGCAGCCGTGACTTCTGGGCTGGTCCGGCTGTAACGATCGATCGGTAGCGTTTGAAGCATGCTTTAAAACAGGCCCAGGGCTTCGAGGCTGCGGCAGTTGGCTGTTGCATAAGTTGGGCTGGAGCGGGAATGATGAATCATGGATGTCTCTACGACGACCAACTCGGCCGCATAGGGCAAAAGGGGGATTGCATTCGGAAACAAGGACCACGGATTTCTGCTGCGCAAAGAATTGCCCGTCGCCCAAGGCTCCAGCCAGTGCCCGCTTCGTCTCCAGCTCCTGCCTCACAAAAAACGGGAAATCCCTCGGATGTGCTTCAAAGTGTATAGAAGCCAAACATGCAGGTCTGGCTCGAGGGCCGTCATCTGCTTCTGGGCTATGAGGCCAGCCTCGGCCTCCCGAGACGGGCCACAAAGCGCCTCTTGTAAACTCGAAGGTTCCCGTCAGCCTCGCCTCTCGCGCCAAGCTCCCATATTCTTCACGAGCTTGGTGTACCTCAGCCTGGGAGATCACAAGGAGCCGGCACTGGGACTTGCCCACGTTTTTGGTGGACGGCAGCAGGTCCAACAGCTGCATGAAAATTCCCGGACTTTTCGGTGTAAGTACGGTTTGCGGGCAGCTCGAAAATGCTGCAAGTGCTTCCTCTTCGAACTAGTCATAACTAGTCTATATATGCAAAAACAGATTGATTGGTACCTGCATAGAAACTCGTATATAAAAACATACATACTTACACATACACATACACATACACATGCACATGCACATGCACATGCACATGCACAGACACAGACACAGACCCATACACATACACAGACACATACACATACACACACACACACACACACACACACGCACATATATATATATATATGTGTGTGTGTGTGTATCCATTTATGTATATATATATATATGTATATGTATTTATCTATTTATTTTTCCGACCCTCTGCGATGCCCGCACTCGGCAACATATATTGATATGTATTTACGTATTTGCTTGATTATGTATACTCATACACACACACACATATATATATATATATATATATATATATATATATGTACATATGTATATATATATATATATATTATATTAGATTATATTAGATTATATTATATTATAATATATTATATTATATTATATTATATTTTATCTTATTATATTATATTATATTATATTATATCAATATTATGTTAATATTATATTAATATTATATTATAATATATTATATTATCTTATATTATATTATCTTATAGTTTATATTATCTTATATTATCTTATATTATCTTATATTATCTTATATTCAATTATATTCAATTATATTACATTATATTATATTATATTATATTATGTTTTATTATATTATATTATGTTATATTATATTATAATATATTATATTTTATTATACTATAGTATATTATGATATATATATATATATATATACATATATATATATATATACGCACACACACACACACACACACACACACACACACACACACACACGCACACACGCACAAATACCTGGGCTTCTGGTAAAACACCTCCTCCTTCGAGTCCTTTCAAGTCCCTAGGAATTTCTTGCAGGCCTTGCCTAGGTGTGCTTGCCTTAGCAACACCGCCACCGGCCGCACAGACAACCCCGCGCGAAGGCCGCTAATTAAAGCTAACACGAACGGCGTCTTGAACCCTGGGAAACAGCTAGCACAACCAGCTCAAAGAAAAAGTCTTGCCTGACAGACAGAAAGGACCTGGCCTGGTGCAACTCGCACTGGCTCCGCAGATCTTCGATCTGTGCGGGGACGAGATGGGGAAGAAAGGGATGGGGCGATTGCAACACGACCGCCGGAGCCTTGCCCTCCTGGACTTGTAGCCTTCGCGCTGCCTCCGTGGATGCCTGGGACACCTGGGCCTCAGTAGTCACAGTACAGGACAGGACAGAACTGAAACAAGATACAAACGTCTGAGTCTGTGACGAGCTCCTCCTCCAGCTCCTGACTGCGCACCCGCAGCTGGTCTGAATCAGCCTCGCATCACAAAATATCTGTGATCAATGCTACCAGCATTCCCTCATCCCCTTCCTCCAATTCAGTGTTGCGTGCTTGCACTCGGGTGAGTTGTACCTGCCCGTCGGCGTTTTCTGCTCTCCCTCCGAAACCCCAAGTTTCCAAAGCTGGCGGCACTTTGTCTGCAGTCATTTCAGCTTTCAGGCTTGCGACTTCGGCTTGTGCTGCCACCTGGCGACATGTCGAGCGGGGTATGCTACGGAGCTCATCCAGCAGAAGCTAGAGCTACAGAGCGAGAGTTCCCTTCGTTAGGTTAGGAGCTCCCGCGCGGCGCGCAGGGCAACTACACCACGCATGTGCAAGTTGAGTGGCTGAAAGAGCACGAGCAGGCAGAAACGTACGAATCAAGCACAGAAACGGGCCGAAGACACAAACTGTCTCTCTGCCTCTTTCATAGAAACCTCAGTATGAGCGAGCTTTGCGATCCTCACTATGCTTTCACTGCTCGGCGCAGGAGCGAAGACAATGACACTCAAGTCTGCCCAAGGTGTCTTCACTCATCTGGCCATTCTCCCGGCGAAGCATGTCACTGACCTGCCGCCCGGCCACGCAGCACCACGTGATACGTCAATGCTTTGCCATACCCTCATACCAAAAGCATCTTGTCTCTTGAGCGCCCATGTCACTAAGCCGGCTTTTGTCCCGCACTGCCATCGTTGCCCCTCGTCCTGACTTCCCTTTGCCTTAAATGCTGCGCACTCTGTGCCGGTGAAGGGCACTACTCCGCCTAAGGAAGCGGCCCCAACAGCGTCGGAAAGCACATGCCGGCACGCCTATATACAGTTCTAAAACAAATCAGACTCGCTAGTGCAATCACTGGTCTCTCTCTTGGGTTTGAAAAAGAAGCTGGGACCACACTTGCAAACACCAAACCAGGATCAATGTGCGAATCTAGGGCTTCCACTGCCTCTTGCACTTCCGAGACGACGGCTCCTTTTACAAACAAGAGAGAGCCCTCATTAATTTGTGCAGGGTTACCGTCATTTCAACCTGGGTCAATGCATAAACGATCACACGCGTATTACGGGCCGAGGCCCTGGATGCTGCCCATTCAAGCAGCGGCTGGCTGCACGCTGCTGATATTATTCTGCTACAGTTTTGAATCATGTGACAACCACTGCCTCCTGGAGAACGACGATAACGTGTCCGGATGAATGCCGCAGCACGCTAGCATTCAGCAAATCCCACAAGTGCTGCTGCTGCTCTAGTTGGCATCCACGTCAAAACATTGAGATCAGATCACTCGTGTCAAGTTTTGCAACGATCAGACCTGATCACATCGAATCTGGGAGTCGAATCTAGGAAGTAAATGCTGCGCGCTCCCACACCGACAAATGCGTCAGCATGCGTCCCCCATTCGGACCGAAACGAGCGCGGCGCAGATGTAACGATTCACGGGATCGCTCGGTTGGATTCCTCATGCGCCCATCGGGCCGCATCCAAGCTCCAAGCATCAGAGCAGCGCAGGGCGCACCGCCGCAAAAACCATCAGCAAAGCCACGGCGAGGATGCTCACCAAGAACAGCTTCGTCATCGGATTCCACACAGCATCCGCTTGCACTGCCTCAATGTCAGCAGCTTGACTTCTGCTTTTTGCCTTTGACTTAGAAGGTGGGCATTGCTTGCGGCTCTTCTCCTGGTGTGGAAGGTGCTTAGCACTGCTCCGATCGGCTCCCTCGTGTCTGTTGGCTTTGCTTTGGCTCTTCTTCGGTCCTGTGTTGCACAGGCCAGACGAGCTTGAGGTCGCGCGTCCTTCTTGGCCTCCCGCATTTCTCTGCGAAGCAACTGCCACAGTAGAACTTTTACGGCTGGACTTGCGCCCAATCTTTGTCCCAGTCTCTGCTGGCACGAGGACGGCTTGCTTGTGCACACTTGCCGAAGCGGCTTTGAAACCTTCAGATGTCACCTCGCCAAGCAGGTTCTTATCCAGGTCGTTCGCCTCCATATCTTTCCGGGAGGCCATCACTTGCGCTCTGCAACCCGAGGTTTCGTCTGCATGAATTGCGGCCGCCTGCCACATCTCTTGGTCACTCTGACGCGCCATGGATTCTGCAGTTGGCAGAAGTGGAGGAGCTGATTCGTCAGCACAGCCATGTGTGCCTGAGATATCTGTCATGTCCTCGCCAGGGTCATCCATCGCTTGTTGCTTGCTGCCTGACATGCCTGCCGCATCCTCACGCGGCCTGTCCAGCTCTGGTCCCCTCATGCCGAGCTCACAGGCCTGCGTGCCGACATCGGACATATCCCCTACATTCCGACTTGGCATGTCCGGCACTTGTTGCGTCTTGTCCTGCTCGCAATCATCCAAGCTAGAAATGTCTGACCTGCCTACCTTGTCCAGCCCTAACCTGCTCTGGTCTTGCTCGCCAGCATCGAAGACATTGATGAGTGCTGTGTCTGCTTCGTGCTGACTTGGGCTGTCCGGCTCCGGCTGTTCGCCCTCGGCGCGCCCCCGAGGGAAATCGAAAATGCCCACTGTGCACCAACTTGGCCTTTCAAGCTCTTGCGGCTTGCTGTCGTCTTCCTCACTGGCAGCTGGGAAAGCGACGTCTGAGGTGGTGTCCCAGTCCCTAATGTGGAGCTGCTCGAACTGGTCCGGGTCGTGCTGCAAGTCGTCCGCAGACGCAGTTTGCTCGCAGAGCTGAGGCCCATGCATCTTCTGCTTCTGCTCGTGACGCTGGCAAGAGACGATCTCTTGCAAGCTAGCTTCACTAGCTCCCACTCCAAGATCATCTTCCCTGCTCGCCTTGTTACTGTGCTGGTGGTTCCCGGTGCCTCGCTTGCACCTCCTGCTCCCTCCAGCTTTCGCCTTAGCTTCCGGCGCCTGAAAGCGCAGCGCTTCCCGTCTTGTGCACGCAGCCTCATCTGGCTTCAGCTTGGGTGGCTGCCTATGCTTCCTGTAGCCTTCGTCAGTTGGCATTGTCGGCACATGCGGCATATCCTTGATTTCTTGATGCAGCCTGTTGCACTCGTGCTGCAGGTGTTCGACCTGGTCCTTGACTTCCAGGCATTCTGCCTTCAAGCGATCTCGCTCCTCTGCCTTTTCATTGATCTCCTGCATGCCAAACTACGCTCCGATGACTCGGCCTACACCACACACTTAGCATCCACGAAACGACCGCCGCTCCTCGCGCAGACACTCCTGCGAATTCAAGAAGTCTGCGGCAGATGAGAAGCTTCGCAGAACCACAACATGATGAGAAGTTCGACCCGCGGCGTCCTTCTTTAGTCCGATGCGCAGCTTCACATGGTTGTAGTAGTCGCGGGCTGACTGCAAGTCCATGCTGGCCTGAAGCACCGCTAAAAATCCGGCTCTTTCGTGCGAGCTGCTCCACTGGAGACTGAGCTAAGGCCGAAGCAGCATCCAGTTTCTGCGTCAACTCTGCGACTGTGCCGCTCATCTCATCAACACCCTCAGGCACGTGGAAGCTGTATGACCTCGCACTGGGTAGGGTAGATGCACGAAGCACAAGGCGACCGGCAGGCATCGCCCGCGAGACTGTCACTGACTCTTTGCGGCCAAGGCACCCATGCCTCATTTGCTTCAGCTGATCATGCAGCGTGTCTCGTTCGGCATCGGCCTCCCTGATCAGATCCTTCAACTCTTCTGCCTCCTGGAAGGCTGCCTGGTTCACAAATGCTCACAGCTCTTTACGCTCAGTCAAAAACACACGCAGAAAGGCGAGAGCTGCCTCGAGCTTCCGCTGAGCCTCCAAGGCATCGCCGCCACTAGCGTCAGTGGCATCGCCGTTTTGGCGTCTCCGTTCCGCCGGTGCGGAGGAAGCACGGCACCGAGCCGAGCCCACCTGAGAGCAGACACCGAGGTGAGTCCGCTTCGACGCAGAGTGTACCCGAACGGAACTGTCAGAATCCGAGCCACTTCACCATCGCTCTCGCAGCACTCAATGAAAGTATTGCGGACGTAGAAGCTGTGAGGACAGGCCGCACCTTCGGCTGCGCTCTCGGCTGGTGCTGGGCAATGTTCTTCGCTCAGCCACGTACCATCGGAGTCTGTAGCAGACGTAGTCGAATTGTCGAGGTCATCTGCCTGGGCCTCAGTCCGACAAGGCCAGAAGTCCCAGCCAGGTCACCATTTGCGAACTCAACGAAATCCACCGTGCACCGCACAGTCTTGCGCGCCGTCGGGCTCGCATAGATCATCAGAACCATGACTTCGTGACACTTCAAGGACCAGCTACGGGAGACCAACTTGCAAAAGGCTGGCAAGATCAGGCCAAACGGCTGCAGAACACCCTCGTTTCGGCGCTGGCCAAGGCAAAGGATGGTGAAGGTAGGACAGCATGGCAAGATCGTGTGGGTAGCATGCACCGACTGCATCGAAGCTCCTCCGGCTGTGGGAATGTCAATCAAGGCCTCTCTTTCCTTTGCGAGTTCGATGAACTTCTTGTTCAGCTGCTCATGTGTGTCGGCCTTGCTTGAGATGAGTCCACACACTCCAATTAGACTAGATATGACTAGATTGATGCACCTGAGCTCAGCCTCCAGTCCTAGAGTCATAGGAACCGGGCAAGCTCTCGAACTTTGTCTTGCACCTGCGAAGACGAAGATCGAAAAGGAGGCACCAGAAGCTCAGCGGACTGACTAAGTCTGAAGGCCTGGACCCTGGTCTCAACCAGCCTTCCAGAAAGTGATGCACGTGATCTGAGAGTCTTCTCTGCCGTCTGTGGGGTTAACAAACACAGGCACATCTGCAGTGTGGAGGTGCTTGTTGACGGCTCATCGCTGTAGCCGTACAACTTCGTGCAAATCGGCTGCTCCGTTTAGGAGGCCTTCGCGACTCTCATCGCCGGTTTGGCTGACAGAGTCGTTGAAATAAGGAATTATGTGTGGCCGAATCATCACACTCCTGCGGCCAGGGGCATGCATAGATGCTGAGCAAGCCTACACAACCAACATTTCATAACTCATAACGTGTCGTCCTCCAGAAGCGCCTCTGTCTGCGACCGCTGAGGCAGCATGACAGGTACAAGCAGCAGAAGCAGCAGCGGCAGGAAGGCGGCAACACACCTGCCAGCGGGAATCTCGACAGGTGCGTGACGAACACCTGGGAATGGATGGCTGGCCGATGTGTCTGCAGAGCTGTTTGCAGCCCGAACACTGCACTTTCCAGAGGCTTTGGAACTGACGCCCCTCTTGCAATGATCCTGCACCGGCATCCCTCAACTTCACGTCAGCTTTGCGACTGCAGTTGTTCGTCCTGTGGGCGAGACCCCGCTGAATGTCAGAAGGTAGCCACCGATGTAGGAGCCTGAGACAGGTCCGCAGCTGTAAAGGCGCCGCAACCAAAGCGTGCATAGCTCAACGAGGGATGCGGCAGACAGGTGGCTCAAGATGGAGGCCATGTTGAAGGTCCCCGCATGTAAGCCCAAGGTTGTCGCTTCGACACCTCTTGGGGCCAAATGAGCTGCCAGCACCTGTGATTTCACATGTGCAGCGGTTGCGTGCGTCAATGCGCTCTGCCGCACGCCTGTTTGGGGATCCAGCGCCATGCTTGCACCATGCCTGTCAAGCATTCGCACCCGAAGCAGGCCAGCCCCATGCACCAAAATTTTAGGAGACCATACAAGATGGAACGATGCGCGTGACAAGTGGGCTTTGCCTCCAAATACTAGACTAGACTAAACACGTGCTGCGTCAGGGTGGACACATCTTTGCACAGGGTCGTTGACAGCTTATGCAAAAGCTACAGATGCAGCGCCCCCGGAGCCTCTCAAGGAAGAGCACCCATGCATCCCACACCCTCCGTTTATTCGTCCAAGCAGCTGTCGAGGCCCATAACCACCAGCAGCCAAAGACTATCTGGAATTCCAAAGGCTAGCGTCCAACGGCAAAGCACTGGCAACATGGCCAGCTGAGTGCATGCCTGGGAACAGAAATCTCTGAGCTTCGAGAAAGCACTGGTTGCGTTCTGGTGGCTGGTGGCTGTCCGAGCGAAGATTGGTCTAACTTTACACCAGAACGTTCCCCATGCACAAACTCAAACAGACAAAAACACACGCACCCTCACGCAGATGCACATGCATATACACACACGCACACATGCAAACACACGACACACAGACACGCACAACACACACACACACACACACACAGGCACGCGCACGAGGATGACCTCCTCGCACGCGCGGCGCAGCCGCGTTCTTGGTCTGCCATGCACGTGCGAACATTGCCAACATGCTGCAATGAAAAGGTTGGAGGCTTCAAAGTGCGGCAGCAAGGCCAAACAACGTGATCATGAACGACGGCTACCCCCCAAAAGGACTCAGGTGATTAGAGTTGGGGGTGTTCTCTACCATCATTTACTATGGGATTTGTGCTACCCACCCTGGGCCCTCAGTTTCCGCTCCGTTACAGCTCCGTTACAGCTTCCGTTACAGCTCCGTTGCAGGTCCGTTACAGCTCTGTTGCAGGTCCGTTACAGCTCCGTTACAGCTCCGTTACAGCTTCCGTTACAGCTCCGTTGCAGGTCCGTTACAGCTCCGTTGCAGGTCCGTTACAACCCCGCTACAGCTTCTGCTACAGCTCCGTTACAGCTCCGTTACAGCTTCCGTTACAGCTCCGTTGCAGGTCCGTTACAGCTCCGTTGCAGCTCCGTTACAGCTTCTGCTACAGCTCCGTTACAGCTCCGTTACAGCTTCCGTTACAGCTCCGTTACAGCTCCGTTGCAGGTCCGCTACAGCTCCGTTACAGCTTCTGCTACAGCTCCGCTACAGCTCCGATACAGCTCCGATACAGCTTCCGTTACAGCTCCGTTGCAGGTCCGCTACAGCTCCGCGACAAATCCGTTACGGCTCCGTTGCAGGTCCGTTACAGCTCCGTTACAGCATTCTGCTACAGCTCCGTTACAGCTCCGTTACAGTCCGTTACAGCTTCCGTTACAGCTCCGTTGCAGGTCCGTTACAGCTCCGTTGCAGGTCCGTTACAGCCCCGCTACAGCTTCCGTTACAGCTCCGTTACAGCTCCGTTACAGCTTCCGTTACAGCTCCGTTGCAGGTCCGTTACAGCTCCGTTGCAGGTCCGTTACAGCCCCGCTACAGCTTCTGCTACAGCCCCGTTACAGCTCCGATACAGCTTCCGTTACAGCTCCGTTACAGCTCCGTAGCAGGTCCGTTACAGCCCCGCTACAGCTTCTGCTACAGCCCCGTTACAGCTCCGTTCCAGCTTCCGTTACAGCTCCTTTACAGCTCCGTTACAGCTCCGTAGCAGGTCCGTTACAGCTCCGTTGCAGCTTCTGCAGCTCCGATACAGCTTCCGTCACAGCTCCGTTACAGCTCCTT